TTACAAATGTTGGGGGCATTAAAAGGACAACACTTGGAAATGCGCACTGAGAAGCTTAAGTGCATCTACTACACTTCTGACATTTCTCTTTTATAAGTCTGTCGTGATCATCCTTCAACAACACTTCATAAAGGCAGGGATGTTGATGCCAGAGAACTACAAACTTTCTCCTCAAGCTCTTAGTTCCCTCTCACAGCACAAGCTTCCTTTTTTTAACAGTCTGTTTATACATAGAAGAAAAACAATAGTATTCCAATTACAGATTCTAGCAGTGGCGGCTGCTGGTCTTTCAAGGAGGGGAAGCTCATTTTTCTGGCCTACATCATAATTGTATTTGTTTATTAGTATGTAACAGAACAGAGTCGCCAAACACAACGGCAGTCATTTTTAACAAAGACAAGAGCCGCTGAGGATCGGTAAAGTCTCCGGAGCAGTTAAGAACAACGGAATGAATAACTTGGAAAATGCTCTGGTAGATGTTTTATTCTTCAAGATCGCTGATTCGCTTGTTTAGCTGTCAATCAAAAAAGGATTTCGCCTCAGACAGCTCATCCAATCATGGATGCAGAAGCTTGGAGTCCGGGAGAAAGTCGGGACCGCCCTCTCGCCATAGAACTCCAGTGAAGCTGGGCTTCTGATGGGCGGGACAAAGCCCAGCATTTATCCAATGAGCGTCTAGTTTCGCTGCTGGAACAACCCACTTTAAGCTTCCACATTGAAGTCAGCAGAAGCCCAGCGTCCGGCTGTTTAAAGCGCTGAGGCGCTGCGAGGACGAATGAGAATGAAGTTTTGCCGGTTACCTGTAATTATCAGCTTCTTATCACAGTGTCTGAACAAAAGATGAAGGCTTTCTATTGCGTATTTTTTTAATGAAATGTACACACAGCAGTACGTATTTCACCACTTTTTCTTTTTTTTGAGGGGTGACATTTTAAGGGAAGCCGAGCTTCCCTTGCAGTCTTAGAGCAATCGCCACTGGATTCTAGATAGATTCAACATACCTCAGAACAGATACCAAACCCCCACCCCCATTCCTCCAGCACCCAGCCCCATAGACTGTATGGACAACTTGGTTCCGCTGTATAGGCTGTATTAAGTGTCAGTCATAGAAAACATGAACCCCCTAATAACTTTTCAAATTGAAACTGCACGAAAAAAAAAGAGAACTTGAGTGTAACTACATGTCAACATCACAACCAAGGGGGAGAAAAATGTATATTCTGTGTAATTGATTTCTAAAGTTTGTCCACAGCTCGATAGGGATTGCTGAAGGAGGCGGGATTTATGACCTATACTGCAGTTCTCAGAGTGGCTTCACCCATCGAGGAGGCAGACGCTGTCCATTCTATATACAGTCTATGCCCAACCCCAACAGACAGACATATAAAACAAACAAAAAGAAAAGAAAGAGGCTCAGCATTGTAGTACTCAGTTCACAGTGATCTGACATCTTGTGCTATTAACATAAGACATAAAGGGATTCCAGGTTTTCTCAAATGAGACATCCAATCAGAATCAGTCTAATCTTTTCTAATTTAAAAAATTTAGCATCTCCTTCACCAAGTTTGTATGGGTGGGACTGGGGATTTCCAGTATCAACCTCCTGGCCAACAGAGTTGTGAATGCTGTTAAACCCATTTTAGATGGGGAAAGAGTAAGAGGGAAAGGACATACACCAAACATGGCAGTTGAGGCATTGGGAGTAAAATCCCTTTCAGTTACCTTATAAATATAACTAAATATTTCAGACCAAAATTTAGTCTGAGAAGAGCAGCTCCAAAACATGTGAGAGTAGAGCAGCACATATTGAAGACTTATGTATTCTCCACAAAATCTCTTCCCAAACATCAAGAATCACCTCTCCCAGATCTGTCTCCAAAACTGTTTTAAGTACAGTAGAAGAGCACCAGCTTCATGTTCTTGCAGCGCTCTGTGCTTTCATCGGTCAACCTCACTGAAGACAAACTGCAGGGCCCAGAAAGAGAAATCAAGCATAAGCCAAAGTTTCCAGTTTATCACCATCTATGAAGCTTTTTTAATTATTATTTTGAGTCCAATGCAAATTATCTTATCTTAACTTTTTTGTAAAGTAGTCCATCTTCAGGGTTGGAATTAACTTGTTTTTCTTGCTTTGATACCCTTTTCAATATTTCCTTTGTACCTTTCTCGCATTGTTAGCTGAATGCCTTAAAGAAACTTTCTCCCTGTCTAATAAGTAATCTGTTCAAACAGGGAATAAAAGGGTTTAATTGGGGTCACGATAATCAGACAGGCCTTCATAATCTATGCTGCAGCACCCAGGATGACAAATCACATTTGAAGAGAGACAGAACAGCTGCTCTGACAAGCACAAACAAAGCGGAAAAAAAAGAGTGTGAGTGCATTCACGGGTCTGCACCAGTGACCCAAGATTTGTGTTGTTTAGGAAAACATGCCAGGGGATGTCAACACCTGTCATGTAGCTGCAAAACACCCAGTGTCACCGCTGACAGAGCATCTTTTTCCAGAGACAACACACACACACACACACATTCACACACTTAGGAGAGCAGAGCTGTTGTTTCGCTGAGATGTGCTGGCTTTCTCTTTGTTTTATGGGCTGTGAATGATGAAAAAAGATATCTTTACAGTGACAGAATACTTTTTTCTGGTTCTGCTGCTGCTGGATTTGCATAATTATAGAGGTGCATTTGGAAAGCCAGAGAGAACATACTCAAATGCAACAACTTTGTAGGAATTGGGGCTTTTTGGTGATGAATTTGTGGACAACTTGAGTTTATGCAGATATTTTTTTCACCCACGGAGGAGGAATTTTTTGACTTTGGTGATCTCTGAGTGTTTTCTTGTCTTGTCTGCAGATACACATTTTGAAGGGATGTGTCAGTAGCTGTTGGGTGAATTGTCAAGCAAAAAAGTCATATTTTTATAATGCAGTATAAGTAAAGGGGTTATATATAGTAAGTACAAGATCATGCAAATAAGAATCCAGGCAGGATGAGCAGAGGCCTTACATGCAAACAAAAGCCAAAGTTTTTGCCACAGTGTCAACAGGCAGAGGTGGACTTCTATATGAGGAATTGATTTGGTATTAAGTGCATGATCAGATTGTCCTCAGTCTCACTTTATTTTGCAAGAATCAATCAATTCTCAGAACTTTGACATTAGAATTTTACATTTTTTTCATGCAAATTTCTCAAAAGTATCTAAATAAGCTTTGTATAAAGGCTGAATTTGCATGTGTGTGAATAAGTCTCTAAACAGACCCCAGACAGGCTCTAGAAAAGACTGCAAAACAAGCGTCGCTGTTTGATGTAATGAACACAGACACAGCTATCTGGAAGGGCAGTTTTCAGTCATATTTAATCAACCCTAAAAAATCCCTCTCGGTTTTGTAACTCAAAGATGAAAAAAAAATTGCTCTGAGACTGACCTCATCATGACAGAAATCACAGCAGTGTCCTCGCTGACAGATCTGAGTGTCTGCATCTGTCCATCAAACTTCCTTTTTCTCTAAATTTGCTTTTTTTTTTCTTTATAAGTTTCATTGTCTGTTTTTTTTTTTACTGATGGTTACAGCTGTTTTCCCAATGCAGAAGAGAATGAGGAAAACTGCAACTTCTCTGTGATAAACCAACCAAACACTGTTCTCAAAAGGTAAAGGATGGAGGACAATCAAGATTATTACTTTATAGCGTGATCTAAATTATATTGAACTTTAAAGGTCTACAATTTTCAGCAATGCAAATTCTATTTTAAGGTTTGACTTCCAAATGTCAAAGAAGACCATGCATGCAGTCTCATTATCAGTTGTCTGTGACTGAGAAGTTACAGATAAAAAAGATGATCAATGAGGAACTCAGGAGTTGAATTAGAAGTATAAAAACTCTTTCATTCATTAAGGTCCTTACACACCAGGAGTGATGCAAATATGCGATGCGAAATTACGAAATATTCAGAGGCGAATTTTGACGCGGCTGACTATACACATCATGCACGATGCACGATATGCAATATTGTGACTTTCTGGGGGGTAGCTTACGAGCTGAAAGTTAAAACAAAGACGTTTAGCAGCAAACAAACCATCGTCATATGAGAGATCCGACGCTATGACTCTCCACAAGTTGTCCTTCAGGTCAAAAAAGCACTCGGTTCTCCGACACGTAAACAATCAGCCGGTCGGCCATGTTGGATATACAAGTAAATCTGAAGTCGCAACAACACGAAATCTGATTGGTCAGAAGTGGACACACAGTATGCGAAACTTTAGAGTCTGGTAATAAATGGCTGACTGGTCAACGAGACAGAAAAGAACTGGGGAAGGAAAAAAGAGGCACCTAACTATCGACAGAGGTTAAAAGACAGAGGAAAGGAAATGAAACAGATGACAAGTGAATTGAAGAAACCAGACATGATATAAAGACAATATGGAATGTGTAAATGTATTATAGGCTGTAGTGGTGTTAAAGGGCTGGTCGGAAATGAAAAACAGACCGAAAAAGCCTTGGGTGTTACGGGCATTTCATGTATTTAAAAAAAAAAAACTAGTAATTTGACTTTATGGTGAGAAAGATATATGACTGCAATCTGGCTAATGTTAAAACTTGTATATTGAGGTCTTGTCCACCCTGTAAAGATCCAAAACAGCTTTCACCACCTGCATGTGAGGCATTATCCCCTATGTAATATAAGTGGTAAAGGGCCAAGAATAGAGCCCTGTGGAACCCCATAACTAACGTAAAGATGGTTAAGTTTCACACCTTTAAATTAGGTTTAAACTAACTGGACTTTGCAGTCGGATTGATTCCTTACTCCTTGGGTATTTGTAACAAAAGATGTATTAATGCAAACCTCCAAATCTCAGGATAATGAGCTTGTCTTGTTAAAACAAAAAGCCAAACTTTTCAGCTCCAAAAAAAGGCATCTAATAAAGCAGTGAGATCACAAAGAGTTTAAAAATGACAATTCCTAAGTCTAAATAAACCATCAAAACTGATCAGCTATGCTTGTGAGGGAGTAACAGTATTATTTAGAGTATTAAGTTTGACAAAAAATTAGCTGATAAATCACAAAAAGCTTTCTTCTGTAGTATAAATGAAGCAACAAGAGAGTCAGGAGTGTTACATTTTATTTGGTCTTAAATCTTTTTGAGCTTTTTCCTTTGTTTTTTTTTTTTCCACAGGTTAAAACCCATTATAATAGTCAAGAGAAATAAAAACATTTTCACATACTGTATACAGAAATAGTCCTCTTGACACACATAACAATAAAACAACAGTTGATTAGGCCCAGCCCAGTGCGAGATTTCACAAAAATGTAATAAAATTTTTCAAAGCCCGACGACTGAGAGAGATGTAAAAATGGCTGCCAGGGCAATGCAACAGTTTGCGTTATCACATCGCCTAGGTTGTAATAAAACACATAATGAGACATGGAAATGAATCTGGAACAATGACAATAAAAGCAAAACGATACAGAGACAGAAAGGAGGTCCAACTTTGCTCACTACTTCTGGGTAGTGGCAAATAATCCTCTTCTCTATCTGGCAGTTTTATGCACATGAAATTAGTATGGGTGCCTCAAGGGGACATTCAACTGTGATTTCTAAGGCTTGGGATTTTCTGGAATGTACATAATGATCCTGATTTTAAGCTAAATTAGGGAATTTCTTTGAACTTCTGCTACACTCAAACACTTGGGTTTGACGAGGACTGATTACGGCAGATTTGATCAAACTGAAGAAGTGGAATGTAAAATTTTTGCCACGCGTGAAGCACCCATACGAACATTTTAAATACTCCAGTGAAAACCTAAAAATAAGTTTGAAGCAATCAATCCATCATCCTAAGGTAGACTGCGTCCATGACCATCTAAAAATAGTTTGATCCAGTGTGTAAAACGATGGCCATTCATAAATATCCCCCCCCTTTGCACAAGTTTTGGAAACGTCTTTATAGCTGGCTGGTGGGAAGCTGTCAGAGGGAAAAGCCTGTTATAGCACAGAGAGAGATTTGACCAGTGAGTCATGGGGATTTGTACCATCCAGAACCATTTTAAATTGCCTGAGTGGATCATTTGGAGTTCACTTATTTAAGCCTAAGCATTAGCACCTGAAAGAGACCACCTGCTGTTAAATACCCTCAAGCTGGAGTGAAATACTTTAACCTGAATTATATCTGAGCCACAGAAGACTTTAATCAGGTTAAGTGTCAGGAGTGTTTTAGTCCTGATCCAGAACCAGCATGCTGCAGTTTCTGGGCGTCTTTCTAATGGAATCTGGACATTTTGGACACTAAAGATTATTATTGTTGATAATTATTGTTAGAAGTTGACCACAGTTTCTGATTGAAATGGAGATTTTTAATGTTTTTGTAAACTTGCTGCACTTAGTGGTCTGATAAGCAAATACAATCCATGCATAGTTTTCCATTTTTAAAATTGCTGCACTTTAACATGCAAATTTGTGCTTTAAACCAATTAGGGCAAACCTGAAACACAACACAAGGGAATTGGAAAAAAGGTAGACTTAAAGTTCTCTATCCAACACTTTCAAATATGATAATTTACGTTATGTTTCAACCGAGTTTAAGGTCAACATGATAAAAAAAAAAGAGATAAAAAAAATAAACCGATTAAAAAAATTAGATAAAAGTGGTACTGTTATGAGAGAGGACTCATAGATTATGAGAAAAAAAGTCATAAAATCATTAAAGTAAGGTTGCGGTATTGCCAGAATAAAGCTGTAGTATCAAGGAAATTAAGCTGTGCTGTAATGAGAATAAAGTCAAACTTTCCAAGGGAAAAGTCACAGAAAACCTTGGAAAAACGACGTAATAATGCAGAAACAAAGTTGTAGTACAAAGAGATTAAAGTCAAAATAAAAGAAGAGAAAAAGTCACAACCTCAAAAAAATAAAATTGTAGTTTTAAAAGTCCTACTTTTAGGTTATCATTAGCCTCAATGCTAACTCGCAGCCTGCACTAAAATGGGGAAATATGGAGCATGTTGTGAAATTAGACTGAAGTCTAAATTTGATTTTAAACTGAATACTTCAACTCTTAACACGATAGCACTATGGTGTTGTATGTTTCAGATTCTAAGTTGACTGCACAGGAAAATGAGTCTGTTAAAAAGACGCAGACAAAGACGTCCATCGTACACTCAGCTGTGTGATGCTCCAGAAAGAGGAATAACAGCACATAGCTTTTGAGGATGCTTATATGCTGTAATCGCTAGTTCGGCCTCTATTTCATCCAAGTATCTACAATCTGTCACTTGCGTCTCCATGTTCAAGGTACAGCTTGTTTTTTCTCATACAGTCATGCTGCAGCACATTCATAAACACTCCAGCAACAGAAGTTTCTGGATTAAACGGCTTCCATTAGAGAAAGATTGCACAGTAATTGAGTGTCAATACCAGGACAAGGCGATCATCACCACAGTGTGAGATTGTTGTCTTCTGTGTGGAGTGAGTGGGCGAGAGTGTGTGTGGACCTTGGACTTAATGACCTCCCAGATAAAATCCATATTTATTTTCTAAACGGAGCGCCAGCCTCTTCAGAGAGCCGTCACTGTGGTCTTGGAAACGAATTGGTCTCCTTTCATGGCGCCCATTCATTCCGGTTTTGGTTGTTAGAGAAAAGGAGGACAGCAGATGGTGACCTTGGATGCACAGGCTGAAAAGAATGAGGAATTATATTCACACTCTGGGAGGCCGGGCGTTAATTTAAGCACCTGTGCAGACATGGCTTTTGTCCACGTCTCTTTTGGGATGTGCGATTCCTGTACAGTCAATGAAAGGTCGTATTTGATCATTTAGTCTCGGCCTGTTAATGCCAAACAAAGGCCTGGGCAGGTGTTTCAGTTTAATACCAGCCAGAGAGAGCCATCAGGAGTCTGTGGCGCTGATGTCTGTCTGCAAGACAGCTGAAAGGAGCCTGATAACCAGGTATATTTCTAACCTCCACTTAATTGAACACAAGAGAGGGCTGCAAAGGTAAATGGGGTGAAAGCCGAGGAAATGTCAGGCCATCAATTCTGTCATTTTGGAATTTACTCCTCACTGACCCGCCAAGGTAAGATTTGATCTGAGGAGATAAAACAGACGCGTGTTCAGGCTGACTTTTTCCTTATCCTGTTGAATCCTTTCATTATTATCTCAGTGACCGTGAAGAAGAGAAAACATGATTCGGCTGGAGCAGATTGAGAAACACCATAAATTGAGAATATAAGGGAAAAAATATGTAAAACTTACTGATTTTCAAAAACTGAGATGAATAAACCTAAAAATAACTCACCTTTTCTTCCTCTTTTATGCCCCACATTAACTAACTAAATGCCAATATTGTTATTATTGCACTGCTCTGTCAAACCCTGCATTCTGATTGGTCGGTTTCAACATTCTAAAGTCTGTTATTTCTGATAACAGACCACTGCAACAGATACAGTTTAAAACAATCTGAAGAGAGAGGTGATACACTCATCTAAAATATTTTAAAAAGAAGACACTTATAAAATAAAAGACTGAAAAAGGGACATAAAATACATTGGGTTAAAGCTAGAAATAAGATAACTGAATCATCTCTGTGTCATTACTCATTTACAGATTATTCATATGCAGTCAGTATTTTATTTATCTAATCTAATATGGTCATCATGTTCGACTATGCAGAGTTTCAAGGAATACTGCTGTGTCCACCTCAAAAAAGCATTAAACTCTTTGTGTGTAGCGGGGTTATAAAGCACTTTTTCCTTGTGTTTTTGTAGATTACAGAGTATAGAAGGGTTTTATTTATCCTCCGTGATCCTTCATAGCTTACATGACTGCGGCTAGAGATGAATCAATTGCCTCATCAGGCCAAATCATACAAGTCTGTGTTTGAACACATCCACTGTTTGCAACACTTCACAATGAGCATAACCTCCCTGAACTGCTGGTCACCCCTCACAAAGCCAGTAAATAAGAAGCTCACAGCCTGTTCTTTTTTTCTAGAGGATAATAGGTCTGATTTTCACCCTTGAAACTCAGAAACAAAACCACTGCTCATGAGTAGCCTCTCTGTGTGATGAGGGTCAGGGCCTTTGGGCCCTCTATTAGCTCTTATTCATGTACTGTATTGACTATTTGCCATTTACTGATTAGGGCCAACAGTGTGAGCCTGATCTTCAAATTTAGAGCATCAAATCAAGCCTGCCGCCACAGCAGGGCTGAGGGTGGTTCACCGGTGACCAGAAATTGGTCTCTCCTGCTGAGAATTCACTCCCGTTCTTGCTGTCAGTTTGTTCTCGGAGACACTGATTTGCAGTGACGGATGGAGGCGACGCCTGGAAGAGCTGAGCGTCACAAACAACTCATCAGGACTTTTTTATTGCTGTCAGCTGCAGCAGACGACTGGCAGTTATGGTTCTCAAATCTGACAGCCAAAACCAAAAAATGGACGTCCCTATCCGCAAAAGACTTCCTAAAATGTGTCCTGAGCACTCCCAGCGCTCTCTCTGCTTCAGATCTGACTCAGGAACACAGGTATAAGTTATCATCGCTTATCAATATTTACATCAAGAAATAAGCAATCAAGTGTAGTTTAATATTCACTTGTCTACGTCCACTTTGAAGCGGGAAGGTTTCTCGCCATTTCAAATGAACCGCATCATAAAAGGAAACTAACTCTGAAATAAACAATGGGCAATTACTTAACCATAAAGGAAAGCGGCAGTGACTACCTGTTGCATTTGATCAATCATTCCACATTTGCAAGCCTGATGGAAAAACTGCAGGTAACACTTTACATCATCAGAGTTTAAGTGCAGAACAGAGCAGAACAAAGAGACGGGACATGACTGGCAGGCTGGAGTGGATACTTGACACACGCGCTGAATTTGTGACAGAAATAATCCGCCAGACGTTTCAATCATCTCAATTTCCGGCGTGTTCTCGTTCTCCTCACAGAGCTCAGACAACAACAACAGCCATCCGAGCCTAATGACTATCAGAGGAGAGCTCTTGTGGCTTTGTGTGTTGACACGAGGAGACGAGGCAATAACTCATCACTTGTCACATCGGTAAAATGTTGGTAGAGGAGACCGGAGAGCAGTAAGGTAGGGAGCACTGCTGAGAGAGATGAATTCTATTTTCGACCTCTGACTCCTGCACAGCAAAGGGGACGATCTGGAGCCCTCACTGCCAAGTGAATGCAGGTGAAGTTTTACCTGCTCCTGAAAGGTGAAGCAACTGATCCGCATCAAATAACGACCAAAGACGGACCCAAAAGTGAAGTCAAGCTTTAGAGCTCCCTCTACTGGTAGGCTGCAGTAAAGCTCATCTTCTCCATGTTAACAGATGGGACATGGATCAAACTTTAAAGTCTAAAATACATCTCACAAAGTTTGTTTTCATCATGCTTATTTATATGTATGTGTCAATTTTCTGAAGACCTGTAATTTTGATGTTATTTGATGCTTTTTTTACATAACATCGGCAAATGAGGCTCCTCTGTGCTGAGTAAAAGAAGAGCGATAAAGGAAAAGAAATAAAAAACACTAAAATAGGATAGAAATGGGAAAGAAATTTATACTAAGTTGAGTCAAAGAAGAAATGGGGACAATTTATCAAAGAGTGTTAGCTGGCTTTCCTCTACATACTCTTAATAAACAATAAGGTTATATTTTTGGTCTTGGCTGCATAAGACTTCAATAGAAAATAAATAAAGGCCCGTCTCTACCTGTCCCAAATAAAGACACGGTGAGTTCAAGATTGATCCAATTAAAAGCCTGGCGTCCGATTAAAGTTTTACAGTATTAAGGCAAAAAAAATCTAAAATTCAGGACTTCAGAAGTTAAGAAATATTAGACTTTTACAGACATTTTATGGCCTTAAATTTGAAAAATATAGTTTAAGACATCTTTCAGATTCACAGAATTCCTGTATTTCAGACACAGAGGATTGAGACATGATCCTAACCCTGACTTTAGAAACCCTCAGGATATAATTGGGCAATAAAGCTTAAAATGATGTTTCAAAATTAAAGCGTTCTTTGATTTTAATTGCAAAATTACAACACTGATCCTCTGATGCTTATGCTCACTGTAGCCATCGGACAAATGTAAGCACTGGTGCTTTTGTACTCGGGAAATTAATCCCTGATAAGGCTCCTGAGCTCTCTGGTAATGGTTCACTTTAGCTTCATCTGACTTCAAGGATATCTCTGCCTGCTGTGAGGGCTGATTTAACTGAATGTAAAATAAAAGATGAAACACAGTAAAGCTCTTGGTGGTTTTTACAAATTAAGAACCCAGACATTTAAATAAGGGGGATAACAAACCTAAAAAAAATATAGAACTATCTTCAAGTTTCACAGTGTTCATTGAGCAGAAATCAAAACCAAGAACTTGTCTGTACACATTTTAGCCACTTTTGTGGAATTGTCTTCAAAGCTTTTTGCACTCTCTGGCTTTTCAGCTCGTAACCCTGTTTGTTCCTGGAGCCGTGCTGAGTGGGTGAAATTGCTAAAGATGTGGTGATCAACACATTAGTGCAAGGTTGGTTGGAAGCCCTCTGAACCCTTTTCAAGCACCTAGGAATATTACACAGAGGTCTAAAGGATGATTAACAAGTGCAGTAGAAATACACAAGGCTCATGTTACAATTAAAATGTGATTGCCTCAGTAGAAAGACCCTGTCCTCTGCCATTATTGACTTTTTCTAACAAGGTAGAAACCTGGCTGTTGCTGAACCGAAGGCTCCACAGTGTCAGGACAGAACTGCCCTCAAGAAAACTTTCCAGAGGAGCAGGAAGCAAAGGAGTAGGAGGCAGAAGAAAAAGAAAGAGCGAATGAAAACCTCCCACATCACCTGAGGGGGGAGGATGGAGAAAAAGGTGAGATTTCATCCGGTCAGCAGCCGAGTGAGAGCGGCAACAGAGAGGGAGAGAAAAAAAAGGCATGAAAGGGAAAAGAGACGGCTCAACCTGTCTTTGAAAGTTTGTGCATAAAAACGGCTTAAATCAAGACGTAAGCCAGTGAAGGAAGCAGCTCGATACACCTTCAGAGGAGGACGCGGGGCGTTTTTTCCTCAATGTCTGGGCAAATTAATTAAGCAAATATCTGAAGGCTTTGTTAATGCTTCCTGCTCTTATCAAGAGGCTAATTATCACTATCAGCCGGCTCTGTTCGTCTTTAGGATTATTAGGCTAATCACAAAGCTTTCCCCTTCGGAGACAGGGCTTTCACTCTCCGTCTGAATAAAGCTGTTATTGTCTCCCAATGACACGGTGTCAGAGATGAACCCAATCAGTATTTGTACAGCGTAACGCTCCAGCAGAGACCAGGGCGACGGGTGAGTTTGTGCCGCGAGTAAGTGGCTCTCTCTCAGGTGCTCACGTGCTTGACCAAAACAAAGCGTGTTAAAGGAGAACATGCTCAAGAACCAGATGATTGCATTGTTAAAATTCAGCCTTCAATCGTTCACCTGTTAAACCTCAATAATATCACAGAAAAGTGCCTCACAACCTCACATTTCCCCAAAACAAAAACCTTTAAGCTAATATTTAACAGTGAGCAACTTTTCAATACTTCTGAGATTTCTTCAATTTAAGCCACTTTAGAATCAAATGATCGCTGCCTTGTTGTTATAATCTGAACACATCTTATAATTTCAGCATTTCAGACTCAGTTTCCCCTCTGTAATTGTTACATTTTGAACCTTGCTGCTGTTTTTGTTCTTTCTATTGCCTTAAAAATTAAGTTTTTTCTCAGTATGCCTGCTTAATTTTTAATTCATCTGCTTTTTCTGCCTTTGATTAATCTTATGATTTAGCAGGATGTTGCCACTCCTCTCTAGCAATGTTAAAATGATTCAGGATGGATTTTCTGCACAAAAAAGAAAGAAAAAGACAGAAATGTGAAATTAAATGAGTTAGGAGCTCTATAATTCTCACCTTGCAAAACCAGCCCACATTTACATGTTCGAGTTAGCTTTGGTCTGAATAAGTGTGTAATTTTTAAGCTAACCCCTTAGCATAGCACCAACAGCTAATCTGGCTCTGTCAAAGGTAACTAACCCATTAACTGCGGTGGATTAGAGGCCTCTGTCTGTAACACTTGATTTCAGCTACTGTCTCATTAAGACACTCCACACTCCAGAAGCCTCCTCCGCTGTTGCCATGCTACAAAGTCACAATTCTCTATTCAGAGTCATGGGTAGTAAATTTTAAGAGTTTTTCTGGTCGGGTGGAGTGTTTTTTACCCACTTCTAACTCAGTTAGTCCACGCGACACAAACTCAAAACTTCCATACAAAACTATAGATATTTGAGGGATTTTACAAACTCCCGTGGACAAGGCTGGACAGGCTGGACAGCCCCTCAAAAAAGGATATGTCCAGCTAAAAGCGGACGTATGGTCACCCTGAATTTTGGAACTTGACCATAAGTTTTCTGAGCTGATCTGAAAAGTTTAGAAAACGACAAAAAAAAAATCCCAAGTAATAACGAACCGAGCAGAACGCGTCTGTTTGGCAGTGTTACTTTTACTTCGGTCTTTTGAGGAGCAGGTCTCGAGTGACTTCAGCGTGATTCTTGTGTGAGTTTTTGAACAAGTCATTTAGCAAAATTTGTTGTCTGATCGACACATTAACACCACATAAAGCAACATTTTAACTTCAAAAAAGCCTTAAAGTGTAAAATAATTGTTGATTGTTCATATTCTGAAGTTTTAAAAGTGATGTAAATGTAAAAAAAAAACCCTGTTAGTTAAAAACCTGGGCTTTTTCTGCCAGGCTTCTTAGTGTTCCTCTGCTACATCTGATACCAACTGGTGGAGTCCGACCAATCAGAGGAAAGTGGGCTTTTATGCCTTAAAGAACCCAGAGCCTATATCGATTGTTTTTGTCACCTTGGATGGAGCCAGGTTAGCTGTTTCCCTCTGCTAAGCTGACCCAGTGTCTATGGTCTTAGTCCCTGTTATCCAACCTTTGTAAACTGCCCCACTTTTGCTTTTTAATTCTTCCACCTCACATGAATGTAGCTAAATCAAAAATAAACTACAACATCTTCCATGATTAAAGGTTTGAAAAAGGGGAGAAATAACAGCTGGCTGCAGGGGGGGTGATGCTGTACTGATGCAGGCAGGTTTTGCAAAGCTTCAAAAGCACCCCAGCTCTAAAGTATTCAGTGTTTCCAGACATGTCAAAGAATTTGCAAATACTTGAGCGTATTTGCTCAACCTGATAAGACAGTGAGGATGCTATAGAAGACGATAACCACAGGCGAGTTGTTGTTAAACACTATCTGTTAATCTCTCTCTCTCTCTCTGTGCCGGCGAACCCACTCGTCCAGCGCTCCGTGGAGGTAAAAAACAAATGATTTGCAAACACTCTTTGTCCCACCCCTTACACTGTCACATTCTTTGGCATTGGAAGGGAATGCAGAGGGCTCCCCCGGTCTTGTTTCCCGTGCTGTGCCGCCTGCCAACCCAATGATCTGTCCAGTCCCTGGCATTTCCCGGGGAATGTGACTGGAATGTTATCTGCTTCCAAGTGGAATGCCTGGGTCATGGTTTTGACTTGGATTTCACCAACAGGCCTGGAATCTATCCACTCTGGTGCTTTCTCCCATAATGCAACAGGCTGTTGCTGTCTGGAAAGCTCTCCTTGAAAAAGTCTGCATGCATGCCCTCGACATCATTTTCTTCCATGAAAATGCAAGGCTGATTTTTTAATGAAAGGCCGAATTCTGAGAAACTTACCTCCTTCTCAAGGAACCTTGAGAAGGCAGATTTTAGACACTTCACTAAATAAGACACCCCAATTCTCCATTGTCCTCAATGATGTCAGTCTGCAGAGGTAGAGGCGGATGAAGCTGTGCAAGTCGCCTTATCCACCTCTGCATTGTCGCAATGCTTCAAAGGTAGGGGGAGATGAAAGCAGAGGATACGAGCGCCCAGATAAAATCTGGAGATGGAACGACTGATCTGTGTTCTGCTCCTTCAAAGCGACACAGAAACAGAGATAGAGAGGGAGAATGAAATCGGCACCCGCTATTGGTTCAAAGGCAGATATCCCACGATCCAATGTACCACCTTTAGCTGGCTTTCCAAAGCAGCAGGGTGGCGGCAAACAGGACCTGCAATGATTGAGAAAACCCTCTCAGCGGGTTGAGTGATGGTTTAGATCCTCATTCAGATGGAGGACGCGTAGTGGAAAGCATCCTGGACTGTGTTCCTGTGATAAAACCACATGTTTAGAACCGGTCGTCTCTGAGTTGCGTTGGGGATTTAAAGGGTTTGAGCCCCAGTGTCCTGCGGGGGTGAACCCTCTCTTTGGTGCCGTCCACGGGTTTGCTGCAGGCCGCCCAGCCCAGGTCTATGAGCGGGGAGTCAGCAGGGTTCAGGGGGGCGATACGGAACGAGGGCAGCGTGGGCGAGCCGTTAGTGGAGCATGGCGCAGAGCGTGAAGTGGGAAATGGAGCCGAGAAGGGGTCAAAGGGTGAAGCCGTGTCCGAGCCACTGGAGGGGTCGGCCTTGAGGGTGAAAGGGTCGCAGTCTGGTGAGGGGAAAGGGTCACAGTTGTGGAACGGGTTTGTAGGGGAGGGATGGAAACCCAGGAGGTTGCTGTCCGAGCGGTTTGGGCTGCGGGCGCCTCCTGAGTTCCCGCCGCCGGCTGAGATGAAGCTCCAGGGGTCGATTCTGGGGCGGATAGGAGAGGGGCGGGGACGGGGGATGACGCTCACCTCCAGGCGGCGGGTTTTGGGGCTCCAGAGGGCAGGGTTAGGGTGAAGGGTGAAGGGTACTGAAGGTTTGTCATCAGGGTCCTGTGTGTCTTGACACAGAGGAAGATCCAAAACTGGAAAAAAAAGAAAGAGAGAGAAATAAAAACATTAAAGCAGGTTGATTTTTCCACATCTTTAACTTTGAAGAGCTTCAAAATAAAACAGCATATGAAGACTTTAGGTATAGTTTGAGGCTTTTTGTTGAAATTACTGTTACCCCACAACTCTCCTTGTTGTTTCTAAAATGTTCAGCAACCAGAATCAGTGTTTTGTTTTGTTTTTTGGCCTGGAAAGAAGAATCAGGCTAGAAGCAAACCCAAGCCATCCATGTGAGGCTTAACTTCCATAGATGAGTGCTAGGCTAGGCCAGCAGCACCTTGCAAACTTGTTTCTTTTTTTTTTTTGACTGTGCAGAGCTGCAAATTAGTCAAGCTGAAGTTTTCCTGCAACGATGTAATCAACCCTTACAGTGCAAAGCAGACAAACACTGCTATCCTGCCATCTGAGCAGTGCATATAATTAACAAATACCATTTGCAAATTGAAGTTGGAATCCACAGACTAAAACATATGCAAAGATTTGCATAGTGAGGGGCGTGGCTAAGATGACTGACAGGTGGTTGTGTTGCAGTTGTTAGTCAGAAGGCTGAAGTACGAAAGGGAGTTAGGGCCACATGAAGAGAAAAAAATAATTACAGGAAGGAGATTAAAGTCGAAATTTTGAAATTAAAAAAATCGAAATTATGTCAATAAAGTCGGAATTTCAAGATTACAAAATGTTGAAATTTCAAGATAAAAGTCGAATTTGGAGATAACAAAATGTGAAAATTTTGAGATTAAAGACAAAATTTCAAGACTAAAGTTGCCATGAATAAAGTTGAAATTTTGAGTTTCCTAAATTTCAACTTTAATCTCGAAATGGAAATTTAAAAACTATCCCTCCTGTAATCATTTTTTTCTCTTCTTGTGGCCTAATCCTCTTTCATACTAAAGGGTCGCCTAAGCTCCACCTCTTTGCATAAATCAAATTTGACCAAAAGCTAGAACAAGTCAGCATGGCGACAGTCGTTTGGCTTCATTAGCAATCAACAGGTGATGTCTACATCCTTAAGGGTGACCCTTTTACACCACAATGACATAAGCGGGGGATTTTATAACCCAAGTCCAGAGCCAAAGCTTGGATTAAACCACTGCTGCACATGCCGGGTAATATTCATTAGAATAAGTGAGCAAACATTTTTAAATAAAAGCAACCAAAGTGGAGTCCTCCTCCTTCAAACAAAGTCACGCAGCAGCTGAGAGGCTGAATATTCAACATATTAAACCTCTTCATCATCCTTCCTTTCACTTTCTTGTTTAGCTTTAATTGCTTATCTTCAAATTACTCTCAAACTGCTCTGCTGGTGCCCTGCTGCTCTTTTATGAGATCCTCTCCGCACTCACGAACATTTGCTGTCTAATATCCCGCAAAACACCTTAACCTGTCGGAATAAACTGCTCCTAATGGGAACATGAGAGTGGTACATGACTGCTGGAAAACAAACTCACATAATGCTGATACAATTAGTACAAATTAAGCACAACTTCTCCGTGTGTGACTTTATTGACAAAGCTGCTACAGCAGCAAACAGAAATTAAACTCTGAATAAATCAGCCTGAATGAACATTTGCTTCTTCCAAATGTGATGTGTCTGCCAAATGGCATTATTTACATCAACTGCAACTCTCCGAGGCCGCACAGCTTTTTAGCTGACACGAAAGAGCAATCAGGAGTCACATGAGAGCAGACGAGAAACACCAGAGCAGGCAGCCTTGGCATTTATCTCGCTCTTTCAAGCTCCCATTCACCGCCAGCATCCTTGTGGCATTCTGAGTGTCGATGCAACACCCAAGTCCATGTCATTACACTCAATAAACATAAAAAGATGTTCAGCTAAACACATGCTTTAATTACATGAGGGCTTTTTGCCTCTGTGTGCACCGGTGTAATCAACACATGTGGTTTGTGAGATTATCACTGTAAGCAGCAGAAGCAGGCGATGCATGTCTTCTCTGTACCTGCAGGCAAAGCCGTGAGAAACTCTCTGTGGAGAATCCGGGGCTTTGTGAGTCAAACGAACCAGATATAGAGTGTGAAATGTTACCAAGGGGGACCATTAAAGCCCTCCACAAAGCCCGCTTGCTCTTCAAACAACCAATACCAACGCCTCCTTCATTACAGCTCCAAACTGAGTCAGTGCCTCCAAGAAAACCATGTGAATGTAGTGTAAATCAGAGTGTTACTGATATGCAGATCATGTCTGCTAGCATGGCACTTACATGATTTAACACAAACGTATGAATGTGTTCCCCCGAGGACTAAAAACAGCAGATTTTAATACATAAATATAGAAAGGAAATGAATGCTAATCCCTCTTTCATCATGTCTGGTGTGTTTCTTTACACATGGTATATAGGGATGCATCTTAAGCAGCTCTTGAATTCCAATGAGGGCTTTTACAATCAAATATATGTCAGTAATGACGCAGATATCTCCCTCATGAATGCTCTTGCAGATTTATATAGTGCGGATGTGAAAACCATTTTCTTGCAGAAGTTCTCACTTCTCAGTTCTCAGTCCTTAGCAGAGGGTTGCTCTTGTAGGACTATCACTCAACTAATAAGCTTGTTTGCAACAAGTTAAATTGATGTTTACCAGCGTAAAAAATGCAGAAAATTTGAGGATTTCATCATTAACAACACAATAAATGATTAAAAATCTGGAAAAATCTCTGCATAAAAAGAGAAAAGGCCCAAAACCAACACTGGATGGCCTCAATTTTGCATTCTCAGGTAATACACATAGACTGTATAAAGAATGGACGCCGTCTGCCTCCTCGCTGGGTGAAACCACAGTGAGAACAGCACCCTCTGGTGACAGGCTACAGTACAGATCATAAATCCTGCCTCTTCCAGCAATCCCTATAAAGCTGATGACAAACTTTCAAAATTAATTACACAATATAAATTTTTCTCCACCCTGCTTGTGATGTTGACATGTAGTTACTGTAAGAGTGATTTGTGCTCAACTCCTCTTTTTTTCTGTGCAGCTCCATTTTAAAAGTTATTAGGGGGTTCATGTTTTCTATGATTGACACTTGATACAGCCTTTAAGCATACAGAGATTGCATAGCTCATCCAGGGATAAGCTGTTTGAGCCAAGCATTATCACAGCGACTCTCAGTGACTCTCCCACCGAATGCGTATAATGCTACTGCGCAAGGGGTGGTTCTAGGAAGTGGAGAAAATCCTGGATATACCGAGAGCATTTTGGCTTGAAATTCGTATAATGACGGAAGGCGGAGCCAAGTTGTTCAAAGTGTATACAGTCTATGTTAACACTGCATTAAAAACAGACAGGACTTTTCAGTGGAAATCATTGTAGGAGCAAAAAATCACCTCCAAAAACCTTCATTTTTGTTTTGCTGTATCCACACTAAACTGAAACATAAACAAAGGAAACCACGTTACATAATCCAAAAGCAAATTACTTCTCTGGGCCCAAGCTTGTTTAGATGGACTGAGTCAAAGCGGCAAACTTTTCTAAGGTAGGAAAAATCTAAATCTGACATTCTTTTTGGAAATCATTGATGCCTCATGTTTAGTTGCAATATTGTTTGGATAAGGACCTAGACTATTTTTTCATATTCTGGCAAATCTAATATTGACATTCTTCTTGGAAAAGGTGGACTTGGGATCAGCGCACAGTTCAAAGCCAGAATCTGTGATGGTGGATGGGGATGCATACGTGTTCGGGACATGGTTATTCCTCCATCAGGCAACTTAACTGGACGGCTGTGCGGTGCGATTTGCTCATACCAGGCATGAATCGATTTATTAAATTCAGTATGTACTCTTCTGCTACTGTAGGTGGCGATATGCACCATTTCAGCTTGTTGCTGCTTTGCTGTCTCCTTTCTTGAAACGAATCTCCTCAGATACCAAATCTGAACAGAAAGTTGTAAAAAGAAGAGCTAGTGAACATGCCGATTTCCCAACGATTTTTAAAAAACACATTGCTGACATATTTTTATAAAATAATGAAACTTTTCAGTCTCTCTAAATGAACCAATTGAACTAATTGGATCATCTGGTTCTGCTACATTTCCAGTGGCGTCTCCTTAGGTCAATTAGAACCACCACAGAAAACATTATTTTGAATTAGGATAATTGTGTATTAGACAGTGGCCAGAGTAGTTGATGAGCAACCTTTTAGTTGACAACCACTCAAAATCATGTGGTAGCAATTTTAAATAAAGCAACCTCCATCTGAGTGCGACTTCAGCTGAGCTGCTGACTGCTTTGCATTCAACTTTGCAATTAAAGAAAAACTGAAAAGTGACTTGAAAGAGAGAGAACAACAGAAGATTGGATGCTAGCTTTGCTTAGCAAGAATTAGCAGAGAAATACAGAGGGCCAGCTGTTACCTGAGATATGCAAATAGCTGCAGACAAGCTTTGATGTCAATGAAAAAGGCTTGTGCTGCATTGAAGCTTCCCTTGTGTTTGAGAGATCTTGCCTAAAAAGAGGCATAATAAAAAATGAGCAGGAACTGTGAGGGGGGAACGTTGCCATGCTGAGGTGCTGCATTATTCAGGGGAAACGCTGGATCCAAATTCAGCATGAGGCCTTTCTCAAACATGCTCGGTGCTCTTGAGGAAACGTGGATGAATCACGCGGATAAAACAAAAACAGAATCATGGATCCAATCTGGAGAGGAGACTATAATTTAAAGTGGCACCACAGGGATTTAGCTGGACTCTTTTATAACGCTGGGAGGTTTGCAATAGACAGATGATTTAAAAACATTCAAAAGTGTTCAAAAGAAAATCAGCAGATGCCTCAATTATCTGAGTTCTAGCTTCTTTTTCAGTCTGGCTCATAGACTTTTAATTGAAAGCTAATAAAGCAACCATAATTTCAACCAACATGTTACCGACTACAGCTATAAAGCTTCAAACTTTGCATTTCAGCTTTTAAAATTCAGAGTTTTTCCTAAACTACAGGTTGGCTCTGGAGAGAGGCAACAGGACAACAAGTCATTTGAGTTAAAAAGCATATGCTCATAGCAAAATAAGTACAACAGGACTATAAAGGCAGAAAGTGCCAGCAGATTTGAGCTAATTCACTGTTTGATCTGACATACAATATGTAAACAAGAGAGTGAGAAGATGCTGAACTCAAAGGGTGATTTTGAATCAGAAATATTCTCAGCTGTCCTTTATGCTAACTACGGTGCTCAGGCTGTCAAAAAATAAACCTGTTTATAATAGGGGTGTCCTGATGCAACTTTTTTACCTCCGATACAATACTGATATTGTAGCCTTCAATATTGACCAATACTGATATTGATCCGATATTGGCTTTTTCACTCAGCTGCAATGTCTTTTTTGGACTTAAACAAAAAATACTGCCACAAGGCCAACATCACTCTTACTCCTTGGTACTTTGTTCGTACCTTAGTACACACTGTTGTTGTGATCACATTGGCTCTACCTGCTGGATCCGGGTGCTGCTAGATAGAGGCGCTGGAGCGGAGACTGGAAAGGACTGCTTGTAATGGAGTGCTGATATCAGAGATTTTAGATGCAGGCTGATATAATCCAATGTTTGATTTTTTGTTAATATCGGATATTCGATTTCAATATCGAATCAGGACAGCCCTAGTGTATAATGACCACAGAGGCTGCTAACAAGCCAGGTGCAGAGAGCACAGACCTGGATATCTGCTGTCTTATAGAATATATATAATAGTAGTAGAAGTAGCAGCAGCCAGCAAGCTAGCAGGAGCAGATCTCGAAGAGATAATTGAGCCTTGTTCTACAATGCAGGTCTTACTATTATTTTACCATGTTGCAAAGGCTGTTCACATTTTTAAAGCTGCTGTAAGGTTGGATATTTTAGATATGAGGCTTGTTGGGGTTAAAAGCTTTTAGTAGCTTCACTCTACCCCAAGCTTCCTCCAAAAACTGGACTTCTTCAGTTCCCATGATAAACTTTTGCTTGTTCCACAACACCCAGCAGAAAAACATGTCATAGCCGGAGTTAGTGACCCGGAGTTTATTAAGAAGTGTGTTTACTCCCTCAGCGTCCCCTGAACTGGCTTTAGCCTTTAAAATTGGTGTTTTGACCCTTTAACATTTAAAAATATGGAGTCACACTGACCCAGCTGTGAGGCGTGTAGGCCTTGGCTGGACCTCCTCCTCCTCTCAGCTCTGTGCTCCCAAGCCTCACACCCCAGCTCCCCGTTTGACGAGCTAGAACTCGGGGTCCACTCCCCCGGGCTGGCGCCTCCATGTTGCAGGGGAGTCCTGGGGGTCTGTGGGCTTTGCGGCATCTGTGGCGTCCGATGGCCGCTTCTCTCACGAGGGTTGGGCGGAGGGGGGGTCAGGGGCAGCGGCTTGAGTTCTTGGTACTGCAGGGCTAAATCCAAGAGCGGTCTGGGGAGCTGCTCAGAGGTGGAGAAAGTGATGAGATCATCCACAACAGGTGGGTCCGAAATGAGGGGCTTAGGGGCAGAGATCTCAGGTTCAGAGGGGGTGCGGTCCCCTAAGGAGGAGGGGTTAGTTCTCGGGGGCACCCGTGGGGGAATATCCAGACAGCGTCCTAGTCCTACAGATGCTAGGAGAGATCCACCGCCCAGCAAGGCCCGGTGAGTGGTCTTGACCAGGCCGCCCAGAGAGCCCCTCTCAGGCCTGGGGGAGCCAGCTGGAGAGGACCCCCCCTCCTCGCTGCTGGAGTCTCTGTGAGGTAGAGGAAGCTGCAGGCTGTCCTTCACTAAAGAGCCTGCAAAGACAGTAAAATGTGCTTTTTTTAAGTTTTAAAGAGACAGAGAAAGAGAGGCAGCATTAAATATTCATTCAGCTTTTATTTATAATTCACACTCTTGTCAGTGTGAATCCTAACAGCCGCTAATGGAAGATATGCAGCTGGCAGTTAGGCTGCTGATGGAGGGCAGCACCGTACCGTTCTGAGCAGCAGAGGGAGGAGGTGTGGAGGGTCTGTACTCCTCAAAGTCATCCTTAGAGTCCCCGTTCTCATTGCTGTCTGACTCCAGGAGCTTCGCCCTCATGGACAGACTGAAAACAGAGAAATTAAAGAACCATTGAACTGCTTCTATCAGAGCTGGGTTTCTGTGTAAAATGTAAATAAAGACAGACTTCGAGAGCTTGTAAATCTTTAACTTTTAACTGAAGAAAGTGCAAAGACAACAAATCATAATTTACACCTTATTGCTGCTTTATGCAATTTTGAACCCATGCCATGATTTTCACTACAGATTCATGCCTTTTTGGTTCGTAAAAGGGATTTTGGCATTAAACATTTTCACAAAACCACAACATTTCCCAGTTTTACAATCTGATCTGCTGATTTTTCCTTTTTTCTATTACATATTGACTTTAAATGATTTGAAAACCACCAAAATTATGTTTTCATCAACACTTTACACAGCATCCTCACACTCCTGTAACTGGAGTTGTAGGTACGATCAAATCCTTTATTGTTTTTATATCAAGGAGAAAATGAGGATCTGCTGTACCTGCTTTCCTGGGGGCTTAGACGAAGGACTTTCGGGCTTTTGGGACTTTTTGGGCTCTGCGGCCTCCAATGGGGGCACAATCTCAGGTCTCCATTGGGTTGTTTAAGATTAGGGCCCTCTAGGGGCCATACTGAGCTCAGGCCAAACGTCCTGCTGTTGTCACTGGGGCTGACTGCAAAGGAAAAAAGAAGAAAAAGAAGACGGGTTTAATATCAGCACACACGTCATCAGTATGCTCAGTGCTTAGCTGTATGAGCATTCATTAAGGGCAGGTTTTACCAGTAAATCAATGCTGCGCCAAACACCGGGGGCTGAATTTATTTGTCTTACCAAGCTTAATCTTGTGCACCAAAGATGAAGGAGTTGTATGGATGGAAATATGTGAAATAACCATTATCAAAACAGAAAACACACAATATCCTCCAAGTGTGCACATGTGCTCTGACATGACCCCACAGAGCTATCAGGTCTTCATCAGTGGGTTACTGGGAGCTTGAGCTAACTGACTGCTCAACAAAAACACAAATTATGACATTATAATGAAATCGGATCACATTTGATCTCTGCACTTTTAAAGATTCGTGATAGCCAGTTTGCTCAGTTATGGGGCCCACACTTAAGGCTCCAAGCACTGGGGAAAATGCTTGTGTTTACACTCTTAGACTGCCTGAAGAAGGAGGGTTTCGAGTCAGAGGGGGGTACAAAACCAAACTCTGACTCCAGGGTCAAGGAAGACGCGAATTTAGGTCTGCGCCTGCCCTCGAGTAACAGATACAAAACGCTGCTATCGTCCAAGTGTCAAAAATGTTAAGTGAAAAGAGTTAAATTGGTTGTCTCTGGTCATTCTCAGGAGAGACCTACTCACTACTCACATTTAAATGTTTAAGAAGATGCACTGCTTTTTCCACTTTTTCCCAATATGCTCAAGTGAAAGTAGCAACGAAACTCTCTGTTGATACAGCCGAGCTGCATCACACCAGAAAGTCTCACAGAGCAGAGGGTGGGGAAAAAGCAAATAAAGTCACCCAGAGGACAAGATGAGAAAAAGTTCAGAGTGCTATTTAAAGAAAAGATTTCACCTCCAGCAAGCACACTTCAGGCTCCGACACCCTATCCCGTCCAACGACTTCCATCACTGACTGCTAACAAAGCGTGAGTAAACGCTGTTAAAGTTTTCATTCACACAATTCCAACCCTGCTGAGGTTTTCTGCCATAACACGACACCTGACATGTTGGTCCAAAGGGACACAGATTTAACACACTGCAAATAACACCGAGTAAACTTCTGTTTCAGCTTCTCCTTCGTAATTCTTCTGTTCATGTCATTTCATTTCAGCTTGGGGGACGTGTGAAGTTTAACACGTTTCTGAATAGATGTGATGTTTTCTTTCTTCTGCACGAAAGATTTCTGACTCAGATCACCCACACGGTGTTTTCAGAGAAAGCGCAAAAGTCAGGTGATGGTGTCAGCGCTGCTATTGCATCATGATCTGTAAATTCTCCAGTATAATGAAAGCCATGTCTTCTTTGTCACAATAAATCAAGGATGTTTTAAGAGTATATCTTCATGGTGGTGACATCTATTATTACTGCATATATTGCTGCACTAGATCTAGATTTGGCAACATAGTATTTCCTGTGTCATTGAAGAGTGGGGAAGAAAAAATACAGGATTCTATTGATACCAATGCCATGATCGGTTCTGCTTATCCATCTAATATCTTCTATAGATTTTCAGTGTGGAGAAAATCAGCCTGTACAGGTTTAGTGCTTATGATATATAGTTTATGATTAGTTGTATTTACTTTACTCTGCTAAAACAAGGGAGCCTGGCTTCTTTAAAGGTCAGCTGATCATAGATAAAGCTTGTAATTGGTTGATAAACTATGACAAATATGGCAGCTTTCCATTTGCAGAGTCAGCTAACAAAAGAAATATCACTTCTTTAAAGCATAAATCATCACAGATTACTTCCTTTTTAGTTGGTTTGGATCCAGACAGACCCTGAAAACACACTGCTGTTGCTGACTGATGAAGAAAAACTGCCGGTCTCACGAAGCGAGTGGATTTTACATCAAGTTGGTTACTGTATATTCTACTTTTCAAAGCTGGTCTTGTATATGACAGTGTTTTGGATCGCTCCTGTCTTCTTCCCACTATGTTCACTTGCTTAATTGTCATTCACGCTAACAGTCTCTTGCGTTATCTCACATCATTAAGTCACAGGGCGTGCAGAACTAAGAGGAAGGCATCGATTAAAGAACCATTATGCTTAAAAGAAAATGGCGCTGATGGCTTAAACTACTGGAAACCAGTTTTGATCTGGAAATGGCATTTCATTCCCACTTCTAGTGAAGTTATATTACCCCAATTAAATACCCAAATACTTGATTCTGATTGGTCAAAACCAGATAACAAAAGTGATGCCAAGGACAGCCTGAATACGCTTGTCTGATCAAATCACTCTGCAATAAGAGAAACTGTGGGAAAACTTTAATCTCATCCTAATCCTGTCCTGCAATCCAGGAAACAACAGCTGCTTCAAAGCATTTTGAAGCTGATCTCTATAAAGTACTGTTAAGATTTTTACACCATAGGTTTTTCATATATGTTGAACAGCATTCGTTTGATTGTACCTCACACCCAGCACTAGGGGTGTCCTGATACAACTTTTTGACTTCCGATATGATACTGATGTATTCTTCAATATTGACTTAAACAAATATACTGCAACTAGGCCAACATCACTCTTACTCCTTGCTACTTTGTTAGTACCTTAGTACAAACTGTTGTTGTGATTTTGTGGGCTCAGCTTGCTGGATCAGGGTGCTGCTAGATAGAGGTGCTGGAGTGGTGTCTGGAATGGACTTCTTGTATCGGAGTGCTAATATCAGAGATTTTAGATGCCGGCAGACATAATCTGATATTCCTTTTTTTGCTGATATCACACCAATATTCTATATCAATATCGTATCGGGACACCCCTACCCAGTACGGCTGAGGCTGATTAAGAAATGAGTAGTGTTGCAGGTTTTAAGCCATAAATCAGAACAGTGACTTGAAGATGACCCTACATTAAAAATATAACACAGAGTTATTAAAGTTCATCCTGAGGGGCTACATAAATATCTGTGCCCAATTTTACTCCAATCCTCCAGGTAAAAGTTGAAATATTTAACTGGATACATGAGGAATTTAAACTGATGGTCACAGTGTGAAAAAGTTCAGAGGATCACCTTAACTTTAAATTATTCCTCCTCTAAGGGACCGTGGTTATCTGTACCAAATTTCATCCTAAATCACAGAAAAATTGGTGAGATTTTTCAGTCTGGATCAAAGCGGAGGACTAACCAGCCGGCACAGCCAGTCCTCGCTGTGCTGCATGCAAGGCCAAAACAGCGAGTATTCGCTTCATCACGCAAGTATGTGCATGCACAGACATCCAAGCTTCAGGTAGTCTAGACAGAATGACATCCAGAAGGAGAAGAGAGGCACCATGAAAATGACAAATGTTGTCCCCAGATAGAGAATAAGGAGGGTAACATTATCCACGGAGTGCTGAGACAGGATACAACCACAGCACATAGAGTTTCTCTTTTCAGTAACTGGCTATATTACTGTCATCACTGTGCACTGAGTCACAATCAATTTTATGTGCAAAATTACCTCTCAAGTAGGCTAATTAAAACTTTCAGTCTCACGGCCAGTATAATTTACTAATAACTATCAGATTGTGATAAATTGATTGTTGTCGTTCAAGTTTCATGCACAGCCCTCGGGGATCACAAGACACCAGATAAGCACACAGCTGAAGCGATCTTTGGAAGCATGTTTTTTTAATGCTCTGCAGCTCATTCTCGAGTTTCTCCTGTAGCCTCTGCAGACAGAATCTGCTCCATAGTGATGCAACATAACAGGAAAGATGCATCTGTTTCAACTTTTTGGAAATGAGCTACAAGCATATAGTTTCTGTAAAAGAGTAACACCTTTTAGTTGTAACATTTAACATGTTCTTTTGCATAATTTTCAATTAAAAAAAAATTGGCTTGTAATGTTTGCAGACCATTAAATTGTAGTTTATAAACATTTTAACACAATGTTCTACCCAGGTCTGTTGCAGTACACTGGTACTGACGTCAATCATCCTTTGAAAAAAAATTAATATTTCTATCATGCTTAAAATAAGCAAATGGCACACTGGCTGCCACACGTCATAAAGCTGCTGATAGAAAAAGACTGCTATGGAGCTAGCTGTAACAGCCCTCAGATAAATAATAACACACTGTTCAAGATTTTTTATGAATCCAAAATCACTGTCAGGTTAGTTATCAACGGAACATTTATACTATTATCGTTTTCTCATTTAGTTCTATAATGTATAATCCACTGGCAGTAGTACCCTTCAAAATAAAAGCATAATGAAGGCTATAAAGGAACCTAAACCCAAGATAGAAAAAATATCAAAATAAAAGCATGACAATAGTTCAATGAGGAGCTGACCCCTCCAAAAAAGTTTCAGTCACAGGGCTGATGATAAATCCCAAACTTAAATATAGTCAGAAACAGATGATAATATGTGAGGTAATGACATTTATTACTGTGAGAAACTAAGTTTTGGTGCTTCCTGTGGACAAAGCAGACACTGCTCGGCTTGTCATTCATATATTTCAATAGTATCTTATGACAACAAATATCAACCTGCTGACATTTTACAATCAAATAAGTCATTTATCATTAAAATGTATGTAAAAATATAAAAACATGAATCTTTCCTCAGCTGCTCAATTATCATCTGCCCCCCTCATGCCAGATTCGGGCATTAAAAACTACAGCTTAAAAATGGTCACGAGTGACACAAGTGGTCTTGCATGCTTTTGTGGATCATGTTAAGGCAACAACAAGAATTTTAGTCCATTTTACTGACATCAAAAACCTCCTCACAGGAGCTTTAAGTTCACAAAATATCACTGTACACTCCCAGTGTAAAAAGTCCTTTGGGCATTCATTGATCTAAGTTTCTTGTTATCTAGTTTGGTAGATTTTGGCACACTGAAATACTAAATCCCTGATATATGACCACTCTGCAGCACACTGCTCTTTCTAAAGACTCTGTGGAGTGATCCACATCAATGCAGCAGTTGTCTGGTAGACAAATAAGTTTGGGGGGCCCAGCAATAAATCACTGCTTGTACTGAGAGGGCAAGCATAAATATCCACTAAACAGATTTTAATGGCAGACACCCTCATGGCTTAGTGATTGCCATTAAGGAAAGTCATTAGGAAGTGAAGGAAAAGCAGCCCTCTGTTTGATGAGTAAATGAAGCTGGCAGATGTTTTAGATTTACTAACCGCTTTAACAGATAAATGTTTCACCGCAATTTGCGCTTTCATGTCAACACCCATTGGTAATTGTTTTAAAAATCCCTTTCATGGCCTCCTGCTGCACCACAAATTTCCTCTTGGGTTTTATTAAGCTACTCCATGACCTACAGGCAGCAATTTCCCTCCAAAGGGAAACAATCTCAGGGCGTTTGTCTAAAAGCCTGACAAGCAGGAGAGTATTGTAAATCTCTGCCGCTGCTGCAACCCTTCTCAAACCTTTCTCCTGGAGCAATGAATTCCTCCCTGCTTATTTTTAATTCACCAAACCGCACTGTAGCCGCTACATGCATATAAAACTGGAGAGTATTTCTGCCTAGAAAATGCAGCTCAATGGTGCCCCCTGCTGCAGCGAGAAGGACACTCCAGGCGAAGAGCAGTGGAAAAATGCTGCTGAGGAGTGCTGAGCTGCTGAGAGGAAGTCAGATAATATTTGGACTGGAGCAGACTGTGTAAAAGGGAAAAGGGTGTGTGTGAGAGAGAAAGCAGAGAGGCAGGGAGGGAGAGAGAGAGAGTGCGAGAGAGAGGGGGCCCATGGGGAAACGGTGGAAGACAAAAAAGACGAGTGGGTGGTTGGGAGCACATGAAAGGGGAGAATTTTGGAAAATGAAAGAAGTAATGTTGCAACACAGTCTGAGAGTGCATGCAGAAAAAGAGATCCCGCATTATTCAGTTTTCTACATGCCCCTCTAAGCTCACACAAACACACTGTGAACGCACCTGTTTACCTCTTTACCTGAGCATTTGTGTGTGTGCGTGTTAACTCGAGGAAAAAAAACAAAACCTGCACTCACGTTGGATTGCACGAAAACGTGGGCCGAAGGAGGGCGAGGAGCCTGAACCCAAATCAGGAGAGTTGCGCCTCTTTTCCAAGCCTGGAGACGCCTGCACGGTTATCTTATGGATGAAATCTGCAACACAAACATATACAGCAGATGTTAGACCACCTGGATGTTAAGACACCAGCCAGAGCGCTCACTTAAGTTTCAAAGTTTCCTTAAATGACCTCCTTCTCATTAACTTAAAAGTTACCAGGAGTTTTTAGAAAAGTTCTGCTGCTTTATTTAGCCTCCTTATTACTCCTTAATGTCATGCACTGGATTCTATTGTAATGGGAAATCAATGCAATATGCATGCACCTCTCAGCATGAAAACAAACAACGTGAAGACAGTGGTTCTTCTATTCTTACTTTGTCTAATCAGGATTAAAAGGTTTGTGTTTCAAAACTAATTTCTCAGTCAGGTGTGAAGCTGAATATATTGGTGGTGACATGTCTCCTTATTTATGTTTTTAGGGCGCTTACACAGCCATCCAAACCCTGTACGACCAAAGAGATGCATCTGAATACTCCACATACAATCTGTCTTGTTTTTCTGTTGCATTACAGTCCACAAGATATCACTCGGACAGTCTTCTTTGTTCAAGTCTCATAACTTTGGAAATGTTTGCCAACTTTTGTGAGCAGATGTATCAGTAGCTTAATGTTAATGATGTTATTCCCCAGCCTGCTGTACTCTGTGACTGTACACTAAGTTACTTTACACAAACTCCACTGAACACTGACTCCCTGCTCACTGATTTGTCTCACACGCAGCGGGAGCTGACACTACACAGACACACACATCTGCTTGGATGACTGGTGTGCATATGTCGTCAAAGAAAAAAACTTGTAGGTTACAGCAAAGTTGTTAGTCTCAGGGGGGTTTCCGTCCGCGTTAGTAATGCTGATGTGACAAAGCAAAACTTATGGCACCACATTCAGAAGAAAGAAGAAGATCCGATTTTTCTTGAGGCTAATTATAAGTGAGTTGGCAGTGTGTGCATATAGCGGAGAAAGAGGATGTGATACCATGCACTGAGATGCATTAAGATGCATGTTGTTTGGTTGCGTTGAGAAATGTGGACTCCTGCAGAAATCTGGAGCAGATAAGGAGAGCAGGGCAGAAACAAACCCTAACATAAGAGTCAAAGAAGTCTCCATGATCATAACTGTCAGCCCTGTTTTAACAGAGAAGCCTCATTTGCTGCAGACTGTACTTACCTGAGGGGTTATCAGGTAGATATTTATTTGATTCACTCATGCATTACATTTTTGTCTCTTATTTTGGGCCTAAAATTACACTTAAAGAAATAACTCCTAAGATTTACTTTAAAAAAATATATTGTAAGTAATTACACGCAAATGATTTAAGTAAAATTTAATATCTCTGTAGTATTTGCTGTTATGAAGTAATTAAGTAGATATTCAGTATTTTCTTGTGCTTGACATTTTAAACTACCTTAGCAGTCACAGCTGACCTTAGGCAGACTGATGGAAACATGGCTGCCAATTTGCTCCCACAGCCTCTCCGACCACCACCACCGCACGACACTCACAATCATACACCAGTGAAAGAGACACTCTGGCAGCAAGGTGGGTTAAGTGTCTTGCCCAAGGACACAACAAACAGACTAGGGGGGAATCAAACTGCCAACCTTCCAGTCATTCGGTGACAGCTTTACCTCCTAAGCGAATGATCCTGTAACATCTGGACTCTGAGCAGAGTCAGTCCTGTTGTAGGCTACAGTGGGCATGCATCGTGCATGCTTTTCAAAACGCTACTCTTCCAGTGTAAAGTTTATTTGGAATTCGTAGGTTTATTTACATACAACTATAAGAACGTGAAGCATTTTATCATAACTTACAAGGTCAGGTATTATAATGTGTTATGCTTATTGTTATAAAGCCTTATGATAATTAATTAGAGTTCATAATGATAGTTATACAAGTTTATAACACATCATAAATGTATGTATAATGCATTATTTATGTGGGCATTGTCAGTGAGTTGTTAGCTGCTATAACACATGATAATACCTGACCTTGTAAGTCATGATAAAAAGCCTTATAATGTTCATGATTATTGTGATAAAGCATTATGATCATTTTTGAGTGCTTATAACTATAGTTATATGGTGCTATAACGTGATCATAATGCATTATACATATATTTATAATGCATTATAGAGATAGGTGTCAAGTAAAATGTTACTAAACATTTAAATAGTATAAGGAAACCTGAGTGAAACTTACTCTTCACCCATAATTTATGTATTACATTAAAAAAATGTTTAATTTAACTCAAGAAACTCTAGTGCTTTATGAATCTTAAAAATACAAGGTAGAAATTATGCCAGTTACTCTAATAGACTTTACTGCACCAAAAAGTCCCTTTTTTCAGTGTACAAAGGTGTCCAGACGGGGACATTTGACCTAAAAAAATACAGATTTTATATCTTCAACAGCCAAGCCAATGGTACTGCGCAACACTATGCCAAACTTTTCTACATATTTACCCTTCACACAACTACAGCAGAGCAAAGTTTAAAATGCAACTACATAACCTCCTTTAATTATGAATGCACTTTAACACTACCTATTTGCATATTTATCCTTATATTTTATGTTCCTCCTTAAGCTCAGCCTTAAGAGTACGCTGCTCTACATTTCTCCACACGTACTGCTTGTGTATGTGACAAATAAGACTTCCAAATCCCAAATAAGCGCACCCTCTGCATGTTCTCTGTTCCTGCTTTTACAATATGCAGGATTAAGGCTAATATATATGCAGCTCTGCAGACTACAAAGTGAAAGAGCAACTTGGGGTGAAGCAAAAAAAAAAAAAGATAATATTTATGTAGGGAAGAAAAGAAGAAAAGGGAGTCAGGGAGATACGGTTATGAGAAAATAAAAACAGGGGGCAGGAGGGTGAAGGAGGGATGCCTAAAAAGAAAAGAGTGAGAGCGAGAAAGTGAGAGAGGCCAGCCAGCAGTGTGTCCATGGACAGGAAGCGTCGAGGCGTGGTTGGCTCACTCTCCCCTCTCATCAACCCCCCCTCCACCACCACAACACCGCCCTGCTGCTGCTGGGAAAGGCCTAACCACACCGCATACACACAACACACACAAAACACACTCACAGACACACACACAGACTGCATTTACGCATGCCTGCTCAGTCCAAAATACAGTCAGACACGCTGTGAGAGACACTGGATGTGAACTGCAGCGACTTTGTGACAGCAGAGGGAATGTGAATGTGTACAGCTGAGTGTTAGTGGAAAAAAACAGGAGCGGGGACTTACTGAGTACCTGGGATCCACATCTAACACTGTTAACAAGGACTTCTCTGACATGAAACTATTACAACTTTGTCACTTTACACCTTTTCTCAAATTTATTGCATGAATACTGCAGCCTCTTTTCCCAACTTCAAACACACTTAAGTCCAGCCCTGACAGGAACCTTTGCAGCCGAGCAACAATATTAACACTGTTACACCACAAAACTCTTGCACACACTTCCTCTTCTTTGCTGTCTTGTGTTTTCTTCACTGTTGTTCTGGCTGAAGTTATTTTCCTTTCACTACAAACTCAAGATAATACAGTAAAGCTGGTTAACCCTTAGCCTCATGATTATGTTTGCAGGCCTGCATCAGTTATTCTGAGGAGCTAATACAAGCTCATTCATTCTTGTACATGTTCTGGGGTGATGCTACATGCTGCAAAACTAGAACAAATTCACAGTGTCGCTGAACAGGAAGCTTACACACCACCAAAAGGTGGCATTATGCAGACTTACATGACATTTTGCTCACTTCAGTGATCTGTAAATTTATTGTTTCCCTTCAATTTCGCATCAATGCAGGTTTTTTTTTAATGTTTAGCACTAAGTTTGCACTCTTTGTAAAGGTACTACGTGACTTTGTACATTTATAACTAAGCTTTGAGGCTGTAAGGGTTGCTGATTACTGTTTTTGCTGATGTTATGGGATGTTTTTGTTTCACTGTGAGCATGTCTAATGTGTTCTTGTTGGCTGCACACGTCTTACAATGATTCTGCAGCATGTGTGTTTTAAGAGAAGATGATATGCTGAGTAAACACGCATATGTGTTGTTTTCAAGCGTGTGTTGTTTCAACTCCTGTGTTTCCTCAGGGGGGTCCTCCACACTGGGAGCTGTGTCTGGGCTGCTGCTGGGGGCGCTGTCCCTGGGTCCATTCGGCTTGGAGCCTGGGAGCCTGGACGCTGATGCCCCTGGTTGCACAGCCTGCGACTCCTCCAAGTGTGGATGGCCCCAAAAATGGCGCTTCCTCAATCCTCAGGGTCATGCCATGTCTCCCTTTTGTCAGTAGTGACAGCGTGCAGGTGCGTGTGTATGAGCATGTGTGTGTTTGTATGTGCGTGAGCATATAGTATGGGGGGCACAACGGAGGGGCTTTATCTGAAATGTTGTTCTATGTTTCTTTTTTCTTTCTCTATGTGTAAAGCACTTTGTATTGTATACAGAAAAAGTGCTCTATAAATAAAGTTTTGATTGATTGATGATTGATTGATAAAGCACTGTGTCTTATATGCAAAGCTTATTTTCAATGTCCTTTAATTTTAAGGTATTTGATTTAAGATACATTGATTAATCTGCAGAATCAGAACTGGACTCTGTTTCAAGTAATGCAAAGGGCTGCTACAGCCAGCTTTCTCACATCAGGCTCAGACCTCCATTTAACATGCAGAACTCACAGAACGTACTGGCCGGGAGGGAATTGCTTTTTTGATACATTTCCTTTTCTCATTCATTGTAATTCTTGCAGACTTTATGAAATGTTAATTGCAAAGGCTAATAATATCTTAATGAAAGAACTGCAGCTGATTTTCCATCAGTACGTATTTACTTTAAAAAAAACTAGAGGCACATCATGCCTCCCAAACTTGAAGTTGTATTGCTGTATTGTTCATTATCTGTTGGCTAATGTTAGAGAGCAGCTTGCATTCACAGTAAACTACATCTTTGAAATCATACAAACTAGTTACATGTCACTTTTTGTGTTGCGTTGTTGTGCATTTTGCTTAGATTTCATGTTATGTTCAATGCTAATATTGTTTTTAGGTTGTCAAAGATGCTGTTGTACTCCCTGTTCCCCACGATTATCACCACCCACCCAAAAACCCACCTTGAGGCATGCTGATCTTCTCCCCGTTCTTGCTCTTGAGCTTGTGCTTCTTGAACGTCCCCTTCCTCTTCTTGACGTTTGGTTTCTCCTGATTCTGGTTCAGGTGCTGGATGAGGAGGCTGAGCTCACGCTCAAACACATCCTGCTCCCACTGAGCCAGCTGCTGCTCGCGCTGCCGCAGGAACTCTTCATGGGACTTCTGCTCTAAGGCCGCTCGCTTCAGCTCCTCCTCACGACATCTCAGCTCCTGGAGGAGGAGGAAGGAAGAGAGAGGAGAGGGAGAATGAGGCGCAGATGGAGATGTGAGAAGTTGACTGACTTATCTCCTCCTGGCCTTCTCAGTTTGTGCAAAAGAGGGCGGTTAAACAGATGCTTTTTTATTGGCATTTACAGCAAGACAACCCCCACAGACTTGTTAACCGCTTATAATGTGAGTCAGACTGTTTGGTTTGCATGTTCAACAATACTGTAAGAACTCTTAAAAGTTTATTCCGCCAATTATACATTTAACAGTACTCAACAAAACTCAAGATACAGACAGAGCTGTAAGCGGAGATAAGTAAGTACAAAAACTTCCTTTACTTCCTAGTTAGTACATGTTCTATGACGCCAAAATTTATAAATCATTACAGTTATGTGCAAAATTACAAAAGTTATTATGAGACTAAAAAGCAATCTAGTAAAAACTCAAGTAAAAAACAAATCTCTCCATTTCTGCATCAACATGCTCCTGCACAGTTTCCCACTAAGCTTTAAAAACAATACACAGAAGTGTATTATTCAGTGCAAAGGAGGAACCTGCAGAGTTCGCAATAATCTGCAGAGAAAACAGATGAGTAAGCATTGTTTAACGCCCACAAAAGGACACAGGCATGACAAAGTGCAGCACAGGTAATGTGCTTCAGGTGTTTTTATGGAGGAAATGGTTCTGGCTGGCTGCTAGCAAAAAGTCCTGGTGTGCCAACATGTACTGGCATACCTAGAGTAGGGGTGCTGGCCCACTTACAGCATAATACACAATTCTATCCAGGTTTTGTTCGTGCTTCAGTTCATCTACAGTTCTTCTATCTATAAGGTAAAATAACATCTGGACTTAAAACTTGAGTCTCTGATTACAGTTGAAAAGATCCTGCATGCAATAAAACATCTGTATCTGTATCCATTATGATGAATTAACAGTGAGCCACTCTCACAGTCATGTTAATAACAGCATGTGGAGACATAGATCGTGTGTGAATAAGACGGTGGTGGACTGATTGAGGAGTACAGGACAGACTTAGCCCCTTCAAGGTGGGGTAGGTAGTAATCCGTCAAAGAAGCATCTTTTTTTGTGGTGTATATACAATTTTTTTTTAATATCAGTCAATAGCTATTAGTTATTGATGACATTTGGTGATATAACAATATCGCTGTGTTCTCTTAAAATTTTTGAGAGGGCCGCTCTTTCTGACTGTAAACAAAGCCATTCTCCGCCTCCCACAACCTGATTGGTTGTGAGGCACGCTCCACGTCCTCCAATAACATTCGCGAGCCCAAACAAAGATAGCGTGCCACATTATCGGACTGTAGAAAACCAACCAGAACACAAGCAAATAAAACAAAGTAAATACCGGAGACTCTGGCGGAATAACGGGCACTTAAAACGGAGGTAGACCGGACAAGAGCTAAAAAGCCAGGTCAACATCAATGAAGCATAAATGATGGAGGACGCTTCAGGATCTTTGTTGCGCCGCTAAACTTTTTACCTCGGGTCCTGGACTATGTCACTTTATCCTAGTTGTAGAAGTCCTGCAAACATTGTGTTTGCTGGTAGTCTGTTGGCATCTACTGTAGCACCAATGCTTTTTACTTTCAATTGTCTGAAGTACTTATCTGCATTATATCTGAATTTAATTGAAACGATACTCACGCAAGCAGGAGCGTCTGTTTGTGGGCGGGGCTTGTTGGAGCAGAGAGGGAGGGGAGAGGAGGAGCTGAGGGGAAACTGGTTAGGAGGGGTAGCGTTTACATACAAGATTTCTCCCAAAAACTGGCACTTCCTCAGATCCTGCCTACCCCACCTTTAATGAGTGATACACAAAGCATGATAAAGAGAACTACACTATCCCCTCCTTCTGCTCCATCCTCTACTACAAAAGTCAAATCAAACTTGCAAAAATGACTGGAGAATTGTTATAAATATCTACAGATGTCCCCGTGGAGATGAAGCTCTTCTCAAATGTGTCTGAGATTTCTTGCAGTAATTTGGATATAAAATGAAGTAACATATCTGTGTAATTGCAACCAATCACAGACAAGAGTCAAATCTAACAGTTTTTGACAAAAATAAGGTCATTTTTTCACGTTTATCAAAGCTAACAAAGTGGCAGACTGACTGTTTGCAACACTTGAGTCTGTGTTTGAGTCGAAATCAAGTCAAAACTCTTCAGAATATGATGACTTTCTCAAGTATACTAAACTACAGAAGTCCTTAAAAGAAATTAACCCTCAGTAGATATTTGGATGGTTTCATAAAAGAGACTCTGCTGCCTCTTACCTTCTCTTTAGCCCGCAGTTCGTTGAACATGTCCTGGATCTCCAGCTTCCAGTCCTCTTGCAGGGAGTGGAAGGAGTCCTGCGGCATCTCCTCCTTCACCTGCTCCTCCAGGGCTGTCAGCTGGAACAGGATGGAGCTGAAACTGGGTCTGCGGTGTGGATCCTGGTCCCAGCACTCTGTTGAATGCAAACAGTCAAATAAAGCAGGTCAATCCTGCAAGAATGTGTGCTAATATGTACTAATATGACATTTATTGGATCAAGAAGCCTGAGAGATGTAACCCACTGTCTCATTCCCCATCAGAGGAGGTTTTTCAACAGTTTATAAGGTTTTTAAAAGCTGATCACTTTTAGAAAGTGACTGTTCCTGCGCTCTTTACACTCCACATTAAACATCAATTCTTATTCCCTCTAATTCTTATTTACACATACTTCAGGCACTGTGTGAGCACAATTTGGAGTCAAGCTGATCACTTATTCTAACTGTTATGCTTAATTAACTTGCTGTGGGGTGGTTTGCATAATTTGCTGCGATGCTTTGGGCCCTACAAGAAGATCAAAAAACAATCCGATAATTAATGAATCCTCTGAGGTGGCTATCAGAGGTTTGGTGCACTGATCTCTGTTTTTCAAACAGGCCTGGAAGAGGCGAGAGGTTAAGCAGAGAGAGTGTAAACTGTCTGCGCTTCTAGCTAATGCTTGTCAAGAGTCAGTGGATAACAGGCTGGCATAAACTCAGGTGACCCTTCTTTTTAGCTTGAAACTAAACAGAGAAAAATGAGTACAAACAAGTTGCACAAAGCCACTCTGACACAAAAACACTTCCTCTCCACAGCCACGTTATTAACGACATACAGGAATTTGTTTTCTCAATTTCCACCCCGCTTTGGGGAAATGGAAAGAGAGAGTGTTGTTGACACAGATTTGATGTCACGCAAGAGCACTCTCACAGCGCCAAGCGGAGAAACCCCGCCTGAACACGGCAAGGATTGCATTGGATTACATTTCCACACGCACCTGCCATGAGTTGAGCGAAGGGTTGGGGGCACGTGGAGGGGATGGGCAGGGTGAGCTTATTGACGGCGACTCCGTAGGCGACAGCAAGTCCATCAATTCCTTTATAGGGCGCCTCTCCGGTGAGCAGCTCCCACAGCAGAACGCCGTAGCTGGGCGGAGGAAAAGAATAATGTTAGAGAGATGAAAAGAAACTGGGAGATTACAGCATCATTCATCAAAAAGCACAGTGTCAGGATGATCTTAAAGTCAGAATTCTGCTGCTCTTAAATCAGTGCTTTCTTTTCTTTTAATCTCTCCGCACACCCAGCAGAGAGGGGTCCAGGTCTGATCCTCAGGAGGGCTTTTTATGAATTTATTCAGAGATCGAGTCAGAAAAAAGAAAGAGAGCGATGGGGCGAATGGTCTGACATAAACCAGGGCTGCTTCTTCTACATGTTCGAACAGATGAGTGCAGCAGAACCAGTTAGTCTCCAAGTTTCTGAGACGTGAATTCATTAAGGGAAGCAAACTTTGATTCTTGAGCTTTCAGGATTGTACTTTAGTGAGAATCTTGCAGTAGGTGTGAAGTTTGGCTGATCTGCCAGGATTTGCTTCGTCAGCAAACCTTATGTCACTTGTTGTTTCTAAACGCCCCCTAAAGTTGGTTCTGACTCAGAAACTCAGAGCGACTTCAAATACCCCAACAAATCAACTGAAGAATAGCTGCACTTGAACTGATATCTATTAGTCATGTACAATCTAACTAATCACACTGATAATATTGTAATAAGTTTTATTATCTTTGTAACTACCATTAAAAGCTGACAATATAAACAACAACAGGGTATTTTTTCTGACTTTGAAGCGCAGTAATGTCTTTTCCAGCTTCAACACCCCACTTAAAAGGCAAAATGACTGCGTTCACATGGGCACAAATTATCGTAATGAAGGCCCGATCAGAATAAAAATGTGTCACGTAAACATGTCGATGGAAAGATTCTAAACCAATTTTTCTCAATCTAAGCAATGTATTCCGATCAAGAGGGGTGGTTTATGTTGATCGTTTTTCCGAAACGCATCCATGTAAACACTTATTCCGATCATGATTCTCTAACTTGACTCGATCTTTACTCTTTAGACTTTGGCTTGTTTTTTGAGGCAAGAACAGGAGGTTTCATTATTAACACTCAACCACAGGTGCCGTGTCTGCTCCTCCGATAACATAACAAGAGGTACATACAGTGTAATGATGTCACATCTGCACACATAGTGCAACCTTTACAGAACAGTAAAATAGGTACACAAGTGTGCCATCAAGTGAGGACATGTAACGGAAGGAAATATCCTGAATTGAATAGAGTGAGCCACTAGCGCATTTGTTGGTTTGTTGACAGCACAGGCGTCAATACAACTCTTCTTCTGCGAATGTTTTAGTGGAATCAGACAACTCTGCGCATGTCCAAATGCTTCTCATCTGAATAGATGTTGCACCCATAGAAACAGTGGATTCAGATTATCTGATCCCTCAAATTTTTAACTGCATCAAGAAATTTTGCACATGTAAAAATGGGACACACAAACATGAGACTCACCCACAGCCGAGGAAGAGGATCATGTCTTCCAATACTTGAAATTAATTTGCATTTGGTACAAGTTCACAAAGCTCCCTTATCACTGTGCAAACTCAGAACAGTGTGTCTCTATCAGCTGCACAATTAGCAAATATTTTTAAGATCAGGGCCAAGGTTAAATAAAAAATCTGGCGCCCTTTTAATCCTTTTAGAAAACTCAAGGGACAGTTTGGCCACTTGAGAGCCAAACGAGCTAAAACATTGTTGTATAACCCTCTGATACTGAGATTTGTTTACTTAAACATCCAATTTTTAGTTTTTATTTTACTCTTTAGTAGCTAAATATGTCCCTGTGTTTACCAGCTTCTCCAATTTAGTCCTGAACTTGAAGTTGAAGACAAATTCTCAGGTGAACTAAAGTGAACTTTAATGTGAAGTATTTCCTCCCTGTAACTAACACAGTCATTATCATAGCACATGCAGCACAGCGCTAAGAAACAATAGTGCAGTGGAATATTTTTGCTGGATGAAACGTGCTTGCAAAGCAACATGAATTCATGCATGCAAAACGTGTACAAAGTACACGAGCACACACAGACACACACACAGGACTTTTGAGCCCACACAATGGGAGCAGCCCTGTGTCCCTAGAAGATGAAGCGTGGCGCAGGACTTGGATCTCCCACACTGTCAATTAACCCTCGCCCGGACCTGACTGAGCGCACAGAGGAGGCTCGCTAAGTGGAGAGCGCAGGCCGCAGCCTTTTTTTATTTAGTTCTTTAATTACAACTTCCACACACTGTGACTGTGCACAAACGCTGCTCGTCGACTCGCCCTAAGGCGGTTGTCGTCTCCGCGTGGCGGCTTTGGAGACGAGCGGCCGTGGACAGATGAGAAAGAATAGTAGAACAAAGATTACCCTTCATTTTCAGAGCGCAGCTGCCCGCCCGCCTGCTACTCGCCCATTTTGCTGTTTTCAAGATTGCACGGAGATTGCTGTGAAAATGAGCCTGCGTGGGTTTGTTGTGGATACACGCAGGAGTTGGAAACTGAGAAGATGTGTGTGTGAGATAGCGGGCTGACGCTCAGCTCGTTAAGAAAGCTAAAAAAATTCAAAACTATACTCTCTGGCTAAATGGTGCTGGAACCAAAGATGAATCCTTTTGATGGTCTCAAGGACACATGCAGAGAAGGTTACTGGAACAGCGTGCTCCAGCGGTCTTACATCGGCCCCTGAATGTGACTGCAAAGAACCATTTAAGACCAAATCAACAGCGTTAGAGTTGCAAAAAAATATGCATGTGTTTTCTTTCTGCAGAGTAAGAACGTCTCGGCCTGCTTCCTTCTGAAGAACTCATTCATAATCTGCTCTGAAAAGCCGTCATGAATCCCTCTCTACAAATCACACAACTGTTTAAGTCATGATTATAAAACCACAAACTAGACTCAAGGGACTCCTCTCTCTCCCTCTGTGTAGAAGTGCCCAAACACACACTCACACAAACACACTCTCACACTCAGACACGCTGAGCTTTTCCCAGATAAAGGGCTGTGGTTAGGTCTGGTGTGTGGCCTCCTTCTGTGTCTATACTGGAGACAATGGGACAGTGTGCAGTACACATGTCCCACAACAAAGCACAGAGCAGCTCTTTGAAGAGACGCCATCACATGGCTCCAGCAGCCGCGCTGCAATCCATCACTCTGCCCTCCCCCCTCTCCATCCCTCCATCACCATCTCCCACCATCCCTTCTCTGCACTTTCACCTCCACGTCTGTCATACTGTCTGCTCCACAGAGCCCTGCAGCAAGCCCACTATCCTGCAGAAAGGAGTCACTGTGCGGCTGCAGAGAGTCTCTACACTATCATGAAGATATCTCACCTCTCTTGGAAGAATAAAAGTTTGATGACCAATATTTAATTTTAAACTTGATAAGGGAAATAAAAACTGCATGAATTTCATCAAAACATTATCTAGTTGAAGTCAAAAGTTAAATAAGTAAAGCTTCACCTTTAAAGGTACAGTGTGTGGTTTTTAGCGGCATTTTCAAAGGTTTATTACAATTTACCAGGTAATCTGACCACCTCACTCACTTGCCTCCAGGTGAGCTCCATTTTATTCCGGTTTCTGTTTTAGAAAGAAAAGGTATCATAAAATTCGCCCCCACACTGCAACAACCAGTTTGTCCTCCATTGTAGATACCAGTAAACAACTGTCCATTTTCATACATCACCTTTCATACGTCGCGATAACCAATCATGCAGATTGGTTATCCCAACACGAATATCCACTCAAATTGAGAAAATTCACGTCATTCACACCAGAGTAGTAGGAGCCTCTAATCACGTCTCTGCATTGACTTCATGAACTTAAGACAGTCAGAAATCGAACATAAAATATGCATAGTAACAGTTTTATTCAATGTAAAATCACCTGAATACAATTTTTTAGGCTCACTCCTTTATATCTACCTGTGGATCAAACTGTGTAAAATACAAATTTTTCCTCACATTTAACAGAAAACACTTTAAATTGGTGTCTCTTTTTTTTATGTAATGCACTTCTTCCATCGCTTGTTCCTGATTACCTGCAGTACCTGACACATCGTCCACAGGTGATCAAACATGGGGAGGTCCTTTCTGTTAATTCTCTTTGCACATTTACATAGACTTTGGCGAGCAGTGGCCCAAAAGCAACACCCTGAGATGTGAACCTTTAACTAAAGGGTGCTTAAACTCACCACAACATCAGGAAACACATGGATTCAAAAGATCCAACATCCGCCGCCTCCCTGCTGAGTAACTGATCAACCAAGAACGAGAGAGAGCTCTGTGGAGAACCTGTACCAAGAGCTACACTTCTCTTTATTTACAGGAACTTTTTTATTCTTCCAAAGAACTAATACCAGTCTAACAAGCAGATCAGCATGGTAATTTCCAGGCAACGCAGGATACCATCTGATCTTTTTCCGGAATAGTTAGACTTCTCAGGATTAGCTCTGCTGCTTAGCCTGTAATTAGCCTCATATTTAGCATACACAGAGAAGACTTATTTTGATCTTCTCACCTGATTCTCACCAAAATTTCCAGCAACGCTGAACTGTTCCTCTCAATGAACCCCTAACAAAAATACTTGTATCTGTGCCTCTTCTGTAAACTTTACTATAAGTTAATGTCACGAAACTTCAAGACTCAAACACTCACCTCCAAACGTCGCTGCCCTTAGAGAAGGTGGAGGATTTGATGACCTCAGGGGCCATCCAGGCGTAAGTGCCAGCGGTGCTCATCTTGGTGGTCTTGTGCCACTCCCTTGCCAAGCCGAAGTCGGTGATCTTCAACGTCAAACCCTCCATACATTCATTCTCTATGGGCTGAGCCAGAAGGACTGCAGACAGAACGGAAAGATCATGTAAAGGGTTAAACATGCTCTGTAGTTTGAACGCATTACAAAAAGACTTGTTTTTGCACTTTTCACAACACAAGAGGGACTTCTTTTCAGTACTTTTTTTTCCATTTCTCACTTCTTCTTTCTCTTTCTTATGTGTCACTACAACCCAAACAGAGTGTGCAGCAGAGTTTGCACCCGACCTGCTCACACATAAATCCTAACACCTCTTTGAACCTGTGAAAAAAAATAAGTCTGTGATTAGGTGCAAAATCGTTGGCCTAACATGACCTTCACTGCCCTTGTAAATAAAGCATGTCAAAAAGTGATGTGCATGAGAAAGAGTGAATGAAACTGTCATCACCGGAAACTGCCTCAACATGTGGGTCACATGAGCTTAAAGACAGGAAGTAGTATTTTTGAAAATAAATACAAGGACTTCAGAAGCTTCTGTGTCTGCTACGATTCAAATCTTTTCTCAATGAAAGAAAGAACTTTTATTTTGAAGCAAAAACAAGAAAATGACACCTCAAAATAGTTCATAGACACTTTGTTTTGTGATAACAGCCTTAAAGATCCACTCCGATGAAAATTATGTTTTTCTTGTTGTCTACAACAAGGCATTTTTCTGATGCTACAGGGCATATCATGAGAAAAGTAAAGGCAAAATTGCATTTCTGAGTATTTCTGCATTCGATTTGCTGTGAATCTCTGGCAGACCCAAATGAAAGGTTAGCTCAAGGAAGAACATTTATGATCATTTCTTCATGGAAATGCAATCAGACCGAGACCCTAAGGCAGAAGAACTACTGCGTCTGCAATGATTAGTTTAGTGATTACTACTTCAAGGAAAGAATAAGGAAATGATCATAAATGTTCTTCCTTGAGCTGCATCACCCTGCCGTAGTCTGGCCTGAGGTCTCGCTACAAACAAGCGGCTGCTGGAAGAGAGTAGGTAATTTATGTTTGGTCTCTTTGCTGAAGAAATTTGGCAAAGTTAAAAAGATGTTTGGTGGCTAGTGCTGTGACTGGGACCCTATATGTACTGTTGATGAAGTTAGGTGCTGTTCTGAGTATTATTTGCAGCTATAGAGTGTCTTTTTGGTTGAGGTTTGTGTATGGCTCCTCAGACCGCTGTGTATTGCTATTGTGCAGTCATTGCTAAAGTTGGTATAACTAGAGAAGCAAGCAGTCAGCAACATTCATCTCTCAAGGGGGGGTCTAAGTCAGTGTTATTGTGTGTTTGAACCAAAATTAATTTTTAATGCTGAACAATATCTACAGGTTTAGGAGCAACATCTGCTGCTATCCAGACAATGACTTTTTAAGGGAAGACCTTCATATTTCAGTAAGACAATGACAAACCACATTCTGACAACAGGGATTACAACAGCATGGCTCTGTAGTAGAAGAGTCCTGCTGATAAACTGGCCTGCCTGCAGTCTGGGCTCGTCAACGATTAAAGACATTTGGTGCATCAAGACACTGAAGTCATGATAAAAGAGACCCTGAACCGTTGAGCAGCTGAAATCCCAAATCAGGTGAGACTAGGGTTATGCTAAACATGCCCCTGCCCCAAATTTTAAAACACATTGCTGCCATCTTTGCACAATTTTAATCAAATGTGAGGGTTCAATAGCTTACAAACTATCAATTTGTACGTTACTGAATATGTCAAGGTCCAACAAGGTACAAGAAGAGCTGATGAGTAAAAGCTAGAAACTCTCAAGTTTTCCACTATGTGCCCTTATCAAAAGAATTTAATTCAATCCAATTCAATCTATCAAAGAGAAAACCACAGAAATCTGCATTTCTGGCTCTGTAGTCTTCACAGTGTGCAATATCCAAACTGTAAAGAAAAATATTATCAGACTAGCATACATAAATCTGCCAAGTCTGCTGAGCCAATGTCCCAAAAACATAATTCCCTTGGAGCACAGTGATAGCCATCTCTGCAGAGTCTTATCTCACACCTGCAGACACCACAGCGTAGAACTAATGTGCACTTGGTTACCTATCTGAATCAGATGTGTGGCGCTGACATATAAAATATTATGCAATTTCAATTTTAGTTAAGGCAAACTATTATTTGTTTTATCAGTCCTGGAATTAAAAGCAGTCTGAGGTTTGTTTAGGATAACTTTGTGGGTGAGAACTGGGTGAGAAAAATAAGACCAAAACAGAGAGACACACAGTTTCTGGAGACAGCAGGCGCAATAAATATCACAGGATGTACAAAGAAGAAAGCAGTGATCATCCTTTCATATTTTCAGAGCCCAGAAACAAACAACAGCAACAAAGAAATATATCGTGCATCCTTATTTGCCCTCATCACAGAAAGCAGCGAACAAAAGCAGCTCATTTAAATGTGTCACACAGACGCAGCTATTCAAATGTTGTTCTTTTAAATGGCTGGAGGGGGAATAGAACTACAGTAATGCACATTAAATGACGAACAAAGTCACTTACACTAATTAGGTGTAAGTGACTGCAGTTTAAAACGTAATCATAATGTAAAAGAGCCACGTTAGGCAGTCTGTTACTCCTGTACATAAAATATAACAGTATTGTAAGACAGGCGGGCTGATTTGCATGAACCACTATGAATGAAAAACTAGGGGAAATCTGTGCTTTCCAAGAGCTTTCTAACTTCGGTGTAATCTGTAAGTTGCTCACATTGTTACGGTGCAAACAGAGTCTGCTCTTTAAGACAGAGAGGGGGTTTGTCCCCATGAACCTCGATGGATAGATGACTGAAAACTCTACCACCAAGACCACTTTCAGAGACTTAAGGTGCAATGAGCAGGCCTGCATACTGGGACCGCAATGCTCTGGAAGGCTAATAGGGAACTACAAGCACATTCAGGGGAGATATGCTCTCTTGTTATACATGTATCTGTCATAGGGCTTGGTGATGAACCAAAGATTTAGAGATACCAAAATTTATGACAATAACCGACAGCATTTTGCCCATATAGGTATATTCTGTGTCAAAATAATAAATAAATAAAAGTTGGTTTTGGATGTGTGTAGGTAGGCTATGGTCTCATGTCCCTTTAAGACACTGTCCAGTCGGAGACGTGACTCCACCCCATCCAGTCCATAACAAAGGGGAAAAGACAGGTGAGGAGATGGAAGAAGGTCCAAAAGTTGTAGCAGTGGCTGAAGTAGACAAAGTTAAAGTGGGAGGGGGTGAGCAGCTTGTGGAGTAGTTATCATCCATTTATCATTATCAAGGTGAACTGCTCAATATATCGTTATTTTGATTTGAGGCCATATCGCCCAGCCCCAATCTGTCATATTCTGAAATCTATCACAATCCATTGCATTTCATTTTTCAGAAATTTTATAAAATCCATCTAAGGCACATTAAAAACTCAAGGTCTAATGTGCAGTAGATTTATTTATTTACTTTGACCAAAATCACTATAGATGCTAAACTATTTTACCAGACATTCTGACGCTAATAATTCCCAGGGTTCCTGAAGCAGCATGAATCTGAAACATGGGGATCACAAGACTAGCGGTAAATACATATGCAACACAAAGCTGACTGACAGCTGATCAGTGGTGGTCAGCTGAATCATCACAAACAGACATCCCTCCATGTGACGCGCTTGAGGAAAGGACATCTCTGAATACACTTCTTGTTTCTCCCCAAGGACACAAGGAAAGGATGCAAATACAGCATGCAGCTTGGGAGTAATAGAGTCATCATTGAGACAGTTTGGACTAACCAATGCCATACAAAATCACGAACTGTTTTGATGATCCGATGCTCCATCATTGTTTGTTTGATTCACATTAATTCAATTCAACATTGATTCAAATGGCAATAATGATAAAGGTGCTTCAAACAGCAGTTTATTACAATAGACACACTACAGGACTGAGCACACGGATGAGAAAATCAGAACCTCTCATGAGCTTTAAGAAAACACTGTTTGGTAACACGCTGGTGTTATGCAACCACACGCCGTGTTGGATGGCTTTGTTTCTATGAAAATAGAATATAATGCTGAGGATGTGGGTTGTTGCGGTGTGACTCTGCATCACATGCCTCGGTATGTTCGGCAGCCGTGCCTCTTCCCCTTCTGCTGGCAGGCCGGGCATCGTTCAGGCTGGCCGTCGAAGCAGTAAAGAATTTGACTTATTATAGGGAAGTTGGACTCTTTCTATTTGGAGTCACTTTCCGACTTTCAAGGCTGGGCGCTCTTTTCCTTTTTTCTCTTCTTTTGACTGTTTTCCATTTGAAATTCTCCGAAGTTCCTCCTTTTCGTCAACGTCACAAATATGAAATTTATCTTATGAAGGATTCTTTCTCTTCTTTGTCTCTTTTTCTCTCTCTCTCTCTAACATCCTGTACTGTGCCTTGTAGCCCAGAGGCAGCAGCGAGTTTGACGTCACAAAGGAATGCATCACAAGAGGTTGTGTTGTCTGTTCTGTGTGTGTGTGTGTGAACGTTGAAGGGGAAAGGAGACTCGGCTCTTTCATAATGTACTCGGACAAAAACTTCTGCAGCTGGTTCTGTTGAAACCACACATGCCAACACCTTCTACTGCAACGACAATCTGTGACTATTTGTCCTTTCCAGATTTAAAAAAGTTTGGCTTCATTTTTTTATTGTTGATTTTTGCTCAATTGAATGATGTTAACTAAAAAATGTGAGGAACTTTTTGTCTGTGTGTGTAAAGCGGCTGACTTAGTTTTTGAGCATCAGTTCAGCAGCACAGCGTTAGGAGGTATCCTCTCAAAAGTTGACTCACTGTCCTCATGAGTAGTGGACATGCTGAAGTGGAGGTATTGCTTTTCACCCTATTGTTTTATTTAGGGCTGAAACGATTCCTCAAGTACCTTGATTACAAGAAATGATCGAGGAATTTTATTCTTCCCGTATTAGTATTGTTCCGTAAATCTGCCATATTATAAAATATGTATATAAAAAATAACATTTTTCTGCCTCTCCAAACTAAACTCTGTCACTAGCGCACATGAAGTACCCACAAACTGGTAGCGAGTTATCATCAGCTTGCGGCACTGATCCAGGGGGTGGGGTGTCAGAAAATTCCCCTTATTTTTCAAACCAAAACTTGACAGGTATGTTATTAGCTCAAATCGTCACTGTTTCGCACAGAAATTTTCAAGGTGACACAACTTGCTTACGTCACCACAGTAGAAGGAGGAGTAAGCGCAGTTTTGGTTTTGCGGAATAGAAAAATTAATGATGAGAGGGGCTTTTCTTCAGCAGAGCTCTAGTAGCTCATTAGCAATTTGCCTCTGAGTTGTAGGCGGAGTTAGTGCTGCTCTGTACACTCGTCTTCATGCTAGCTTGCAACATAGGAGCTATTCAGCTCTCAGACGCTAATGTCTTTAGGGGCACGATTAAATTTTATATCATAATTAGCTTTCTTACTAGCACTGCCATCCGCTAACGCACGCGCTTGTTCCATGATTGTTACGCAATAATTGCACTTTAACTAAAAGAAATATGTTTTATCCAATTACTGGATTAATAGATGGAATATTTGGTAGAATACTTAATTACAAAAATATTTAATAGCTGCAGCCCTAATTTATTGTATTAGTTTGACAACAAGCACTTTAAAATTGCATGTAAAAATGTTAGGTTGGCTGAAATCTGGCTAAGTTGAAGTTCTAGATAATTTGGTTAGTGTTTAGATTCCCCCTGGCATGTAAACACTGCAATCAGACTGTGCAAACCTGGCATGCTCCAGAGTTTTAAGAATAAAAGCAACTAAAAAGTGCTAAATTTTGAGTGTGTTTTGCAACATCTGGGTAGACAGTCCTGAAATTTCCTTCAGAGGTGCATATGTGAAAGAGACTAGTGATAGACAAAAACCACGAGAGTGCAACATGAGTCACCCTGAAACAAGAGTATCTCCTTTTTGAGTGGGTGGGGGAGAAGATGCTGTACAAGGGTGCGTTAAGAGACAGCCAATCCCACATTTTGAACCTTTTTTATGATTAAATCAGAACTCTGAGAAGTCTACAGACAGACACAATGTGAGGTAATTAAAGAGAGACTTCTATATATTTTTAACAACCTCATTATTTTTAAATTGGCTTGTTAAATTGGAAAAAAGTGCAAGAAAATATTCCTATCACAAAGTTTTAAATTGACTTCTGCCTGCAGAGGAAGGCATCAACAATAAACCAGCTCAGGTAGCCAATGGCCAAAACAAAAACAAACACAACTGTGAGAGAAAAAGTGACCACTCATTTAACCTTTCTGCAGAAAATCAATGTCTGTCCTTTCTCTGGCTGAGTCACTGTTTCTGTCAAATCCACTCAGCCCTCAGGGAGCTGGGGGAGGTTATGGCGTAAGAGGAGGGTGCCGGTATTTACTGCAACAGGCCCTGATCCCTTGCTCTACTTCTTTTGTCCGCCTGCTGGTCAGCGTCTGGTGAAAACAAGCCCGCGGTCAGTCACCCCTATTTCCGGGCTGACGCTCACTCTCTGCACCGTGACCCCACTTCCAGGAAGTGACGCCAGGTATCAGCCAATTAGCCTCTAGTGTTAGAGCCTCTGTTTAAAAAAAAAAAGGAAAAAAAAGTAAGAGCTGTTTTTGTCATTCCTACTTGCTGTTCATTGTGCACCATAAGCAGAGAGTTATTTTTAGGAAGGTGAGGTTAAGAGAGGTCACATGGGAGCAGACAGTGACAGAGACGAACAGGGAGGGGAAGTGTAGGTGCTGCGGTGGAGTGAGGTGAGAGAGCAAGCGAGACACAGAGGGGGAACTGAATGTTGATGGTTATCATATGATGGAGTGAAACAGGGCACAGCTGAAAGCGGCTGCCCGGGCTTGGATAGCAGAATTATGGATAATGGTTCACACTCACAAAGCGCTCATTCTACACAGGCAAACAGATGCACACACTCACACACACGAGGATGAACACACACACACACACACACACACACACACACACACACCAAACACTCACATTCTGAGGCTGTAATTTAGCAAAACACTCAGCTAAATACAAGTATGAGAAATCACTGCACACTCACATACTGAGCTATTGCAACATTTGGCACTGTGATATATTTTTGAGTTTAACTAATACGCACTGGCAGTAAAAATGAAAGACTTTTGAAAGACACTGTCAGTTAACATCCAGCCAATCAGATGGTGTCGTAGGCGGGACTTTCGTTGACACAAAGACAAAAGAGAAAGAGACACCAGCAGTACAGCTAAACTAGCACTTTGAATTTACAGACCGTTTAGATGTCACATGCCCAATACCAGCCCTGCTAACTAGCCTGCAAACCACTTAACTCTTAGTTAAGTTTTACTTCATGCTAGATCAGGTAGGTTAATGTGTAGCAAAGTCTAACTTGAAGACTGCAAGTTTCAACATGAGCTACAGTATCATGACACCACAGGTGAAGGAGGCAGGTGTGCTTGCACCTGAAAAGCCAAGGGATGGAGTAAGCTGATGGTCTGAATCAGGATAAACTGAATACCTGAGTCTTTGAGTGATAAAAGTTAGGACTTAAAGAGGCTGACTGATATGTTGGATCTGCAGCCTGTGATCAAATCTAGCCAAGATCCTTTAGTTTTTAATTCTTGTTTCATTTAGTCATATTTAATCATCATTGTAGCGACAGCTTTCCTTCAACAAAAAGGCCGCTGGGGTTTAGGTGCGCTAAATTCATCAGTCCAGTTGAGTGTCAATGGTGATTTATTGTTCAAAAAGGAAAGAAAACACACTGATCCAGATCCAAAACTTTTGCCTTCAAATGAAAAAGTGGGTAGAAAGGATGAGTGAAACAGTCAACAGAAAATTATCAGAACTTACCAAAACCCATTGTTTCTGACTACACTGGTGTTTTTAAATAACCCCGCCAAACATCCGAAAACCAGACCCCTCAGTGTCGATCCCCAGAAATGACAAACTAGTAGAAATCATGCCCTCAACAAATATTTTGGGTCTTATTCTCATAACATTGATTTTTGCCAAAACTGAGCACCCTCTCTGCTGAGATTTTTTTTAAGAGCCAATCTTTCCACCTGTTTTTTCTGCAGCTTTGCAACACCCTCAGTTATTTCAAATATGTTGCATATATGGTGTAAATATTCATTAGGTGTCATTTTGTCGTTGAAAAATCCAAATTTTTATTCAAATAACCGAAATCAATTGGTGATATTTGAGATTGAAAGAAGGAGTTGATTGAGTCGTCCATTTGTGTTGGGAAACAAACAGACACCACTGAATTGCTACAGTAATATTAGCTCTTTTAAAGAACAGTCAGACACTGCAGTGTAAATAGCTTTACAGTTCAGACCAAAAGGCCCATAAATAACACACTGACTGTTCATTAACAGTGCATGTAATAAATAAACACAGCTCATTCATGTACATATTTCTGTCTACCTGTTCACACACTCATCTGTGCAGTCACACCAAACACAGAAACAAACATGCACATCAACCACAGGCAACAAAAGCGTTTTTGCAGTCTCAGCACACATACGACCACATTCTTCTTCCACTTCCTGAGCGCAAGCAGAGTGCATCCACAGTTCAGCCCCGTCCGGCCTTCCTCCTCCTCCTCCTCCTCCTCCTCCTCCTCCTCCTTCTCCTCCTTCTCCTCCTTCTCCTCCTGCAGCTTCCATCACACTGACAACCACCGCCGCATTAGTCAGCTGCTCTGACTGGACGGTATGTTACAACACAAACACGCTGACCCACAAACACAGAGAGCCTGCAGCTGGAAACTTCAGAGGTGTAACGAAAAGTTGAAGTTCAGTCTGAAGAGGATGTTCACAATGATGTGGAGGGAATCATGGGAAAAAACACTCCCGCCCTGGATGACCCTTCATGCTGTAACAAGAGCTTGACAAACAACACCAACACACAGCTTTAGGACTTCAGAATAGCTGCAGTGTTTCAGCAGGATTTATAAAGTCTGATTTGTATCAAGAATATGGGGTGTACACGCTGAGGTTACACAGCGCATCCTGTTATCTCCCACCTGGTATCATTTCAAAAAGGTGTGTCAAAAAAGAGCAGGAAAACCACCTCTCCTACGCAGGATAACAGAGAGTATCACGACCAGATCAGTCTTGCCCAGACAGACCGTGCTCCTGATAGCAAAACCAACAATGTCGCCACGAAAACACCATGACAGATCTCCACAGCAACAGGACTCTGTTTGCTATTGTTTGTTGTTCAGAGACAAGAGTGTGTCAGTTTCAGACGTGACTCCTCGCAGCAGCAGCAACAGCAGCAGCAGCGGCCCAGATATGAGCTCGGAGCGGGACTGACTCAACAGCTCGCTTACCTAGAATCTCAGTATAAGGGATTTTTTGCATTAGACGTTCCGGGAATGATTTAGCTCAAGCTACCCAACTAATAAAGCATAACTCTGTCCTTCTAGAAAAAATGCAGACATTAGCCTTAGGCCTATGTGGATTTCATAACTGCTAGGTAATGCAAAAAGAGTCTGACCTCTTGTAAAATGAAAGAGAAATTTCAGATGGATGGCAATGATTCCAGGGAACCAACTTTGACATCATTTCCAGGGTAATAACCTTGTTTGTTCGAGGAAAGTATGGCAGACAAACAACAGTATTACCAAACACTTCTCCTAAAAACCAGACTGTGAAAAAGAAAAAATACGAGGAAAAAGGTGCAAACACGGAAAAAAGCGTGACTGTCCTCTGGAGTAAAAAGCCACATTTAAAGACGTCCTGCTGATTCACATTCAGAGCAGTGACTGACTTTTATGTAAGAGGTCAACGGGTGCATTTTCATCAACTTTTGCAATACTTGTTTCAAAACAAGCAAACCGAAAATATTTGTTTTCTGGATGCAGAACTTTGGACTGACTCTCAGAGATACTTGCTTGCACAATGGTCACATTGCCCGACCTGGTGACCTTCTACCTGACTGGATTCAAGAGTCAGCTGGAAAAGTTAGAAGGTTTGCAGGATGCACTCAAAGCTCTGCAGCAGAAACTCACTGCTACATCAACACCTGCAGACACACCGATTCAAAAGATTGTACAGGGTTAACCTTCTACTCATGGGCATCCAGGGGGACAAAGATCTGCTGCTGAGCTCACACTAACACACAGTGATAGAAGCTGTAACCTTTCAGCTGCGCTACACTCTCTCCCTGACCATCCAGCTCAGTCATAACATACCAGATGCAAAAGTCAGCTGCCCAGAGCCGCTCCCTGCCTCCTCACTCTGCACCTCACTTAATTATGTTTTCTCCTGGATCTGATGCTTGGGCCACATTGCCGTCTCTCAGCGCATTTCTCATGAGCCATCCCTCAGTGCCTCCAGCCTCAGGTGGAGTCTGACTGATAACAGAGAGTAGGATTATCAAGCTGATACTGACTGATGTGACAAAAATCTCATATTGTTTCAGTGAGACAGTGAGATGGGTTACAAAAAGCTAATAACTGGGTATTTTAATCTGCTGATACTTGAATGCAGATGCAATTCAAGTACTTTGCCTCTTTTTCTTCTCTACCAGTGAAGGTGTCAGGGGCACACACCCTTATAATGTTAAAATAGACTGGGTCCAGGCCTGGGCCAGCTTCTTTTAGACTGCTAAGGTACTGACTGACACATCAAGCACCTTTCCCTCCTTCTCCATCCTCTTTCTGTCTGTATCATTAACTTTAAATCATCATGTCCCATTAGAGTTACTAATACTCACAGTCTTTACTGGGAGTAGGGATGGGCGGTATGAACAAGATCTTGTATCAAGTTATGATTAATTTCATATCACAGTATGTTTTTCCCCCTGTAAATTCAATTAATGGCTTAAAAATAACCATACTGTCACATTTGTTCATTTTCCTCTTGTATTTTTATATTCCGATTTGTATAAAAATGCAAACAAAAGGCCAGACCAGTCTGGTGTCAGTGACTGCAATTATAAAAAATGAAAATAAAAAATTACAGCATCACAAATTTGTTTATTAAAGAAAAAAAAAAGACCAGAGTTTTTCAGAGTCGAAACTACGCCATGCAGTCTGTTGGACACGCTGGTGATTATAGGGAGCGCACCCAAACCTGTCCAATCAAACGAAGCGAACAAACTCTGCACAACACGCTGGTTAATATACCATATCCACTCAAACAGATGCACTCCGGCTTTCCTCTTAGCAAACGCAGAAAACTACACACTGGCTCAGGGATATGCCGCAGACATCTGCTTTCTCTCTCCGGTTTAAACAGTATCGCAAAATTTCTACCGGTAGACACTTTTATACTGTCACACGGAATATAGCGTCATACCGCCCTGGTCCTGCTTGAGGTTTCTGCCTGACAAGGAAGTTTTTCCTCTCCACTGTAATTTCATAAATCCTGCTAAGTGTGTCACTAGTGTGGTTGAGGATGGGTCTGATCCTTTGTAAATAAGAGTCTAGTCTAGACCAGCACACCTGTTGCAAATTGGTGCTAGATAAATAAATATTGAGGTTCAAAACAAATCCTTGAAATGTACCCAGAATCCACATTCCCCCTCCACATGAATAATTAAACCTAAACCTGCCTGATATCAGTCAAAGGAGTAAAAATATTCACCTATCAGTACTGGCTTTTAAACCGCCACAGTGGATCAACCTCTCTGCTCTCTACCTTCCTGCCTCTCCTCCCCTCCCTCGCCACTCTGCACCCGTAGGCGAAGGGAGAATTCCGGCAGGGTGGGGGCTTTCCCCAGGAAGAACGGGAGCTTTGTCCCCTGAGGGACGAGGCCATCGGCTGACAGACAGTCTGGCAACCTCTGACCAGGCAACCAGGGAGAGAGAGAGAGAGAGAGAGAGAGAAAGAGGGAAAGAGAGAGAGAGAGAGAGAGAGAGAGAGAGAGGACATAATCATAGAGCAGAGGATGAAACTAGCCCTCACTCAGCCTGAGTTTCGTCTCAGCTCTGAGGTTGTTTACTGAGAGTAGGAGTTAAGCAACGTCAGAAACCAGGCCTGGACTCAGTGACAGCTCTGAGTAGGTTTTACAATCACTCTGAGGTGGCACTTCTTCCTCATTTGATGACCATAAAGATAAAGTTCATGCAACACCCTCTTCTTCATATTTCCATTTAAGCTGACACTGAAAACCCCCCAGATGTTATCATGTTATTCTGTTATAAACTTTAATAAACACTCTCATTGCTTTTACTTGTGGTTGATAATGATCAGGTTTGACCAGTTTCACCGCTGCTGCTTTAACTTTGACACTGTATTGAGTAATATATGTTACTGAGCATGTGCAAAACTCATCCCATAAAATCCATGTTTATCTGCTTCTGCCTTTTGAATAAAGCTAGCTCACCTGCTGACCTACTTACAGCTTTCACAGCCTGGAAATATTATCTCCAAATGATGTTTTCCGGTACAGTATAGAACATCAGGGAGGAAACCGCCATTTTTACTGATGTTTTCATGTAAAGATTTAAACACAGGAGCAATCGAGTTATAATAGGTGCAATCATCGGGATAATAAACTGGGTTTGCAAAAGAACAAGCCTTATGTGCAGCTCATTTAGTGTTTTTTTTTTAGCTTTATTAAAATTATTTTATTGCTCTTGCTGCATTTGGACATCACAACTACGACCTTCAAGACTATTGTTTCAAAACAGCAGACAGGATGGTCACAAAGGTTGATTTAAAATCCCGGCTAGATTAATCTTTGTGATGTATCACCACTTATATGTTCAGATTAACATAAATATTATCTGAAGACAGAGTTTTTAGCTTATTTTCAGGCCTTGAAATGTCCCTCTGTTAATTCTTGTAGAAGCTGTAAATGATTTACAGCTCAAAGAACTCTTCGGCCAGGTCTCCAGAAGCCTCCTCCGCTGTTGCCATGTTTTAAAGTTGTCGTAAGTGACTTAATCAGTGTTTCTATATTTGAAATGACAAATTATAAATTAGGGCCACGTGTTTAAGAGCAAGAATCTGATCCAAAAAGTACGAAAAGGAAGGAAGTAAATCCCTAACAAAAATGAACTGAGCAGAAGGTTTCTGTCTCTCAAATCAGTAACATCACAATCTGAGTAGGTTTGGATGCAGGTTGCCATCAAACAAAACTTCTCTGCTTTTTTGTCCCTCCTTTTTTTTCTGTCATTCCTCTTTTGTTTGGTTTTGTCAATCAATTTGTTCACCCCATGCCGACATCAAGTTCAGTTATTTAGCATTTGCCTTCTAGCCCTGCTATGGGGAGTGAGTTTGGCAATGTTTGGCACTTTCACACTTCCTCTCACGTGTTTGCACAATAAAGAAAAGAAAAAAATAAACCAAATTGAGCAAGTCTGGTGTCCCTCTTGCTTAATTCTCTTCTCTTTCTGAACAAGACGTTCAAAAACAGTCTCACCCTGAGAACTCCAGCACAATATAACCTTACTATTTGAATCATGGCGTCTGATGTTTTAACTGTGTTTTCTCCGTGTAACAGAGCAACAACTAGATTTCATCTGATATCTGAGATACAAGCTGCGTCAGATGTTTATTTGCAGTGGGGGCAATGCTGGTTTGTCATTTTAAACCCTTTATTGGCAGTTACTAACAGGGGTGTACTCAGAGGGGTGGACCCTGTGTCCTCACTTTTGAAAAACCGTCTTAGGAGTGCCCTCTTGGGTGACATAAATAAACATTATTTAATGCCTCTCTGGTGCCCTTTCATGGCAAATGCATGAAAAACATCTTTTTTAGCTGCAGGATAAACAAAGTTCCCTCTGGACGCCCCACCAATGGATAAATGTGATAAGGTGGTAATTTAGCTTGTCGTACAGTTTGTATGTTGACATGCAAGGTTTGAGAGCGCCAAAACAGTTAAATGTTAAAAACGTGTTCCCCTACACTGTTTATCAAGGGTTTGAAAAGTATTCCGTCACCTCCAGGATACCTATGGTTCAGGGTTACCTCCCAAGTTCTGTTGTGTAAAAACCGTCTGATCACAAACTGATCAACAAACACATCGGGGCACACAAGCTGCATTAAATTCATAAGCATGGTAGTCCAAAAGCCATGCCTCCAGCACATTCACACTAAGAGGAAAAAATCTGCTTCTGGACCTCTGCATCGGCGCTGTCAGAGGGGGGTTATAAATGATTCTCTATGCAAAGTATGCAGTGCCAGGTAAAGTCCTGTGAGGTCCTGAAAACAGTCACTTATTAACAGAACCTCCAGGTCTCATGTGTTGATATTTAACCTTCATTAGAAACATCTCTTCAGGAACTCAGACAGGAGGTCATCATAGGGCTGATCCCAAAAGCTGAGGGGTCAAGGTAGCCCGGTAAGGCAGGAGTAGGACCTGATGATCTAAGGTTGGAGTTTTATTGATCCAACTCACTACAGAAAAGTCTAAGACCTGTGGATGAGGAGAAACCATCAGCAAAGTCAGCTGCAAATGGAGCAGAGACCAACACAAGAATCTGTGCCAGGCCGAGGGATCTATAATGTTTATTTGTTCAGTCTCATGTGCACTTTGGTTTGTGGAAAAGGAAAGACAAAGCTGAACCCCAACTGCACAGACTCCACCTCAGAAACATAAACAAGCTGACAGGAGTAAAATGGCAAAGTGGGGATGGGAAATCAAAGAACTAGTCCAAATCCAAATCTAAATGGTTTTAACTCACGTTTTATTAAGTTCTCCTAAAAACTGAACGATTATCCTATTATTAAAAAGTACAACTGACGACTTACTGTTAAATCAACGCGCTTAGTGAGGCCGGCAGCTTTCCTTTAGCAAAATGTGAGTTTCTGCAACATCTAGACCTACGTGCCCCTCAGGAAAACTAGTGAGACTGTCCACATCCAGTCTCTCAAAATAAAGATAAATGATGGTTTATGTGTCCTTTTATGTATGTTTAAAAGAAATAGAGTAATAACATTTGTTAACTTAGTAAAATCTAATCATTGCCCATCTGTAGTCACTGGTGTGAACCTTTTTTCAAGCAGGATAACACAACTGCATGGATTAGAAGTATCAAAAGTGAAGGGAAAAAGTCCCCAAGTTTGAACACACTGAATCTTTTTGGTCATTGCATCAAGAATGCATCAAAAATATACAAAGAAGCAGAAGCTGCTGCAGCATTTGCATGAAGAGCTTCAAGCTGAAAGTAACTGCATAGAAAAGTTAGTCGTTTTCTCATGCTCTTTAATACCCACACTGGTTTTGTATTTTAGTTAAGAATTAATAGAGATTAAAAAGTATAATTCAGACATTATACTCAACATGACTGTACTTGTTTTTTTAGACATATTAAAGCAGCGATGATACATATTTCACCATCATTTGGACCAACCCCATCCAAATAGAGCGTCATAGCTGAACTGATCAAATCCTCTCTATCCTGCCGCCTCCAACAAAGTCAACAATGGTTAACTCCACAGAAGAAGAAGAATCCTTTTGTTAAACTCTCCAAAACAAATATATCCTCATCCTCATAACCAAATTCACTCACACAATAACTGATAAGCAGGTTTTTCCCTCGTCTGAATGCAAGCTGTCTTGTGATCTGTGTGTGTGGTTCAAACTGAAGAAGGAAGAAAAACAACAGATTTCAGTCCGGCTGTGTTCTGGAAATGTCTCGACTTCCTTCAGTGTCTGCTCTTCTGTTTTCTTTTTATCTTCTCCTTCCCTGCTTTTTTCAGCCCCCCCACTCATCCTGCGCACACACATGCACACAAACATTTGCTGCTGTTTTCATGACTAAGTGTGAGTGGGCTCATCTTATTGTGGATCCGCAGTGTATGTTTTTATATACTGTATATGTTTGTAGATGCAGGTTATACAGTATTTAAGTTATCAGGGAGAGAGTCAGGACTTCCCTTTTCTGTCTTATTGCTTTACCATTTAGGATTTCCAGGGCTGTCAAAGAGAATTGGAGTTATCACGTTCTTAATCACAGTGTTAAAATTCTGTTATTTTACATTTCAGAACAGTTTACAAGTCCATTTCAAAGATGCAAAGAAAGTATCACCACTGTCATGACTTGCAAATCAAATATATACAGTAAAATTTACTTTAAGATCTGAACTCTTAGTGGAAGGAAACAACTTTAAAGAGCTTTTTTTGGTTTTTAAAATATATTATCATGAAGAATGCTGGTTTAACATGTTAAGAAATATGCAGGAGTGCAATGTGAATATGCTGTGTATTTATTCAGAGACAATTTTGGTTACATACTGGCATCCAATGATCCCTGGTTAATGTCAGTGCAGTTTTCAGGGGTTCCACTTTTTTTTTTTTTTTTTGGCCTTTATTTGGAGAGGAAAAAGCACTGGACAAAGCAGGACATTTTGACTTCACGCTGATGTCCAGTAATTCCTGGTTAATGCAAACTTATTTGCACTTTTCAGGAGTTCCATTTTTTGGGATTTATTTTTTGTTTTTATTTGGAGAGGACATTGCAGTGGACTGAGCAGGCCATGGAGTGAGTGGGGAATGACTGGTGGAAAATTAGACTTTGAGCTGGAATTGAACCCCAGCTGGCCGATTGAGGCATAACTTCCAAACAGGAGTATAAGTACTGTAGCTTTCCCTGTTTAATTCAGGCCCTGTTTAAATTATTTTTCCCCACATCTGGTCCCATTCTGCCAATCTGAGGACATCCCTAACATTTGAGCTACAGGTCTGTGGTGACTTGCATACAAGTGAAATAAAACACCTTGAAAAACTTAAATTCTGCTCTCTAACCTCCAGTCATTCCCTGCTCTTCAGTCCAAGGTAAGTTCAGGATCTCTGTATTTGTATGCCTGTCTTTTTTTTTTTTCTTTTTTCTGTGGGGAAAAAAGATGCAACGGAGCTGACAAACTCTTCTCTGCCTTATCACCCAAACACACTCAGCCTGAGCCAGCTGAGCTCCAACCGCGGTGACCCCCTCCTCTCCCTAATGGGACCCCTCAGGCACCCCGTAGATGTAGGCGTCAGCAAACGTGAGGCCATGTTTATGGATGGGTTGGCTCATGACGATGCACTTTCTGCTCCATTGACATTTAAACTTCAGCTGAATTAAAAAACACTTAGCTAATGCATAAATGGACTCATTATGGGGACAGGAGTTTAAGTAGAAGAAAGTTTAAAAGTTTTAGACTTTGGCACACAGAGTACCCTTTTTAATGTAGTATTTTACAACATTGTTGTGATACTGCACATCATCTTTTATCTTTTATTTCCTTAAAAGTGAGGTAGACAGAATTTTGTTAGAGAAGCATCTTTTTTGTGGTGTATATACAAAAAAGCTTTTAATATCAGTCAATAGCTATTGGTTATTGATGACATTTGTAGTGATATTGTTTTGTTATGTCTGTGTAGTCAACATTTTAATTATTTTAAGCGGCCCGCTCTTGCTGACTGTTACCAAAGCCGCCTCCCCCAACCTGATTGGTTGTGAGGCAGACGCTGCTCCCTCGTGTTGTGAAGAGTGCTCCACGTCCTCCAATAACTTAAACAAACCCAAACAAAGTTAGCATGCTCCAACATCGGATCGTAGAAACCAACCAGAATGTACGGAAAACACAAGCAATAAAATAAAGTAAATAATGGAGAGTCGGGCAGAATAACAGGCGCTTAAAACTGAGGTACACCAGACAAGAGCTAAGAAGCCGGGTCAACAACAGCATAAACGATGGGGGACGCTTCGGGATCCTGTAACCTTTCTGCTGGACAGGTAAACCGCTTTAACAAAGTAAGCCAAGTGTAACAGAAGTGTTTCTTGTCAAAAGGGACCTGCTGTGTGTTGTTGCACTGCTTAACTGTTTACCTCGGGTCCCGGAGTATGTCACTTTATCCTACTTGTAGAAGTCCTGCAAACATTGTGTTTGCTGGTAGTCTGTTGGCCTCTACAGTAGCACCAATGCGTTTTACTTTCACGCTGACTGGGCCCCATTTGTAATTATCTTAAGTATTTATCTGCATTATATATGAATTTGATTGGAATGATACAAGTGAGCAGGAGCGTCTGTTTGTGGGTGGGGCTTGCTGGTACAGAGAGGAAGGGGAGAGGAGGAGCTGAGGGGAAAATTGGTTGGGAGGGATAGTCTTTACATTCAAGATGTCTACCAAAAACTGGCACTTCCTCAGATCCTGCCGACCCCACCTTTAAGTGTTGAAAGCTTATTTTAAAATGTATCACAGTCCCATACTCTCCCAGATGACCTCTGATCATGCATGCTCTAACATAAGCCACATACACCTGGAGTAATAACTGATTCATTATTTTCTTCAGATGTTATCCTGTCAAGTTGAGATTTACACCCAATTAAACATCTACAGTCAAATGATTAAGTGATGCAGAATAGAAAATAAATCAGTGCTGCTCACTTTACAGAAACTGACTACAGAGGGCACACTAAGTAAAGTTAACTTCAATATTTTTCCAAACCATGCCAGATTAAGAGCAGATGTTTTTATCCGAACAACAGATGAACTGATGTATATTTATGTAAAATATTGAAAGTTTACATTCAGTTTTTTTTCTCTATTTGCTTTCAGTCTAAATCTTGTCTGGCGGCCTCTTCTGCTCTGAATAAATAAACAGCCTTAAAGCTAAATGTTTAAGCTAAAGCTAAGTGCCTTCAGTTCCTCTAATGGAAGCAGAGTTAGATGTTAGCTTTAGGGCTTTTTTCCTACACTTCGTCTCTGCATCTATCGTTTATATTTATTGAGAGGTTACTGACGCTTTGATTGACAGCTCTACTGTGCCACCCAAGTCTTACCCAATGCTACAGTGAACCTCTGTGTCAGCCTTCCTCCAAAATAAGCATTATCTGGTTTCAGTTGCAGCCGCAGTAGCAGAGAGAAGTAAACCTAAGAGCACTATGAATAACTGCTAAAAGCTGCTGTGAATGATGAATTCATCATCCACAGATTTAAGGTCGTATGATGGATATTTAAGAGAATAAACTTCAGAGACATTTTTATCTGCACCTTCATGTGTCTCCTCTTCCTTTTATTTGCCGAGTTTTACCCTTACCACTAGGACTTGCTCTGAAGTCTGGCTGTGCTCCTTATGGCTGCTTTAGGTGATGAGGGGGATGGCAGCCCTGCAGAAGCAGCAGCAGCAGCTGGAGTTGATGAAGCTGTTCAAAGCTGCAGACAGGCAAAGATACTTCAGGTACTTAATTTGATGCACAAATGTGCTTGGCCATGGAGGTTGTGATCCCGCCTTGCAAGAAATTATTTTGAATGCTTGGATCTGTTTGCATATTCTTTGTGTATTTTTATACGTGTACACTATAGTGACCATACATCCTCTTTCAGCCTGGCATGTCCTCTTTTTGGGGGGCTGTCCGGCTTTGTCTGGGGGAGTTTATAAAGTCCTTCAAATGTCTGCGGTTTTGTACGGAAGTTCTGAGTTCGTGTCGCGTGGACTAACTTAAGTTAAAAGCGCGCAAAAAACACTCAATCCGACCTGAAAAACTCACAAAATTAACTACGCGCGACTCCTTGACTCCGCATCCCTGTCGCTGTGTCCTCTTTTCGGGGATTCAGAATATGGTCTCCCTACTGTCCACTGTTCGAAATCTTTATTCGACAGTCATGCACCCTTTGAATTAGCATTACGTGACTTAACTCAAAGTAAGTGTTTTACATTTACTTAATAATTTCAGGCTTATGTGGGCCGACAAGAGCTGATGAGTGGTCATTAGGGGAGACATGCTGCAAATGCTTGTAGGATGTAAAAACACATGCAAAGGTCTGTAATAAATGCAACAATAGAAACACACACATAGCTGCAAATATACATAAGTTGCATGATTGCTGTATTTGCAGCATGCATCTCTTTATAAAAACGACCTCTGCCATTCCTCACTGCAACATCTCCATCTTATCTTTTTAGTTCAGTTTAGCTGCTTTATCTCCTCACTTATCTGGGAAACTTTACATGTCGAGTAGTGATAAAGTTCTCCCATGAAGACACAGGTGCATGATGGGACTTTATCAGTTTTAAAATACCTCCATCCTCCTTAAATTACAGACTAAAAAAAGGTCTAAACTGCCCTCATGATCCCTCTGCTGCACAGAGCAATGGCAGTGTGTGTTTTTGTATAAGTGCAGCGGTGACGGGAGTGCAGTTTACCACACTCTCGCAAACACCACACAACCGGGACACTCTCTCTCTCTCTCTCTCTCTCTCTCTCTCACACACACACACACACACAGGGGATGTTGTGAGTGCGCTCCAGTGTGGGGCCCTGAATGAAAACATGCTGGTAGAGAGATGTATCAGATGTTTGTCCACTCATTGAAAAAAAAGAAGAAAAAAAAGAAGAAAAAAAGGACATGTTGATCCAAGATCTAACTGTGGCTCCTTCCTGGAATAAAAAAAAGGCCTATGAGCTCCAGCCCAGCGAGTGCTTAGCTTGGCACTTTCCCCACCAGTTCTAACTAAAGCCCTGCTCAGTTTTACGGTGTGTGGTGATGCCTATAGCTGTTTTTGGGTCTATGGAGGCTTTGTGCAGATAACTGACAGAGGAAGGACAACAGCTGGACTGAGGAGACTTCTGAAGGTCTCTGCTGAGTTTAACAGAAAACTCAAATCAGTGCTGATCAATATTTAATATCTTTTTTTGAGGTTTGTGGAAAGAAAAACTAGGGTCAATGGTGCTGTTTGTGGTATATTGTTGTTTTTAAAATATCAGCTACTAAAATAGAAGAACATGATGCACCAGCTATCAGTAAAATCCACTCGCTTTGTGAGGACGGTAGCTTTCAGGCGATAAACTATCCAACAGAGAGTTTTTTTTCAGAGACTAGCTTGACCTAGCCTTCGGCCCAAGATGCTGTGATAGGCGCCGCGACCCCCAACGGGATAAGCGGAAGAAAATGGATGGATGGACAGCTTGACCTAAAATCTCAAAATGAAAGAAATCTATGACTATTTATGTATGAATGCTTTATTTTGAAAAAAGTAAACGAGAGTTTTAGACCAATATCTGCTTTAGATATTGATATTCAGTCTAAGCATAGGAGTATTTGTTTCACAATGATTAAGATAATAATGTGCAGATATGCCTCATCAATACTTGGCCCCACCTCTATTTATCATTTCCACTGAAATATAACAAATGACTGCTCCAGCACTTGGGAATACTAACTCATTAGCATCTCTAAAAACTGTACCAAAATTTCTTTGTCCATCTAGGATTAGTCCAGATCCTGCAGATCACCAAATCACCACATTTTCAAAGCCATTTGATATCTGTGTCTTGGTTCTCATAAATGAGGAATCTAAAAGCTCCTAACATGGCATGTTTTTTAGGGAAATGGAACCAGAAATGACAGATTTTGCTGCTTTTTTGCAGGTCAATTTTATTTTTAAGTTTTTGTATAATAGAGAGAGACACTGAAGGAACTCACTTAACAAACTGTCCCTAAAATAGTTAAGATACAGATTTTGTTGGGTGTGCTAAGACATACCTTCCCATTTCTAACTCAGATAACCAACCCTGACACCTGTATGCGCTAAAGCAACCACAGTAATTATCAAAATTATCTGCAGACTTATGGAAGCAGTGCGGTTTTTCTTAGTATTTGTTGGCAGCGCCTTGCATGCCAAGGTGTATTGTAAGACATGAGTCCTTGCTTGTAGATAAGGAGCCCGACAGCTAATGTGGGTTATGGTTCAAAGTCTGAGGTTTGAACTACTGAGACTGATGAGTCTGTATCAGCGAGTGTGGGTGAGAATTTAAATGATCAAATGAAAAATGTTTTTTTTTACTGAATACTCAGATACTAAATAATAATGCAGTGAGAAACATGTACCCTCGCTTCAATTCAATCATTATCGACCACAAATGCCACTTTGGACTCCACGCTGAAACCACATAGCAAAAATGGTTCATTCCCAACAGTGAAAGCAACACCAGGGAGAAGCTGCTTAAACCTGTCACCACGTCTTACCTCCTCCAGGACACTTCACCTCTGCCTGTTGACACTGTGGCAAAAATGTGATGTTCTGTTTCAGGCTGGTCTTCAGACCTGCTCAGTTTAATGTGATTATAAGAAATAAGAACACTTGATCAGGTCAAATCTACAGTCAGTGTTTCCTACAATGAAAATCTGTTACCATAGAAGCAATGCCAACCATGGAAAGAGAGAATAAATTACTTTTAAATCAACAAAATCATCTTTTTAATCCATTTGTTCATGTCTTTAGCTGGAACCAGGTAATAAGAAACAGACAACAGAGTGAGACGTGCCTTTGACATACTAACTCGCATTACCACCCACTCACTATACTTTCAAATCCTTTACTTTGATACTTTCATTTGTTACTGCAATAGCTTACACTGAAAAATCTGAAAACAGGCCCCTACAATACGCTTTGATTTCTTAATTTCTGCATTTATTTTTTAAATGATGTAAATTTGAAACTTCCAAAGCACAATTCTTAATGATACAGTCACACACTTATTTCAACATAATCTTAAATTCTATTTCTTCCAGGTCTGTTCTGATAAATGCTGCTAAATATTATGCACCGCACCTTTAAGAATGTCTGTGGAATAAAATCACAATTCGCCCTGTATTGCCAAAGCAGCTGAATCCGTCAAAACGCCCCGGCAATTTGCACATTAAATGAGAATATCTCAAAAAATAAAGAATAAATAGTTTGAACAGCTCAAATGTTGTGCATCATTCTGCAGACACAGTTCTGTTTGCTGTGTGAGAGAAATCTTATTCAAAACTGATTTTAAAACAGATTTTTTTGCCTTCGTCAGACAAAGTTTTGTTTTCCAGAGAATACTTTTTCTCTGAATGTCCCTCTTGAACACATTTCTTCTTTCTGCTTTTGTATTTTTGTCCACTTGAGGCTACAGTAAGGTTTCCCCGCCTCCTCTTTGTAAGATTTCTCTCTGTGTGATTGCAGAGTTGCAGACGCAAAATGGCAGCTGGAGAAAAGAGAACTTGCATCATTATTCTGAGGAACTGACACCAGAATCTGAAGTTTACCATCAAAGCTTTCGTACATTTTGTCCTGTTAGGTCCAGCTGCCCCATTGTGAGACTTTTTTCATATCAAAGGGTATAATTTTCTGCTATAGAGCCCTTATACTGAGATGCTCATGCACCTGTGCGTTAAAACCTATCATCACTCCACTTACAGTGCTGCTGCAGATATTCGTCAACTGACAGAGCAGCTTTTGAAATGACCCCCCTCCTCCTTCCCCCACTGCCACAACAGGATATTGCTCAGTGGCACAACAGGGTTATGGCTGCATGGAGACATGTAGGGGCAGGCCAGGGACAAAGATTTCAGAGAAGAATTAAAAAAAGGCAGGAGGAGGCAGAGGGGCGATATGATCTCTGACTGCACAGAGAGAGGGATTGTGTTGGCTTTGGCCTGCCTGGTATACAAACACTATATTAACACACAATCCACTTTCTTTTGCGCTACAGGAGACATTTATTCCAGCGGCGGGAGGTCAGGAAAAAAATGGACACTGGGGTGAGGAAGAGGCTGAGCAGATGATGAAGGGAAAAGGGATGTTCAATGAAGGAGATCAGAAAAAGGATGGGGAGGAATCTGGCAGAAAGGTATTTTTGCTTTCTCTAAACAAACCCAGGATAGAGGGAGTTATGTAGGGCCCTGAACTAGCCTCTTATTCTAAGAAACTACAGTACTCAATGTTTTTGTGGTTCCTCATCAAACAGTATCTCTTTCTATTTGAGTGTACTTAGGCGATCAAGATCTGCCGAAACACACAGGATGAGCAGTGGGTGGTTCAGATCCATGTGCAGAGCTGACAGGGATTATAAGCTGCATCACAAGAATGATAATAACAGAGAGGTGGCTCAGTGTTTAGGTTAGGTAAAAGCACTGTTAGGGTTGAGAATGGCAGACAGAAAGCACTATCAGCAATACATCTCTCTGCAGTGAGGCTTTAATGACAAGGTCCAGTGCCTACGTGTCTGCCGCAGGGACCCGAAACACTGAAGTGAAACTTCCCGGCTCCCCCGAAACGCATCAAAGTCCAAAGAGTGTGTTGTGACGGCGCGGAGAGGGGAAGCTTCCTCATGAATTCTTAAATTCTTTCTTGCCAACAACAAAACATATCTGCGAGCCGTTCAGCCTCTGTAGCCTTGGCCTACCTTTTGGGGAGTCACATGACTGGGCATCAATCCAAAAAGGGGCGATGCTGTAAAGCTTATCTTATATTTTAATGCTCTGTCACAAAACTGATGAGACTAATGTGACATCTGAGTTAATAATTTAACCTGAGAGTGTGGAAAAGCTTCCCTTTTTTTCCAGATATGGCCTTGAACACACCAAGAGGAGCCTTGAGCACTTGAGTACACTATGTTCAATCACTGCAATGGGCCATGGTGTAACACAGAGGACCTGTCTGAAGTATGTGTATCCATCAGATCCATCATTTATGAGCCCCATTCTCTTAGTTTAGATTCCTTGTGTGCTGTGCCGTCAGGTTTAGTAATTTAGGTAGTCCAAAATCCAGTTTCAAAGGAAGTTAGGGATGACAAACCCATATTATCAAACAGGAAAGTAGGTTCCTGTAAGTCACAGAGGTCAACTTCTATCCAAGTTTCCTGGTTAAATAGGTCAGAAATTGTTTATTCATTTGTTACATCAAGGACTGTCGCAAAGTAGTGACGAGGCTTAATATCCATCTTTTAAAAAACCTAAAACAAGCATAATATACCTTGTAATATAGAACAATGTGATACCTTAACTTTCTTCTACAACATCCTGAAGAAATTATGCAAATGCAGAACTTCCAAACACTGCAGTTTCTTAACTGTCCACTTGAGACTGGCTCCAAAAGTACCAGAAACCACATACACACCCATTGAAAAAGGTCAACTTTACAGCAAAAAATTATATTTTATCAGTCTGATCCAAAAATATACACAGTACAAAGATTGGAAATCAAAAGTGTGAGGGCAATTGGAGGCATAACTGCTTTGACTGCTTTGAGTATGGGTGCTACCAAGGAGGCTAAAGGCCTGACTTACCTTAATCCATGTTTTTTTCTTTCCTGACTTTGACTCATAGCAGTTTTATTACTTTACTTCCTATAAATATTATCATTATCATGACTCTTGTTTGGTGAAACTTATCTTTGATCTGGGGTTTCATAGGTTAAAGGATTAAAGAACTTACTGTTGTTGGACTTGAGATCCCTGTGGATGACAGGAACGATGGCCTCGCTGTGCAGGTACAGCATCCCTTTGGCTATCTGCACAGCCCAGTTGACCAAAACGTGCGGCGGGATGCGACGTCCGGCCAGTGCCCTGCTCAGTGGCCCTCCAGAAGCATACTCCATGATGAGGCACAGGTTGGGTTCCTGGAGGCAGACCCCCTTCAGGGCAATGATGTTCGGGTGAGTGAGCATGGCAAACAAACGCGCCTCTTGCCTGACGTTCTGCGCCGTCACACTGATATCCTCGTCCGGGTCTTGCCTGGCAGCCTTTACAGCCACCAGCCCCCCTCTCCATGTACCGCGATACACTTTCCCAAATCCACCGACCCCGATGACCTCCTCCAGACTCAGCTCACGAAAATCCACCATCTCAGGTTCAAATTCGCTAACGACAGCCGGGCTAAGCTCACCCACAACGCCACTGCCTGGAAGTTTGCCATATCCGTTAGGCTTGAAGGAGCCATAGTTGGATGGGAATATACCCACCTTGTTGTTGACCTTCCCTGCCCACCAGCCCTCGTCCCCTGATATCTCCGAGTCCAAAGACAGGACTTCCACCAGGTCACCTTTCCGCAAGGTGAGCTCATCTTTACAAGACGCCTCATAGTCAAATAAGGCAGTCCACACAGGGTTGGTGAAGTTCCCTTTTTGTGATTGTTCCAAATTTTTCCAGTTCGACAGTGGGCCTCGACTAAATATGTTCTTCAGCGGCTCCATGGAGCCTCAAGCAGATGTTTTGACTGGATCTGATTCTGCACCCCAAGGGTTTGAAAATAAAGTACAAAGGAGTACTTTATTGCGCCTCGCTCCCTTTCCTGTCTTTCTTGTTGGTTCATCAGGGACCTGTGAAATGTGTTCAAAAGCCGGACCAACAAATGGGTTTCAGAAAAAGATTCAAAAATGACTGGATGGCAAGTGTCTTTCATTCATTTTGACATGAAATGCAAAATCTCTCCAGCAGGATCAAATGAGAGGTTGCTTTCGTTTGATTATGCGTTTCACAGAATGGCAGCTCTTTTTTTTACTGAAGCTCTCTCTATTCAAGTGATGTGGTTTCCCAAAGCATGGTGTGAGCATAATATCATCTCATCAGTGTGTATTTAAGAGGCTCCTGAATGCCCTCATTTAGGGGAAATTAGCTCCTCGCCTCCCTCATTCAAAACTGCCACCTGTTGAGATCTGACTTTCAAAAGCAAAGAGTGAAAGGACAAAAATACAGTTGTCCAAATGTTTTAGTAAAACATTTATAACGCAGCAAAAGTTCCCTCAACAGTGAGCTGTCCATTTGGAGTTTTTTATGTATTTTTAGCCATTAAGTGCAGTGGCCACCACAAGCAGGAAGCGCTGAGAAGAGGAGAAGAATAGCAGGAAAAGGAGCATTCAGTCCAGCCAACCAGTGTTTTACGACAACTTTCAGGGCTGACCACTTTGCATTATTGAGCCAAAATCTCCAATAACCGCGTCGGCACGCAACTATGCGGCGCTCCCGCAGGAAATCCCGCATCCCTTAGCGCGAGAGTATCCATACTTACGTTGTTACCAGAAGCACGCGACGAGCTGGACTTCGCCACAACTTAAAAAAAAAGGAAAAAAAACTCAGGGATCCGACGACTTTGTTACAGGAAGAGCTATCCAAACACAAAGTTTGAACACTTTAGAGAAATGAAATTCCGTCACTTCCACTGTGCAGTGGAGCGCGTGGCCCGGCGCAGCTCGGTGGTCGCGTTGTTATAGTTGGTATCCAAACAGCGCAATAACTCCATCATAACTTGTGATCATATTCCTCTTCCTCCGTCGGCGTTCAGTCGTCAGGACCTCGAACCACTTCTACGTCTATGCTTACAGTCAGTAAAGAGGGTGGGGTTTCAAAACTTTTCTCTCCCAACAGGAAAAAGAGTCAGATGACCAGCTCGCGGTTAAGGCAGGCGCAGTAAGTAAGAGTGCACCCGGTTACGACTTTCAAAATAAGAGTCGGACAAAGTTTTCGTTTAAGTGTGTTTGAGAATCTCTAGACGTTATTTCCACATATTTAATGAAAGAAATCCATATTTTTCAGAAGGACAGTCACACAAATTGTTTCAGAGGAAAAGAAATGGACAAGACCATTTGAAATTTCACTAAACAAAGAAATAAAACAGGAAAATGAACAAAAATTGCGATATACTAGAAAACGGAAAAACAATTAACAATACTCTTAACTTTTTTAAGATATATACGACTCACAAAAGGGGAACATCAAATTGAGTCACATCTTTCTAAACTATTTTACATCCCATAAAATACTGTTGCATTTTGTTAAATGATTTTTGGTATTTTGTGAATTTTATTCAATAATATACCACGTTTTATTCATTTATTTATTTATATATTTTCTTATTTGAGAAATGCTTTTATTTGTTTGAGAATTGTGCTGGCATTCAGTGAATACTTTGAACCATTAGGACCACTGCAGTGCCAGCCTTCGGAAATCTTTTGAATTATCCTGTTTTATAATTACTTTGTTAGAAGTTGAAATACTGAATAACTGTTGCATAAGTTAATTAAACATGTATCTTCTTTTTAAATGAATTTGTTGCATTCAAACGTTTATTTTATTATTTTCATATTGTAAAAAGTGCTGTTAAAGGGTCTGCTACATTAATAAAGTACCACAGGCATGTGCAGACTTTTTTTCTTTCACTTTAATAATAAACAATTCAGAGCAACAATGTCAGTATCTTAATAGCAAATTCTGTAAAGTGAAAGAAAAGAAACACATCCAAAGTCAGATTTTAAGGCAGTAAATTGCAGTGCAGCTAAATTTAGGGTGACACCAAGGATGGTCAATGACATTTAAGGGGGGCTTAGGCTACTTCTGGTCAACCGGTCAGATATGCCCCCAGATAATACAGTTCTGATATTATTGGGATAAGCTAAGTTTTGTTTGAACTTACACTTTGGTGGTGAGTTCTTAACATTAGATTACATCCCATAGCTGACAGTATATTTTTATAACTGTGCCTGTGCTAATTGTCAGCGTAGTAATAGAATAATGATACATATTCATGGTAAAATGAAAAAGAAAACTTCAAATTAATCACAAGTATTTTTCAAGCATGAGTGCACCCCTTTGTTTTGCTTCATGTGACTTTTACTTTCTACTTTCTCATTTCCTGTGTTATGATATTTTGTCACTGTGCTAACTTGACTCTGACCCTGGGCCACAAAGCTGAGCTGCTTTAAGCCTACAAAAAAGATCAGCAAATTCATGATACAGAAACAAAGAAGAGTGAGTATGTGCCTTCAAACTAAGAGTCATACAAGCATAGGCTGACAGTAAGTGGTTATTTTGATTAAAGCTGATTTTGATGATACAAACTAATTAAACCCTATATTTACTTAAAATCAATGCAAATATATTGTTGTAAATGTTGAAAAGGATTTAATCTATTACTTTTTGAAACATATCCATGTCGCTTTTAATTTAATGTGTGTAACACTGCAGAAAACTTTGGACAACAAACCTCAAAAAAGTTCAGTTATGCTGAAAATAACTTCCTGGAAGAACAGACACAACTAGTTGAAGTCACTGCATTGGCTTAAGATCACACTCCCAAAAATCTGCATTTTAAAGAAAGTTTGATAAAGTAGAAGCCAAATCTCGTTTCATTTTCACATTTTATTATGTTCCTGATAATACAGTTTTGTCTGTAGTTTTCATCCTCTGAGAAATTCAAATCTACATTTCCTTGAAAGTATTTCGTCTTGACCTTAAATATTAATAGTTATAGCTATTTCTACTGCCAGTTTTAGTGAGACAGATTCTTTGCTCCTATCTGTTACTGTAAAAACTCAGTTTTCAGATGTTTCTCAGCTGAATTCAGTCCACACAGTCAAGGACGGACGATCATTAAAAACCCTCCCAGAGATGAAAAAATGCTGCAGTTAAGTTTCTGTGAAGAGACATTTGTGGAAGATTTCCTCTCTGGTGTCACTTTGAATAAAAAGGAGTTTCTAGCTCATCTTCAAGCAGATATTTGAAAGCATTTAGCTCTTTTAATGTGCGCTATGATGTGTCATTGGCTACTTACCCTTCTGAGGAGGGAGAGCTGCTGAAGTGGGATTTACTGTCGCACAATTTTTGCATAGAGAGACAGAAACGTAGCTCATTTTTAAGTTAAATCCAGGGAGGATTTTCTCACTTTTGGAGTTTCACCATTATCCTCCTCTTTACTGAACCTCTATACAGTGACTGGTTTCAATAAGCAGATTTCTGATGCAATATTTATGAAAAGCCTACAAATTTGTCCTCCAATGAAATGGTTTATTAAAGGCAACACTGCTGTCTCCAAATGGCGAAATTTACAACAAAGGATGCAAAAGTCAGTACTGTTTAGTAAAATATTAAATGTAAAGAGGTCTCACGGTTTCAACTGGGTGTGGCCACAGTGGCATCGCACATTAATTTTAATGCAAGAAATTTCGTCTTTTGGATTAAAAGGAGGAGCTGAAGCAGAGCGAGTTTTTGTTTGACTAAATGCTAAACAAGGGTTTTGTAGCTTGTAGATTTTTGAAACTACAGGGAGGCCAAGAAGAAGAATTTAAGTCATCCCTGAGGGTAAATTCAATACAGAGCCATGCTGTTGTAACCCCTGCAGAATGTGTTTTCTCATTGTCTTGCTGAAATATGAAGATCTTCCCTAAAAAAGTCCTTGTCTGGATGGCAGCAGATATTGTTTAGCATTAATGGAGTCTTCCAGGTGTGCACTGTATTATTTGTGGACATAGGGACAAACTGTGTTCATAGACAGTGGTTTGTAGCCAATGCAGTGGCTTCCCCTATAGAGTTATGTCACCTAAAGGCAAAAAAAAAAAAACACCATCAATTTTTCAGATTTCTCTGGACTTCAACAAAAATTCTCGCAATATCAGTTGATGAGGAACGTAGGAACTTCAATCGCAGAGGTTGGTGACAGTGGATAAACCATTAAAAATAGTGCAAAAATGTGTAGATGTGAAACATTTCATTGCATTATGAAAAATATGTGCTTCTGTAAAAAAATGTTTTGGCAGGAACAGGTTTCAATAGGTTGGTGCAGAGGCAACAAAACACACATAAAGTTATGTAACACTAACAAACCAACCAGAGTAGCACCTGTCAGCTCATTTGTAATGGGTTGGATAATGTTAACTGGTATAAAAAAGGCATTCAGAGAGGCTAGAGTTCAACACACTCTGAGAGATTGCCGGAGCAAATGGTTCAGCATTAGAAATAGACATGACTTCAGTGGAAAACACCGCATAAGCTCAAAATCACATCCAAAAACCACTGTCTGAGAACACTGTTGCAAATGTAGGTTAAAACTGAGCCATGCAAACACAGAACCATATAGAAAAATCAACTCTAAGTTATCATGGTTTGTTATCTCTAAGAAGATAACAAACCATGATTTTCACACTATAAAATTCTGCTTTTATCAACATTTCATACAGTGTCAAAACATATTTCTAACCTGATTGATTTACTTCTTTGAAAATGCTTTTGTTTGTGTTATTCTAAAACCTTTCATTTTATTCTCGTGTCGGCGACCTAGAAACAAGAACTCTGTCTTTGATTTTTGAGCGTATTCTTGGATGAAAAGCATCAGTAGAACTGTAAACCTCATTTTTCAGTCATTGTTATGAGGCAGGGACTCATAATGCTCAGATATTATTTAACAATCATCCTGGGGCGCAGATATGAGACCATGTTAATGAGTCGGTTCCTGGTGTGCGTCAGAGCAAGGCTAAAACACAAGGTGCATTTTAAACATGTGCTTTTCAAGTATCCTCACTATGAAGGGCTTTTATTCTTGAAAAAAGGTCAGGGAATTCCTCTCGGCCACATTTTCCCATGTTTTTTTTTCAGAGTGTAGAGCTCTTAAAAGTCAGTGGCTTCATGGGAGGGGATGGGAATCAGAGGGCCACCTTTGGCCCTGCTGGCTGCTGTGTGGAAACAGTGTGCTTCCTTCTGTTCGCTCTTTGATGGCTCTCCCCCTCCCCTCCCTCCTTCCCTGCCCCACGGCGGGCGTTTGTTTGGACACCGACCTCCTAAAGTCAACCACCTACAGCCCCCCCTCCCTCCCACGTCCATACACACTAACCCACAGAGCTAACTCCACCCTCCCCACAGTCCGCTGAGTCAACGCTTGTGCAGGAAGGATGCAGTTGTTTTTGCGGCCCCGGCTCAGGGTTGCTTGCTTGGTTTGATGGGTGGGTGGGGGGTGAAAAAAGAGGCGGCTTCATCTACACGACAAAATAGACTGTTTGAAAACACATAAGGCTGGAGGAAGAGGAAAGGGGCTGGACTCGCACACTCAGGGACAAGTAAAGTGGGTGTCCGTGATGGTAACAATCACCTCTCTGTAAAAACCTCTCCACCAACCTGTACTGTCTTGTACTTATCTGATTCAAATACCGAGAGGAGGCTGCAATGTTGAGGATAAATAGCAGCCCTTGTTTTTCAAGTTGAATGACTCATTGGTGAGAAAGAGATGCATCCATGGGAAACTTTTTTATTTTGCTAAGCAGAGAAGAAAAAAAAAATCAAAGGTTCAGGTAAGCACAGCTTCAAGTTAGAGCTACAAAGGAGGTGTTTCACACCTGTGGAAGTCAAAAATAAACACCTTGAAATGTTTTGTAATAGACGCTGCAGGGGTGAGAGTTTGTGCATCTAGACTACAAACAGCTGGTGCAGGTCTGCTTGAAATAGGAAGCACGATAAAGAGTTCATCCCCAATATGGAAAACATAAACATGGAGGACGATTAAGACCAAGTGGTTCAACTTCAAACTCTGAAGATGAAATTAAATCTCACCATCCTGGCTATGTTGATATAAAAGTCTAAAAGATCACCTGGATCCATGAGAAAGGTTTGATTCAGTATCATTTCAGAACTCCAGGTTTATTTTCAGAGGGAAACAAAAATTAAACTTAGTGAAACATACCATACCAAACACACCAAAAACACCAGAACAAATAGGGTGAGGGTTCCAAAAGAAACATGCGAGTACCAAGCCAATGCTTCCTGTAATTCACTTGAAATATTATCACCAAGTAATCGTAATTGTTGGGTCATGAACTGTTGTAAATATTCTGTTATGAAGGTCAGTGTTGAGGCAAACGAAAGGCTCTTCCAAACTGGAAATCTACAACAATAGAAAAAAGTTATGCCTCTGTCTGTGCATATTCACTACACCCTGAGGTGGTGTAATATAGGTGCCCAAGTGTGTGATTCCCCATCCAATTACAGTGCTGTGGGAGCAAGATAGATACAGTTTGTATACACATACAAGAAAATTGTGGTTGTGTGGGTGCTAATTTAATAACTTATGACAACAACTTCACCTCACCACTGCTCAACAGTAAGGGTCAGCACAAGGAGGGAATCTTTACCAACAGTTTTGACTCATCAACAGCGAACATGGCATTGGCGAGTGTGTCTCCTTCTGGAGGGCTCGCCATGTGTCTCAGATGCCCATTTCCTTACCCCGCAGGCTCAGACGGCATCACACTCCTTGCAGTTGTGATGCAGCCTTTTGTGCTAAAAGATGTGAGGGCCCTTTCACCACCACTAAAGGCCTTTATATTATGACCCCTACCACTGTAATTGTCGTAATTATAATTGCATAACAGCAGCATCAGACCTGTTGACTTTTACTGTTTCTTCATTGTTCAGGTAGTTCAAGTATGCAAAAAATATGCATCTTTTTCTAACACAGTGGCAGATGGCTGTAACATAAGCCTGGTTCTGCTTGAAGTTTCTGCCTAAAACAAAGAGTGCCTAAGGTCGTGTTCACACCTAAAGGTCCGTTTCCTGATACAAATCCAAGACAAGATGATACATTTGTTTTGATTGTTTAACTGGTCTGGTTTGCGTTCACAAAGGACAAACCATAGACTGCATATGCTATGGACAACTTGGTTCCGCCTACTGCCTGTATACGAATTTGAAGCCAAAAAGCTCTCGGTATTTCCGGGATTTCTCTTTATTTCCTGAAACCAGCGCTGCGCAGTAGCTTTGCGCGCCCAAACAGCATATCCCCTGGGTGAGCTACACATTCCCTGAACGCCCATAGGCTGTATCAAGTGTTAATCATATAAAACATGAACCCCCTAATAACTTTTAAAAATGGAGCTTCACAAAAAAAAAGAGGACTTGAGCACAAACCAGTCTTACAGTAACTACATGTCAACATCACAAGCAGGGGGGAGAAAAATGTATGTTCTGTGTAATAAATTTCAAAAGTTTGTCCACAACTCCATAAGCTTTGCTGGCGGAGGTGGGATTTATGACCTATACTGCAGCTGGTCAACAGAGGGTGCTGTTCTCGGAGTGGCTTCACCCAACGAGGAGGCAGACTCTGTCCATTCTGTCCATACAGTCTATGGGACAAACTCAATCGCTCCAGAAAACCGAATCTGAAGTCACGTGACCTCACATATTGTTGTCAGTTGTTTGGTCATTAGTTTATGCTGGAATACAAACCCCGCTCTGCTGTCTTCGCCTGTCATGGAGCATCGTAGGCTGATTTTGCTTTTGCTACTCATCTGGAGCGCGTATCAAAAGACGCTAGTCGATCACGCGTATGAACGGCTCGTTAGCCAGCGAGCGTGAACTGCGGCATTAATTTATACATTCCAGAGTATACGTGCTGCAAACAACAGATGGATAAAGACGAGACGGCAACAGGCATTAATGAGAGCCTACCACGATGCGTTTTCTCTTTGGTGTCAATCGGGACAAGTGAGGCGAGCGGACAACATTTATTTCACAACCAGCATCACAAATAGCCTAGATGTGTGTGGTGCGTTCCCTGTGATTGGTGTGAATGACGTTCACACCAGAAATGAACCGCTCCAGAGTTCACTTGATAGCGGTCCAAGACCACCTCTTCAGGCAGACCAGAGTTTGTTTATTTGGTCCGCACCAGAGTTTGAGGTCAGCATTTACACCGACCCAAACGAACCGCACCAAGGGGGGTAAACGCTCCAGGGTATGGTTCAACCAGGTCAATGCGCCCTAAAACATCAAAACATCACTACTTATTGACAAAGATTATGACAAAAAGCAAAAAAAAAAAAGCCAGACCTTGATGGTTGGCAAAAATGGTTGTTTCTAAGTTGATTTACATTTTTGAGTTCGAAAATTGTTTTATTAATCTAAGATATGCAAGCTGTTTTTGTTTGTCTTTTCCATTTATTTATAAAATTATTTTTTAAAATCCATTTTTCAGGTATATGCCTTCTACTCTTGGATAGAAAAACTACTAACACTCTCTTTAATTGAAATATGAATTTTATTTCACCCATACAAAATAAAAAGAATGTTAAAAGTTTACAATACAGTGTCAACTGTCTATTTGGAAACATTTCATACTGAGACTCACACATAAATGGGAAGCCCCATCTCTGCTTTAATTGATACTTTTAAAACAAGCTAAAAGAGGGAAAAAAATGTCAACATTAAAGGAGAGAATCACTGAAGAAATCATACAGGGGGGCCAGAAGAGAAATTAGGGAGGACAAAAGACACAAACAACTTTAAAAACAAAGTTATGGTCCAAGTCGCAGTACACATCTGATGGTTGTTCAGGGGAATTTTCTGGTCGTATAAAATAATATACAAGGTCCAACTAGCAGAGCGCAGCGCTCTGAGAGTGTCAAAAACAACAACAAACTGGATGTAAATCATTAACCTGCTGATATGTTCGACTCCAGGGCTGTGGTCGTGAAAGTTTACAGTTCTCCTGATAAAAACGTGAATTAAAACTAGAGACTAATGCAAAGAAAGAGCTGAAGTCAGCTAACCTATAGTAAAAATACACCTGCTTCCTTGTTTATGTTACAGCCTGACAATCAGACTGAGCAGCGAGTTGCGACAAAGCCGGGAAGTACGGCCCACATGTGAACAGCAGTATTTCATAGCCAATCGATAACAGAGTAATAGAACACTTCATGGGGGGAGACAATGAGCTCCTTTTTACTCCACAAGCGCCGCTCGCTTTTCAAATACTTCCAGGATCTGTTGGTTTTATACAAGGCTGTAATAAGACTTTGAAAACCACTTATAGATTTCTTTCAGCCAACCTGAGCTTTTGAGTTCACTTCATTATGCCTACTACAGAGAATTTAGGAGGAAAGAAAAAAGTGCCAAAAGAAAAAAGCTGCAAGGAAACATAAACCACACCTATCCGGTCTGTGGGGGCTCGTGGCGAAAAAACAGTGACGACTGCCAAATTCAATATCCAAAACAGAAGGACTGACTCGTTAAAAAACATCCTCGCAGGATTCTCCTCTACAATAAAATAAAACCTTTTAAAAAAAGAAAATTAAAACACAGAATATACAGCCAGGTTCCTATCTCCTGCAGCGGTGTGGTTCTTCTCTCGAGGGGCTGTGATGAAGAGTCCTTCGCCCACCGCTGGATCATCTTAAGAAATCAAAAATCATGTTGAGTGTGTGTGTGTGTGTGTGTGACTGTTTATGTGTGTGTATGTGTGAGAGAGAAAGTGTGTAGAAGGAGGGAATAAGGGAGCTAAGAGTCATAGTCTTCGTCATCTTCATCGTTTTTGTGTGGCGCAGGGGCTGGGGCAGGCGGCGCGACGCTCATCATGGAGGGGTGAGGAGCGAAAGCCATGCCGCCGTGAGGCTGTGCTGGAGCCATGCCGCCCATGGGGACCATGTTGCCCATGTGCATGAACTGAGGGGGTGCGTTGGAGCTGTGGGGGCACAGACAGAGGAGTTTTACCATTTCAAACTCACAAGAACTCATGTACTATAGGCTGGAGTGCACGCCGGTCAAAGTGGGATTTAAATAGACAGGATTGACTTCCTAAAGGTTGGGGTGACGTGCATTTATGAGAGGCTCTATATTTCCTCCATACTTTTCGCTGACAGCAGCCTGCTTTGTGGAGGCTGTAGTTTATATGCGTTTTCAGTGTTTACATGACATTTTCAGAAAACTGGATGAGGAGAATGAGGGTGAATAAAGGACACAGCAGTGCTTTTTAGTCTTATTAGTAGAAGAACAGCACCATCTACCTGTTCATGGCTGTATCCACCTGACTGCTCTGCCTGAACAGGTGGCAAACAGACTCTAATCTGTAAATATGAGCTGTGATTTTCCAGGAATCGTCTCCTTAACCGAAGAATGTATTCGTCAAGAAAATCTGGTTTAAACTGATATGAAATTAGATTTTCTAACAATCAGGGGTATGATTGGCAAAAGAAAAGACAGCAGGTGGGTGAAGAATTTAGCAAAATTCTTGACACACAATCTAATAAACTGAAAATTATGTTGTCCAAAAGTATCCTTCTGGTTGATAAATGACAGTTAATTCTTTGTTTTATGTGAACTGCAGCCTCCCTGCATGGAGGACATACAACAAATGGTGGTCTGTGGGTTCATTTTGAACAGAATATTTGAACTATCTGGTGTCAGTGAATTCTTTTGCACAAATTTGTCTTGTGTGCATCATTTTCTGCTCTTTCTTCACACACTTAAACACGTCCTTTGTGTTTCAGAAGTGGACTTCACACCGAGGAGAGGTTAATTCACCGTAATTACCAATAATCTTTCACCAGTTCAGTCGATACAGTTTGTCTGCAGCATGTAAAAATACATTTTACTGTATATGTTGCTTAATTTTGATCAAATGACAAGTATCACTCTAGTTTCAGAATTGGACAAACAAGCCAATTATATCCTGTCCTAGACCATTATTGATTTCTTTAAATCACATTTCTTGGCAGCAAAGTGGAGAGATTAGAGTTTCAGAGTGACAGACACCGTGTCTGGTTACTATGGTAACGCTCTGTCACCAGCCTGCGAGCAAAGAGGGAGAGAGATGCTCTCCTGCTGCCAACTGTGTACACCCCTCTTGTGATGTGCAGAAATAAATATCATCATAATTATATGATCCCTTTAAATGAGGAAAGAACGGAGGTGCTGCTGTTGGCCATGTCATCGCTACTTCTATTGTTCTGAGTCATAGTGTCAACTGACAGACGCTCGCCATGTTTATAAGGAGTGCATTTCCTCTTAGTGAACACTGATCAATATCGAATGGCTGATTAAAAATCTTAAGAGTCAAGATTTCAAATCCGGAAGAATCACATCCTTGAAAGATGCTCTTTCTTCTTAAAAAGTATACTGATGAATTCTTAAGATGAACATCGTGTTACTTTGAGTGTAAAAATCTCTAAATGGATCTGCACACTCAGTATCTGGATGCATTGAACACGGTGGGTCTCTCTCTGTACCTGGGGAATCTGGGAGCAGCCTGTAGGTTTGTGCTTGACTGAGAGCCGTCCTCTTCGTCACCGTCTGTCTCGCTGTCTTCAGAGTCATCCTGTTTCCAGCACAAGAAACACAAGTGAGCCTTCTCAACTGGAGAAAATTACACTTGACTGGAACTGTGGGAGTTTTTATTTCAAGTTTTTATCTGAATAACACTTTGAAAAAGTACAAAAAGTAACAGCAAATGACTCTAACACTCACAAATAAACCCAGAACTTTCTTCAATTTATCAAACATTTTCTTTTGACTTCCTGAATTGTTCCCAGAGGGCACAATCTTAGCCAATCAGAGAGGGTACAGGGCTGCAACTAAAAATAGATGTCTGCGAATTGTAAAATGTATTTAGGGGCACATGTGCGCATAAAAAAAATTAGCTGAGGCAACAAATGTTTTTTCATTTAAGTACCATGGGGAAGTTAGTTTGAGGTTGGATATTTGACGGACATTCACTGTGGATCTACCTGTAGCTGCGTTTCCATTACCCATAGATTTGCGCAAAACGTAAATATCGCAATAGAAAACTGGTAATGGAAACACCTACATTTCGAAAAACCTAGACGGAGTTATTTCTGAAGTTTTGAATTGTATTTGTATTTTTCTGAAGTTTTGAATCCACAATTCGTCTGTGAATTCCTCATTAACGATCCTCTCCCAGAAATCGCTCATCCGTGTTCGCTCCCATACATACGGGCTTTGCCTTTGAATTATCACCCGCTGCCTTCGTCTTCTGATGACAGCAGCGGCAACAGCAGTAATGGTCACAGAAATAGCTGCTCCAAAACGAAAAATGTTTTGTGTCTCGTCCATGTTGGTGTGCAAAAAGGCTTAAGGAATACGAGGTCGCACGGGCAGGAAGTTTACCTCGTTGCTAGGCAACGGCCATTTAAACACGGCTCGCGAGAGGCAGACGGCTCGCTTATGCACTGAACACCATTCAATGGAAACACCCGCAAATCGCAATTGTACTTTGTCGAAATTTGATAAACATCGCTTTTATTTTGCGAAAAAATGTAATGGAAACGCAGCTAGTGTCTTCTTACTCCCCATAACCGGAAATTAGCGACAGCAGTGTGGATAAATCTACTCGGAACCCTTGCTGTCAGTGTCGGGTGTTGAATAAGGGACCATCAATAAATCACTGGTTGATGTTCTCAAAAAAGGCTGGTTTCCTACAATAGTTTCCATGTCACGTGACCAACTGACCTAAAATTGATTTCAAATAATAATACTTGCGTCGATTTCCATATTCATATTCCATATTCCATAAATTTCCTTTATTTCCATAATTTGTCTTCATAATTTTTTTGTGTTAAATTTAAAGGCAAATTTGGTCATTTTCTTCAATAGCTTCCATGTCATATAACCAAAAGTCCTAAAATTGATTTCAAATAATAGCACTTACGTCGAATAATAAGACAAACATTATTTGATCTTTTTTTTTTCCTAAAGTTCTTGTGTGCTCCTTACTTTTTCAACTTAGGAGCATATGTGCTCCTTGTCAAAAAAGTTAAGTGTCAAGCCCTGGGGTATATATATATGGTGCTCTATAAATAAGTTTGCCTTGCCTATCAAAGCTGCAACTAATGATGTACAAAGTCAGATATGAAGAAATTGTCCTCTATGCTTAATTTTTTACCCTGAAAATGTGCTCAAACTGTGCATATCTGTAGTCATGTGCATGTAAATTAAACACCCACCTCTTGCTCCGACTCTGTGCCAGATAACTTCTTATCCTTGCCTTTGGTGCCCGCTCCTCCGTTCTTGCGGCCGGACCCTGGTTTTCGACCCCTGGACAGAGAACAGACAAGAACCTCCTGTTACGTCAAAGCTCCTGCAGATTCAGCTTTTTGCAGGATGTAGGTTTTGGAGAGGGTTCAGACATAGTTAGAAGATTGCTTGTTCTTTGATGGGTCTGAAAGTCGTTTTGCAGCAAAAATCAGCATCATTTCCATAAAGAGAAACGCGCACGATGCTGCTGCTGGTCGAAATTACTTTCAGCCATTTATATTCAAAGATGCTCTCCATGTCTGATTCCCACAGCTGAGAGAAAGTTTCTAAATACTCTGCACTTACAACCACTTTAAATTGAATCACAATCCAATCAGCCACACTTGAGTGAAAAAAAGTCTTCTCGCTCATTTAATTTATGTTGAGTTCTCCGCCACCTTCTCGGCTTCAATTCAGCAGCAGTGCCGGTGTTTGATCTGGCGGTCGATACCGCTGTGTCTCTTCTACAATCCTCAATAATTAGTTCTCCCTCTGAAGAGCTGAAAAAGTGTGATCTTGCTTGTTCTTCTTTTTTTGTAATTAATCTGTTATCGGGATACAAACCCTCCTTATTCCACACAGATAACAGCAGGAACTGTTCCAGGAAAAAGCAAACGGAGCTCTTCTTGTGCTCACACAGTGTAGTCCTGTTCATCATGAAGTAGTCACATTGTCTGCTTAACACTTCAGCTTCATAAATGACAGTCTGCATGGTTATTAAAAATTCAACCCTACTTTGGAGCGGCTAATATAACCTGGACAGATTTCCTCACTTCCTTTTTTTTTTGATGGGCTTCAACATAAAACCCATTCGGTGTGTCTAAGGGTCAGAAATTGCTTCATACTGCATGATTCCTTGTTTGCTGTTCATCTCATCTTTTCAACATTTCTTCCTGCTGATGCACTGAATCTGCTGCTTCTCCAAAATGCCTCCATTATGCGCGGTGAGATGAGCTTCCTGAGTTTTCACTTTCTTTTATAAATGCATGTCTAGCTTTCATTATTCTGCACCGGGAAAAAGGCAGGAAAAGCTAATAGGAAGAAGAAATAGTGCCAAATCACCAACACCCTAAGTCACAAAGATGATGAATTATGGTGGACTGAAATGACCTCTTAAGGTGAAGAACTGCAGGTAATCTGGGGAGGAATTTTGACATTACAAATCATGAATATAGCAGGTTTGAACATGACTGATAATGTAACTGAGCTGAGCTTAAGTTACATCCCTTATCCCAGCACTAACTTTCCTCATTCAAAGGTCAGCACATAGCAATGATTGTAAGGTCATACAGAATTAAACAGAGGGAGAGCAGAGGAGAGAGACGGTGATGTCAACAGTTGTCTATGTTTTTAATAGGCCTGATTTATATGCTGCTAATGGGCAGTTACACACAAAAGTGATCAAGTCCATAAAGGAATCAAATTAGCACATACAGAGTCAAAGAGGACGCTCTCTGCAGACACAGACCTCCTCTGAACTTGAAGAAAATATTTCATTTTGGTAATACATCCTTTTCGGGTAAAATCTCATTTTGTCAGTACCAGAACTACTTGCAAGTTGTAGACAAAAAACCACATAAGTATCCATTATGGGTGCCCTGGAGTTCATTTCTTGTTGCTTTGGTATCAAATCAGGTATGAATGTCGTCAGTTTTTAAGTGTTAACAAATTCCTTTGTATTTATAGTGCTATAAAACATGCACCAGTTTTAGGCACTGGTTGGCCTTGCAGTATAAGTGTGCCTCATCTCCTGCGGTTCTAGTTATTCTCATCCTGATTTGACTCCTTCTCATGACCTTTTGCTGCCCCCCTACTCTCTGCTCCCCTTATATCCATCTTTTACCTGATGATTCATCTATTAAAGGGCTAAAAGGCTTTCAAATATAAGTGTGTGTGCGCATCAGGAGTGCCGCTGATTTTGTGGTCTCACCATATGTCCCATATACTTGGATTAAACCCAAAGTTTGATATCAGCCTGCGGCTCTTTTCCTCACTCTTTCTGCATTCATTGCTCTAAATCACATATGCATGCGTGAGAGACATACCTGCGTGAGACTTTTTCTCCTCCCCCGTCTGTGTGGTTCTCCTCCCCCTCACCCTGCATGTCAGGCACCGCTGCCACCAGATCTTTTAAGAAATCAAACTGCTGCTCCAACTCGATACACTGCTTTCTGCAAACACGAAATTCAAAACTATCAGAATATTTCTTTCTCCACATGAACTCTGAGACAAGCCGAAAAGTCGGCGATGCAAACAAATGACAAAGACAGAGAAACATGGGGATTGTATTTTCATTTCAACAGACTCTGAGTCACACTGTGAGACTCTCCTGACAGCAGCAGGAGACTCATAACCACACACATTTTGAGTAGAAGGGATTTATCTGTGTGTTTCACATTAACTCAGCATCAATGTCAAAGTAACACTAACATCACAGGTACACCTGCAAGGCGCTGGGGTGCTTTAAAGTTTCTTTTCCTAAATCCTGAGGAAATGAAGATATAACACCTGCTGAACTACATACTACCAAAATCAAATTACAACTTGGATAATGTTTCTTCTTCTTACTAAGCATCATCTCAGCACCAGCCCCCCCCCTTATACTCACGTACACAAACTACTTACAGATGTGATGTTGTCATTGTCTTTGCATTCCTAGACTGGGTGACATGACAGGCCTTTGTAAGCAAGGATTCCAAAAAAAGCTCCAGGGCTCTCGCTGACGTCTCCGTTAAGGAGAAGAAGATGTATCGGTATGTCTGCATCAAATGTTTAAATAAATAAATAGATTCAATCACCTTGTCTGACCTGAAACATTCAGCTTTAAAAGGTGAAACAGTTTGCCTGAGCAGTTTCATCACAACTGCAGTAGTTCACTCAGCAGAAGTCAGACTGCAGGGCTTGATCCGATGTGTTAAAAGCCAATTAACAAACTTTAACTCTGTGTGGAGCCAGAATTTTACTGATTACTTGTTATTCTTAATAATTAATACACATTGACCTATTGTAGTTTGTTTGATTTCTAAATCAGACCATTACTTTTAGAGTCACTTAAAAGAATCAAAGTCAGGTGAAAAGATAATATCACTTCAACAAAGTAAATATTCTTGATTAAAGCAATGAAGCAAAATTCTTGAGTTTCTGCACTTGACTTTACAAGAGTTTTGGAGAAAAGTACAACTTTCCGCGCTACATTAGAATTATTTTTTCCAAAACCTTTTTCAAATACAACAAATCGTGTTCCTTTAGTTCTGCACGTGGTTTGTCTAAGTGGTGTTGATGTTGCCAACATTACCTAGGTCAGGCAGTATTTATAAGAGCAAGTACTCCGGTAGTAAATGGACTGGCGGCTTCCAGTGTTATTACAGTAATATTTGGCAAAAAGGATCTCTACTTTGGCTTAGGGCTGGGCGATAAAACGATAATGATATATTGCAAAAATTAATTTCCCTTAATATGAGACATGGTCAATATCTGATTGGATAGTAGGCATTCTACCATGTTTCAGTAGACTATACGAATAGCAAATGAAAAATGGGGTTGTTCATGTGCTGAATTAGAACCAAGTAGCAAAAAAACTGCGTAGTAGCAGGCTGCAGCTACACGCAATCATCGCACTTTAACAGGTAAGAGGACAGAGCTGTCAGTGAGGAAAAAAAAAAAGAGTGCTACCCTTGGTGGAAATGCAGATAAAGACTTAATAAATGATGACATTGTCGACAACATCGGCACGATAATATCAGTGGTATTTTAAGGTATTTTGTTTTGCTGAGGTCGGACATGAAGCAGAGTAATGTGCACTGCAAATTATGTCGAGTACAGGCTCTTGCAAAGTCGGGGAATACATCAAATCTTTCACACCACCTGAAACAGTGCCACACGGCAGTGTATGCGCAATGCAAAAGGTTACAAACCCCGAGAGGAGCAAGGAGCCCATGGCGCCTGTGCAGTCGAAACAGCCGACCACTCAGTCCGCTTTCTCCTGCGCAACGCCTTACGACAAAACATCAAAGAGACAAAAAAGACCTCACAGATGCAGTAGCTTACTGTATTGCGAAAGACACGCTAACAATAAGCAGTGTTACATTTCGTTTTTTATAGCGTGATATATATCAATATTGACTGAAATGGAAAAAAATGTATATCCTGATCAACTTTTTCCCATATCGCCCAGCCCTACATTGACCCAGGTATGCACAAACTTGCACAGAAATTTTGACAAAAAGGATACAAATAATAACAGGTACTGCTGCAGCCACTTTGCCTATTTCTTCATCTGTCTGCATGATCTTCTTGATCCTTGCCTGCAAGAGGAAACAAAACACTTGTGACTTTGTGCAAACACTGGTGAAAACCAACAGTTACTGCATGATTTAAAGGATATTTCTGTTGCATCACCTCATGGCCTGTTACCCTGTTTTAGACAACACTTGTTTTTACTTTGATTTCACGCATGTTTAAAGTCAACCATTCCATACTGCTGATAAGATTTTCATCTGTATTTACACACAAATACCTCCAAACTTTGCTAAAATAGACAGACAGCAGACTGATGGCGGTCAGCCATGCTAAAAACAACGTTAACGAGTAGACACGCTGGAACACCTGAAAACGGACCAAAGCGGACTCTGGAGAGCAAGGCACCACGGCAAATTAAAGGGCACTCACTGTGTTCATAAAAGTATACTATTGTCATTTACACTAGGGTGCAAATGTGTTTGTTAGCTGGATGCTAACCCCCCAGCAACAAAACAGGCCGAATCCCATTCATGCTAGCTAGAGAAGTTAGCATACAGTTAGCAACTCCTCACACCGGTTTAGCAAAGTTTCAACTCACCGGAGGGAATCTGGCGTTGTATTTCTTCTTCTTGCTAGGCATAATTACTTTACCTGGATGGTTAAGCTAAAAGAAAATTTAATATACCCTGAAGTTTGTCTCTAAATCACATATAAATCACCTCTACCGCGCACATACACACACACACTTAGATAGCAGTAGCTAACCCGGCTAACACGTTAGCAGTTCGTCGTCGTCACTCGTCTTCACGCTGCGTTCATGTGTTGGTGGGTTGATCGGAAAACAAAGTTGTTGACAAAGGAAATCCACGTGAAAAACCCACGCCGCGTGAACAACAAAATATGCACTAAATCAAACATAACGGATCAAATGATATGTCGGCCTTGTTGTCAAGAAATGTTACTAGCTCACCTATTGTGGATGATAACTATTGCAATTTTTAAAATCTTTTACCAGACTATTACACTAGGACTAGTTGCTAATGATCACCCCAAATTTAGTTGTTAGATTTGTAGAGAATGAATGTCACAAGTCCCTTTTAAACTGCGTTAATTTCTTAATAGTATGCTTTGAATTTAGGACACAGCAAACTCGGAAAAAAAGACTCCCTATACCGGGTTACCGAGCAACTTGACAGCACGTGAATATATTGTTTTATCTAGTTGGTTAATCGCGCAGGGTCATAACGCCGTCAAGTTCCATCTCTGCTTGAAGAGAAAGTAAGTGCTTAAATTATCAAGTTATAAGCCAAAACTACGGTATTGCTACATTTAATTCCACTAAGAACTCTTTAAATAAATGTATCTTTATTGTTTTATAGTTTGTACATGTGGAAAATTCCCGAAGAGTACTAGATAAAAGTCGTTAGGTAGATACGTAGGAATAAGGCTGAGTATTAGACACTTAAGTTAGCGTCTTATTCACAGCCTTCCAGTCTACTGAGGTTATCAGGTTCCTATACCGAAACCTGGGCTAGGTCACCCAAGAGCATTTTCAGTATTGTGATATTTGTATTTTAGTCGTAAATATGCAAGCATGAGCGATTCCACTGTTGTTGTTTTTTTCTGTCTGAACAATATAACATCCAGATGTCCAATATAAATACTTGTCATATCTAGATTATGATAGAGGGGGTACAGTTCCCCTTTAAACGTTGTTCCAGATTTGTGCAACTCTTTTATATATAAAAACGCTAGAGGGTGCATTGTTAGTGTTTTTTTTTTCTTTTCTTTTGGGCACTAATTTAAACCCCAATTAAAAAATGAAGAAAACCTGTGTTCAAAATAATCTCCTGCACCTCTAGCATAACCTAAACCAGATCTTACAAAAGTAGGGGGGACTACTAGGGCGTTGGATCAGGACCTGGCTCAATGATACAAGTACAGAAAAAGGAAAAAAATGTGAAATCTGACCCTTTAAAAAATCTAAAACTGTGTTTTTTTAAGTATGTTGACTCTCTGAGGTAGGTAACCATGCCCAGATTTGACAAATACATGTATCAGGACTTGGTTCAGACGAAATGGGAGGTACAAATAAGATACTCACTTCGCTTAAAAGCGTCATAAATGGTACACCGTAAAAGTGCCAATATTTACTGAAAAACATTGCCTCTCTTCTCTAATCGTGCGCCGAATTTATTTAAAGGCCGAGTGATTTAAGCTGCGAGTGATTTAGTCTTTTAACAAATCGATATAATGTTGCTTCAACAGTCAGATATTTGAATGGTGTTAGGCATATCGACATTTGTGTGTGTGTGTGTGTGTGGGGGGGCTCATTGACCAACCGGGGCAACGTCTGTGCGGAAGAACAACACTGGGTAACAAACTTCGACCCATTCAGGTACGAAAAACCTAAAGTATCAAGTATTGAATGGTAATAACTATTTTCTCAAAGAAAAAATATTAACATTTTTATGTTGCATGTGTCTATATATTATCTTTGGTCGATATTTTCCAAATTTGGGAGACGAACAAGTACCATCGGTAAAACGGCTAGCTAGCCAGCTAATGCTAACAACACTGGAGCCAAACTGGTAAAACAGCTGACCAGTATTTTAATTTGCGTGTTCAACTGCAAGTATAGACAATAAAAAACAGCAATAATTAAATAATTTATTTATTTTTTGTTAAAAAATCTACTGGTGGACAAGCTCAGTAGTAAACAAGTGTTGCTACTGTAGCAGGCTAGCGAGCAGCATTATAAACATCCGCAGGCGCTCCAGCTGTCCACTCCTGTCTGATTTTAGGAGTATGTCAGGCTAACACTAGTATTAAACAAGCTATTGTTTGATTGGAAATATCGATGTTTAAAGCACTTCTCTTCCTTCGACAGACTCCAAGATCATTGTGTAGCCAGCATTATGGAGGAGGAGGAGGCCACTGCAGATGGGGAGGAAAGCCCCTTTACTGCAGAGACCTACGCAGCTGAAGCCATGGCTGCAGACATGGACCCCTGGATTGTGTTTGACTCCAGGAGAACCCCCAGGTCCGAGTTTGACAGCTGGCTGGAGAGCAACCGGCCATCACAGGTCTGCAGGTTTGGTGATGAGGAAGGTGGTGTCAGCCCTGTGGGGTGGATAGCTGTGCTGGGCATGAACCACTGCCCAAGTAGTGGGGATTCAACAGGCCTCCAGGAGAGCTGGGAGAAACTTTTGGCCAGTGGTCGACCAGTCAGCTTCCAGACAGTGAAGGAGCTGGCCTTGAACCACGGTGTGCTCACAGGCAAGTGGCTCATGCACTTGGACTCTGGCTTCAAGCTGGACCATGCCTGGGAGTGTGTGGCCAGAGCAGCCCTGGATGGCAAGATCTCGCTTGTCAAAGTCAGCCCTCATAATCCAAAAGCCGGGGGCAAACAGGTGATATGCGCCTATAACCAAAACTTCACTGAAGAGAACGAGGTTATAAGGCTGGACTCAGTCATCCGTGCCACAGGGGTCAAATGTGCTCTCTCCTACAAGCCAGATGTGTACACACACCTGGGAATCTACCGGAACAACCGCTGGAAGCTTTGCCCAACCATATATGAGAGCAAATTTGACCTGGAGTGCGTTCCCAGGCGTTCCCACATTGTCAACAAAGTCACAAATCTTGAAGTAACATAAGCCTGTGAGGATAGGCTTATGTAAAAAAAAAAAAGAAAAAAAAGGAGGCACTAAGCGACACCATGAGCTGGGTCGTGCAGAACAACTTAAAGACTGAAATTGATAAGCAAGTTTGTGATTGGATTTTTTATTTTACCTTGAGTTCTTCCTTTTTTGCAAAAAAAAGCACTACATCTTGTGACCTGAGGTATTGTCACATATTTTGTATTTGATCTCTTATTCATGAGAAATTTGAGTATTTGTATTCTTACAGTCTGACCTGTAACACTTACCTGATGGTCAGGGTGTCTGAAGAGATCTTTGGTTTGTATGCATGGAGGAAAACAAGCATCCAATGAAGACTTTCCCTTTGACAGTTTACATTAGTCTCATTTGTTTGACTTGATTTAGGGAGTTTGTGTTTAACCACAATAACAGAGTTGCCAAATAAATTCTACTTTTGAACACCAGCTCAATGTTTAGTTGTTTTTTATTGCAAGAAGAGGGTTGTGAGACTGTAAAAATTATACATTACGGGAAAATACGTTTTTTGTCTACAATCTGTTTACACTGACTGTATCTTTATAAAAACAATTTCACTGTGATTTCAGCATTTTTACCACATACTTTACCAACATGACCCTCAAATATAAAACAACAGAGTTTAACTGCAGCCCTTATTCATAAAATAACTAAAAAACTGTTGTCCAAAGACACATCAACAAAGACAAAACAACACGATAACAGCTCCACGAACCCCTTCATTTATTTATGTTGCTTGTTATTTATTTATTTACATGAAAACCTTCATTTGGTTCTTTACGTATCACCACATCATAAGGACACTCAACTAAGGCACCTTTACAATCTCCATATTAGCTATATCTGATGATGACTGGTCAGTCTCCTCTTCAGTTACAACTGCTGACCCTCAAATAGTTAAAAACATTGAATGGGATATGTAATAAAACAAGTGAATGCATAATTTGCATAGATTACCCTCTGAATCGGATACAATGATCAATGTGCACAGTCTTTTTAGGTACAGAGGCAGGCCTATCTCACAAAGAGACTGCACTAACCACATTAACACTGACCGCAGCTTCTATAATTGTTAAAATGAGAACATAAAAACACACATAAAATGTTCCATAGAAATCAAATCAACATTCAAACAGGCCAAGTTACAGAAAAACAGAGAAAACTGAATATTCTTCTCACCTGCAGACTATTTTAATGAGGTGTATTTAGAATATAATGATCAAGTATCATCAACTCAAAAGTTCAGAGGGACAAAGAGTCTCAAGTTCAAACCTCATACTCGATAACCCCGGACATTCAGATCCTGAACCTATCACTAACTGCTCCCTGGCATCAGACAGCATTGTTAACGTGACACGATGCAGCAGAGGAGGCGTACATGTTTAGCAAACATCACCACTGACCTGTCTGTTGGCTCCTAAATCCAAGTCTGGGACCTGGGTTAGATTAGAGTCCAAATTTATGGGACAACTAATGCTGCATTCACATGCTTCTTGGATGGTCCCAGTTCAACGTGGGAAGTCTGCTCATAAATACTAAGCTACTCCTGATACTGCTTGCTGTTCTGGGTTATTGACTGAGTTTCTGATCAGACAGGAAGCAGTAAACATATAATTACTTATTATTTTCTCTGTTTGTACAATAAGCATAACTAGAGCACTTCAATAAAACATTATAAAAGCATTGAAGCTTACTGAACCAATGGGAGGTCAGAGGGAAATGGCCATCATGCGTATGTGTTCAAATGATTGTGGGTCTTTTTTGCTTAACCCAGAGTCAACATACTCGGAGTTAAGGATAATCTGAAGGCAGGTGATAAGGGTCAGAGTTTGTTCAAACCCACTTTCTGCTACATAGGCCCACCATATGATTGTCTTTATGACACAAGTCTCTGTAGGTGGATATGATCAGGTTTGACACAGTCACGATTATTACAAAAGTTAATGGTTGATGCTAAATGTGGGCTGAGCGAGGACAGTCCAGTCTCTTTCTGCTCAGTCCTGTGGTTCCTTTTATGTGAGGCCTGCTGACACTGACTGAATACTAAACACAGTCTCTGCTGGTGTTTCAGTATCCACAGGTGAAAAGTTTTGGTGGTTTCTGTCTCTTTCAGCACTGCCTATTTTGTCTTTTAATTAACTGTAAAGGAGTTAAAGTCTGTTGGCTAAAAGAGGCAGGTACACGTGGACTGTGTATGTTTTTCCATCTTAAAATCACTCGAACTTTAAGTCGGGTGTCCTGAGACGAACCTGGCTTGGCTTCCACTGTTAAAAATGGAAATGAGACGATCCTCATCAGCCGACATCAGCTCGTCAAACTCATCCAGCACGGCGGGTCTGTGGTTGCTGTTGTTAGTGGACGACATGTCAGACATGACCTCGTTCTGGAGCAAGCTGACGATGCTGTTGGGGTAATTCATCCAGGTGCTTCCTGGGTTGCTGGCTGGGTCAGAAGAGTTCTGGGATGACGCTGCACCGTTCTGGGCAGCAGCAGGAGAAGGGGCAGGTTGTTGGCCTGAAGCTAACGCCATCATATTTGTACTATCACCCATCAGAGAGGGGTTCATAAGGTCTTCAAAGTCATCCATGTTTAAGCTGTCCAGAGTGCCCCTGGCTTGGACTTCATCAAAACTCGGGAAGGCCGGGATGTCATCGTCCAAAAGTGGCGTATCTTGGAACTGGGAGCCCTGCATAATGTTGAAGGCACTGCTGTTCTGGGAGGAGTCTGCGCCTCCCTGAGTGGTTGCCTGCTCCTGGGCAATGGCTGAGGAAATGTTGGGAAAGAACCTCTGAAGGTCTGACAGGTTGACAGTGGAGAAATCCTGGTTAGTGGTGGAGGCGGTGGCAGAGGAGGAAGCGGAGGAGGTGGAGGAGGAGGCGGCTTGAGGCTGGCTCATTGTAAAGTTGGGCACCGGGGTGGCTTTGGGCTGTGTGCCCAGGCTCAGGGTCTCCATGATCCTCCATGTCTGGTTTGTGGTGGCAGCAGAGATGGAAGTGGGGGTCTCGACTTTGGGCTGGACTGAGAAGAGCTGGCCTGGCTGGTTGAAAGAGTAAGAGGACTGGAGTTTGGCTGCACTGGCACCAGGGGGCACTACAGCAGCTGGAGACACAAAATGAGACACAGGGCGAGCTTTAAAAATCAGGACAAGACAAATACAGAAAACAACGCTAATTAAAAAACACTAATGCCATTACTGTGAAATGAATATTTGTTATGCTCTCACCAGGTTGCGCACTCATTGATGAAGGCTTGGCTGGGACTGTCCTCCTTGCCGGGCTTATGTGCCTTCTCTCTTGTGGCATGGTCACTAGAATTTCAAGTCAGATTTAATTTTCACACAAGAAAGCAGCACAACTTCATTGAAGAGCGACAGAAACAAATCTCATAAACGTACCACTGGACAACATGGATCCAAACTTCAGGCCCTGAAACATGTCACTTGTACGCTTCCTCTTCTCACTCAGCCTGTACTCATCTACAGAAGACGTTTAAGGAGAAAACAACAACAAAAAAAAGGTTTCAGGAGCAGGTTAACAAAGTCAACTCTCAGGTATAGAAAACAGGGTATCTGCAGTTTTCAACAAGTCAAATTTAAGACTTTTTAAAGATTGTAATGAATACAATTTAAGACCCATTTAACATCCATATTGGCAAAAAAGTACAAAAGACATGAAGCAAAACCAGAACATTTTACATTACTTCAAATCAATCTTTATTCCTAAGGCAAGTTATTTGATTTTGTGAGTAAAGTTAATACATTTTTAAGACCTTTCAAACTATTTAAGACATTTTCTGTAATTTTAAGAGAATCTAGAGATTTTAAGGCCTTAAATTCAAATGATTGGATTTTAGACATTTGAAGACTAAGACCTCACAGACACCCTGGAAAAGGTCGCAGAAGGAGCCATCATTTGTACTCACCTGGTTCTGCAGGCAGATATTGAAAGTCCATGGGCTCGCTGACCTCGCGGTCAGAGGGCCGGCGGAGCTGCATCTTCACTTTGACAGGCTCAGAAAGGTTCGCATCACGATACGGTGGTGTGCGGAAGACGATGGCTACCTGCCTGTGGACGTCGGCCTGGGAGAAAGTGCCTTTTCCTTCCCAGGAGTCCTGGAAGAACCGCACCTCGATGTCCTCTGCAGAACATAAGTAGATGGTGAAGCTCATGATGCAGTCAGCTTTGGGTTTTAGTCATGATTTTGATTCCGTCCCTTTCAAGACAATGATGTAACATCTTCTGGTTTAAAAGAGGGCTCTTAACCATACAACAACATCTATATTTGCAAACATCCTTTCTGAAGAAGTAGTCAGACATTTTTGTAACAACCTAAGCCTTTCATCGACAAAACCAAGTCCTATCAGAGGATTTCAGAGAGCTCTGAATCGGGTTTAAACTGAGGCCATCTCAGCCTGTTTCATCCCTGCTTTTTAAACCCACCCCTTAATTAAGAGCCTTTTAATTAGCTGCAGCCGTCAAAACTTCATGTCTCAAACTGTGCTGGCTGTGCCCGGTCTTTTTGAGACATCAGGAGAAGTGTTTAGATAAATTTGTCCAAGTGTCAGGGTTCATAGGGTTTTTTCACGGTGACATCATGTGAATCACATCACAAACAGAGCCAGAATTACTCAGGGGACTGTTGCACAAACTAAACATCCAATACACAGAGCAAACAGCGCTCACACTTGTTTGTAATACTACTGTTAGTCTGGAAAACAGACTTCTCAGAAATAGGAAAGAGGAAAGAGGAAAATATAACTCATGGAAGAACAACAAGATCTTTTAGTGTATTGATATCAAAGGAATAGAAATAAGCAGTTAATCCGTGCTTGCATATTGTGTGTTAGTAACTCATTAGAAAAGAGGAGTGATGAGAAGTTGAGGTCTGAATAGAGGAAAAAAGACTGTTTCGTGATATAAGTCATTATAGGAGTCATGTGACTGCTTTTCATTGCATTACACTCATGCAGTCAATGCAACACAAAACGAAACCTCTCGTGAGCAAAAATGACATTGACTAAAAATATCACCGTACAGAAGCTGAATCCATACATGACTTATCTGAGAGCAGAGGACCCTGACATGCGAACTCTGGCCGCGCCTAGCTGTCTTTTTATTTGTGTTTTATGTTATAAAAACAAACTAAAAATGTGCCTAAATAACTGGAGGGAGACGTTTATCTCCTGAAGTTTTTGCTCTGCCAAAAGTGACTTTCCACGACTAACTATCTTATCTGGACTGAATTCACTCACAGTTTCTGTTTGGCTGGATGAAAAAAGCTCATAAATATGTGCATAACATTAAAAAAATGATCACATTTAATTTAAACAAAGAGTCTCACATAGGGGCAGCTTTGAGGTCAAATTGTAGTGAGAAACTTACAACAGAGTATTAGAACCACATTAAGAGAAAAAAAAGTAAGACTTTGAGAGTAAATTGATTACTTAAGAGAATAAAGTTGCGATAAAGTCATTACTTACGAGAATAAAGTAATAAAGTAATAATGAGAATGAAGTTGAAATAAAATCATTACTTATGAGAATAAAGCAAAAATAAAATAATCACTTAAAAGAATGAAGTCGTAATAAAATCATTATGATACTTATGATAATTGTTTGAGAAACCTATATTGAAGTACATTTTTAGGAAATGCTCCATTACTCTCATTTCAACAACTGTCATCTTAAACAACAGGTTAGAACATAAGGACTTAATTCTGACGTTATTCTTGTGAGTAATGATTTTATTCTGGCTTTACTCTCGTAAATTAACGACTTTAATCTAGATGTCTTAATTTTGCTTCTTTCTTAATATGGCCCTAATACGCTCTCTTAGAAACTAAACAATAAATATGACCAAAAAAAAGGAAAAAGCATCCAAAAAATTCGATTATTTTACACTTTGACTTTGATGTTGTCTGAGTTTACTGGTTTCTACAGGAAAAGTATAAAATAAGCACAAATAATGAACTAACTCAGCAGCATTTATTAGTTATTTTGCGAAGAATCGTGTTATTTTGGCTTCCAGAAGTTAAAGGCTCCTACTGATAGCTTTAAAAGCTACTGCAACTCAAGTAAAAAACTGAACCAAATGAAGCCAAAATCAGCCTTTTTAATTTAATGTTCAATAAAAAACTTTTCACCTGTATTGTTCACAGTTTAAAAAAATTGTTGTCACCACATCACGGTTTTCCATTTTATCATCTGCACTGTGGGAGCACAGAAACCAAATGCGTCTCTACAAATTTCTCAGTGATCGCAGAATGTGGTGTTGTGAGAAACAGGGGGCTATTTATATCTAATTTCTTCAAAAAAGGTAGTGTACCATCAGAATAGATCGCACTGATATTCTGGGTGGGTGTGAGCAATTTACACCTCTTCCTCTCTGGTTGTGTTTCATGCTTCACATCTGCTCAGTCAGCCCAGAGTTCTATTTATGGGTTGCTGAATATGAAAGTAGATGCTGGATGATGTGCAGCACCTTTCTATGCACAGTACAGTACAGAACAGTCATATATCACCGTTTACCTTTTTGCACTTTGTCACACAGCAGAAAGATTTCATCGCCTCCTTTGCAGCTTCCAGAGTTGCGGTTGACTCTGCAGATCTTCAGCTCGGCTGTGTTTGGGGCCCCTGTGGAACAGAGAAGGGCGTGTGTAGGGTCAGAGACATCATGTGAATCTAACCTGTCCTAGCACGCACTTTCAAATAAACTCAGCAAATTTTTCTGCAAATTACACCAACTTTTGAGCCCATGTGGAGACTTCTACTACAGAGCTATGTCCGTTTTTCATGCAGGCCTGAAGATCATAGCACGTTTTGATCCTTGTTACCACTCCACAGTTCCCATCTTTACTCCTGTACACTCACTCTCTCCAGTGTACCCTTTTAATGTCCAGCCATATTACTAACCTGTTGCAAATTACCCTTACTGGTTAAGGAGATGTTCCTCCAGGAGGCTCTCAAATTTTAAATGACAGCCTATTTTTTTTTTTGATAAAACAATGTATTTTCTGCTTTAATATTTGGTTTGTTGTCTTTACTCCATCTTTGAGAAGTTTTTTTGACATTTCTGAAATAGGCTGATATTCATATTAGAGACCCACTCTGATGAAAATCATGTTGTCTAAATGTTCATATGACATTTTTCTGATGCAACAGGACATATCATGAGAAAAATAGGTGCCAAATTGCACTTCTGAGTATTTCTTCATTCAAATCTCTGTGAATCTCTGGCAGACCCAAACGGCAGGTCCAGACACAGTGAGATTTCCTACGATTTTAACTTTCATCATGTCCCCACAGACATAAGTGTCTGAGAGCTGAATAGCTCCTGTGTTTCCTGCCACTTCTACTACACCAACAATGCTAGGCTACAAGCTAACATGAAGAGGAGTGTGAAGAGCAGCGTTGTCTCCGCCCACGACTCAGAGGCAAATTGCTAATGAGCTACTGGAGCTCTGCAGAAGAAGAGCCCTTGACACAGTTAATGTGATTTTGGCAAAAAACTTCCTAATCACAACTTTAAGACTAGAGATAACACTAAATAGTAAAAAAAAAGACGATTGGAGTGGGACTTTAAAGCCTTGTTATGATGTCTAACAGCAAACAAAGCATCAGTTATGTGACATCCTCATTTTTAAAGCCTGACACTGGTGTGAAGAGGTATGTGTCAGCCAAGAAGCTGGAGAAACTGTCCTGTTTTTACAATCACCACAGACAGTTCCTCATTGAAGCTTTAATCGGCATAGGTTTTCATAATTAAAAAAGATTGTATTTGTTTTTTATTGATGGTTACTTTGGTTACTTAACTGGTTACCTAACTTTTTTTTTTAAGTAAAGTTGTTGTGTATTGGAAGATGTACAGCTTGCTCAGCCAATAGATATTTCTTATTAGGGTCAATGCGTACTTTGTTACATGCAAACAAAAAACAAAAAAAGCCATACATGCATGACTACAAAATTGTAGAAAAAAGACTGCTCACTTATATTTAGCAGTTAAGAGTTCAATGGAAACTCATTGCTTGTGGGACAAAACTTACTATTATGAGTCCTAAGAGGATTAAAATACTTCCTTGTTGAATCCACAATAGGAGCATACAAACATGTTAATTCTTCAGATATGGGTGTTGCAAGCTTAACATGAACATACTACTTATTCACAAGACTTTTATGCAGGAAATTTGGACTTAACCCTCCTTAAATTATTACATATTTTTAATGTACTTAGTATGATTCTGAAATCATCTGCAATGTGCGTGTTTATTTAACGAAAGAGGTACTCTTTTATTTATTTTTTTAATATCAGAAAATGGTGAAAATATAAACAAGAGTTTACCAGTTTTTTGTTGTGATTAGTGTTCACAGCTACAGCTGATACACTGTGTGTGATGTGCACTCACTGTTGTCGTAGATGGGCTGAGAAACCACAGGCTCCAGAGGAATGAGCTCCCCCGTGGGCAGGGTGATGGAGGCCTGGAAGCAGAGCCGAACTGAATTCAGGTCAAACTCCTCCTCCCACACCTTCGCCTCGGGAACTGCAGCCAAAAACACAGAGGGGGAAGGGTGGGGTGCACAATCAGGGAAGACATAATCAGTCCGGCATTCTCTTACATGAAGGCTATCAGTGTTTCCACATGAGACTGAAAGGAAAGTAGCAAGTTAAACCTTGTTATTACAGCAGTCCAGATTTCCTTTGTTCCTTTAAGATATAATAAACAGACTTTTGATCAATGATTTGGTTTTATACTGTGTAGAGAACTCACTGCATGAAACTCAGTGAACCTAAAAGTTGAAGGGCAGCTGTCCTGCATAGCCAGAGAGTTTCCTGTATTTCAGTTTAAGCCTTTTTGGTGGCTCAAACTTAAATGCTGGTTTGAGCATTTAATTTGAGTTTTTCCAGCGCTTTTTTTTACATTTGGAGAAATTATTTCTACTATTCTCACTTAAATTTTATGTTGCATGGTTCTTGTATTATCTGGGTTCCTTATAACATATGAAAATGACCTTCAACTATGTTTTAACTGACCTTTTTTTTTGTCTTTATTTCCATGTGCTTTATGACTATTTGTTAAAGCACTTTGTAAACTTCTCTTTTTAAAGGGCTATAAAAAAGTTATAACAACAACAACAACAATAATAATAATAATAATAATAATAATAATAATAATAATGATAATAATAATAATTATTATTATTATTATTATTATTATTATTATTATTATTATTATTTTATTTGTTTTAAATTTTTTTAAATTAAATTTTTAAATTCACATTTGAAATAAAAGCCAAAAAAGTCAACTGTAAAAAATACCACCTTACCAAACTGCTAATAACACAGATAGCTAGTTTGTTACTAGACTCAGAATGAAGCCCAATAACGGCGTCTTACATTTGAGTGGAACATTTAGGGACTCATCCCACACAGACCGTCAACTCTCCACACCATAATGATGGATTTAACAGAGAAAGGGCAGAGACACAGACGGTGCTTTGTGCTGTAAACTCTTCTTTAAGCACGATTACTTACTGTTGAAGGGGTTATTGTTGGTCTGCAGCCGACAAACGATGGCTTCATTCACATCCTTCTTCTTGACACACTGAATGCCCAGGTTCTGAAAACTGAAAGCACACACAGTCATAAGACCGAAACCAGGCGGAAACCACTGAGGCACACATACAGTTTATCATTCATTATAGTTGTAGTGTGAATCTTTATGTCTGTCTAATCTGGGAGCAACACAACCGTTTACACACTGCCTGAGTTTTAACTCAGCTCCAACTTTTTGGACAGTTTTTCCCCATCAAAACAGATTTTTAAAACACAAAGCTTCATCATTGTGAGTCACCGACCACATCCGCGAGTCAAAAGGACAGATTGAGAAAGCAAAGTGTCAGTGGAAATACTCTTTCATTTAAGTCCTCTTCCAAGACATGAGGATGTTTTAGACAACCAGTTATATAATAATGTCACAAGGCAAAACCTTGACTCGTTCTTGTTCCCTTGACTGTATTTTCCTTGCTTTTAAAGACCCACTCTGAGGAATATCATGTTTTTCTTATTGTCTACATGTTCATATGACGTTTTTCTGATGTTACAGGACATATCTAAGAAAAATAAGTGTGAAATTGCATTTCTGAGTACTTCTGTATTCAAATCACTGTGAATATCTGGCAGACCCAAACAGCAGGTCCAGACACCATGAGATTTCTTATGTCACAAATCCTTGGAGCCCCGCTATGCAGGCCAGACTCAGAGAAATAGAGAGGACAATCACAGAACAAATGTGTGCGTTAGCAGATTGCAATGCTCATAAGAAAGCTAATTATGATATTAACTTTCATCTTGTCCCCAAAGACGTTAGTGTCTGAGAGCTGAAAAGCGCCTATGTTACCTGCCACTTCTACTACAGCTTAATGTTAGGCTGCAAGCTAGCATGAAATAGAGTGTGTAGAGCAGCGCTGTCTCCGCCCATGACTCAGAGGTGATTTGCTAATGAGCTACTGGAGCTCTGCAGAAGAAACCCCTTGAAAATGATATAGGTAAAGTGATTTTGGCTAAAAACTTAAAGACCACTGAGAACACTTAAAGTAGTCAAAAAAAAAAAACAAACAAACAAACAATCGTAGTGGGACTTCAAGTACAAGCAATCAGGATATTTGTACAAGTTTTGCTTCAGTTTAGTCCTAAAAAGTTTCCCTTCTTTAAAGTATTTCTTAAAAAACCAGAGGACATTATCTCAGGCTTTCTAAACTCTTGTTATGCAAAGAGGAGTTCTCTCTCTCACCTCTGCCTGTTGACACTATGGCAAAAAAAAGTGTTCAAGTATCAGGCTTGTTGTGCGAGTGGGGTAATAATGCCATCAAGAGGACCCTAACCATCTGTCGTAGGGAAAAGTGGGGCATCATCCTATCCTGTAATCACTGCAAGCCAACTTCAGCCATGAACGGCAGTGCTGACAGCAACAATGTTAAAAATTGTGAAATTTTGCCTCATTTCAAAGCTCTGAGAGATGAGGACAAGTACACAAAAGTCCCATTCATTAAGCCCTCTAGCCAAGTGCCGGACATGAACAGCCTCCTCTTTGCCTTTACGGCAAATATTACAATATCAATCTGTCAGTGACATGGGACTGATCATGGCCAGAACAAAGAGTGTTCTAAACCAGCACACTGACTCACCCTGAATCACAGCGCTGGTCGTGGAGGGCAGGACACTCTGTTAGTTAAAGTTTCATCACACTCTTGACACAGATACACAAACACATGGCTGCTTCCGCACCGATTGTAGGGGTCATATTACATAACATAAGGCTGTTTAATTACTCACATTTTCTTTTTTAACATGCATTAAATATAATGAAACAGCTCAGTAGCGTAACACGTAATGACGATCTTCCAGTTGAGCTCTAAATGACCGAATTAAAATGATCTGATTTCTATATTTTTAAGATTGACAATGAAAGAGCCCGAATGAGGTTGATATTAAGGGCTTGTTTTGGATCAGCAACTGTGAGTAGAATAAACTTGCAAGGTTATAATAGAGTCAACACTGTCCGCAGAGATTTTTTACTGTTTAATGTTTAACTAACTCCCAACCCGGAAAAAAACTGCTGCCAAGTTTTACCAAGGTGACGGCAAACATACCACCGCCCGACCTTATCTAGGTCAGTGTCTGTGTTTTGCTGCAGCGAGGCCATTCGAGGCCTGATTCCTAAAAGGACTGCGTGGCTCCTTTGCATGTATACACTCTGCAAATGAGCCCAAAAGACGCCGTCTAGATTTGACAAATCATGTGCAAACAGTTAAACACACCACAATCTGTGCTGCAGGGCAAACAGTATCACTGTGCCCCTGTTTTGTTTGCATGGATTTCAATGAGCCATTATGTGTTTATATGTGGCAAAATAGAGTCATTTCTTTGCGAGAAAACACAGTTTCACTACGGTGGCCAAGTACTGCCACTGCTGCAAATTTAAAAAAAAAGAACACAAAAAAAGAAGTCACAACGGAAGTTACTAATGCAAAAAAAAAAAGAAAAAACCCAGCCCGCTGTAAATCAGAAAAGAAAAAGTGCAGATAAAAATAAAAAGCCACAATGAGAGTTAACAACGCAAAAAAAGTGGCTATGAAAGAAAAAAAAGTTACTTACTGAAAATTTACTGTGTCATTTGGTTAGGCCATGTAGCGCCTGAGTTGATATGAAGTTGAACTGGAGGATGCCGGTGTAGTGTTAGCTTCAGTTCAACTTCATATCGACTCAAGCGCCACATGGCCTAATCACACTGAAAAGCACACGAAGCGAAATCAAACAATCACCTTTCCACTTACTTCTTTGCTCGTCTTCTTGTCGTCGTCTTCTATGCCTGGATAGTAATACACCAGTGCATCGTCATTATTGGCCCCTGGCAGCTCACTTCTGTTGTGGCTTTTTTTTTTTGCATCTTTTTATTTTCGCAGTAAGTCACTTTTTTTCTTTTTTTGCATACCCACTTTTTTTTGCATTGTGGCTTTTTTTTTTTTATCTGCACCGTTTCTTTTTTAATTTGCAGAGGGCTTTGGTTTCTTTTTTGTTTTTTTCCATTGGTAACTTTCGTTGGGGCTTCTTTTGTTTTGCATTCTTTTTTATTTGCAGCAGTGGCGTTCATTTTCTTTTGCATTTTTTTTTTAAATATGCAGCAGTGGCGATTCTGGCATGAATCAGCACAATACACCAGTACTGTGCCTTTTCCACAATCAGCTCATCTGTGTGAAAGTTTTAACCTCTAACAGGATGCATGTGCAGCAAAACGTGGAGGTGCTGACAGTTTATCTCCACAATCATACCCAACACAAGAGCAAACTGCACTTAACTGCAAACTGTGGGTGTTTTTGTGATTAAATATCATTCTGGCGATATACTTTCTGTATTAGTTTAGCAGATGGCGGGGAAATGACGTGCAATTCCTGAAGCCGTAAGCAACCACAGTTCATTCTAGAGAAATGACTCATTCAGTGTAAAAGTGAAGTCAGATGTCTAAACTTTGAAGCCGCAAATAAACAGCAACTCCCCGCTCTACCTGTGTATCCTCCTCTCCTGCAGGTCGGCCTCGTAGTAGCCGTGTTTGCAGTCTTTCCCAACCAGTTCGTGGGGGTGTGGCTTGTGCGGGGCATTCTTTGTCACCAAGGAGATTCGAACACGCAGGGGCCCGCTGTAGTTGTGCACCTGTTGGAGAAAAATGACTCAACTGAACGACTGAAAGGTAATTTAGAGAGCTCTCTAAGCACCTAACTTATAGTGTAACACTACAATTTACCAGTTTGAGATCAATGACATATCAAAGTTAGTAGTATAGGTTTTATATGACACTCACCTATCATTGGTGAAGATTTTCTGCGTGTTTTGCTCAAAACAACACTAAATGGAAGTTTTCATGTGAGAAGTCAAAGAAGGATTTCCCTTCTCTGAGGTTTGGTTATTGTTTTACATATTTTGGTTTACTGATCATTTTGGGATTAGTCCAGCAGACACACCCTGATCTTGGTCATGACTTGGCTTCAGTTTCAGTGACTTCAGCACTATTGTGTTCACATACTGAGACAAGCTGACTCAGCTGGATACTATTAATCTGGTTTTGTTTTGAACCGTCTCTGTGGTTCCCAAGCTCTTCTGCAGGGGTCCCTTTTTGGGAGAGGAAGGTGGTTCAAAACCCCCCTTTCTCTAAACTTTGATACATTAAGACAGTTCCAGAAAAATATTGGGATGCTGCGTAAAATGTTTAAAAAAGAGGAAAAAGACCTCAAGCTGTGAAGCAGCTGAAATCCTCTTTCAGTCAAGAAGGGGACGACACTTCAGCATTTTTAAAACTCCAGGAAGTGGTCCCCTCAGACCCAGATGTTTACAGAAGATAGGATGATGCAACACAGTGATAAACACACTCCTGCCACAACTGTTTGGACACGTGTTCCTGGCATCAAGTTTGAAATAAGCCTGTTTCTCATTGAAGAAAGCAGTTTTTCAGTTTTAGCTGTTGCTATGATGCATCATTTTGTAAGGTTTTTAAAGTTGTTCCAGGCTAATTTTAGGACTTTCAGTACTTTTACTCTGGCCAAGTATCACACGAGAACAATTAGGTGCAAAAATAGAGGTTATTCAAATCCAAGGTTCACCACACACAGCATGCATCACTTTTGTGAAAGCGACTAAAAAACTAGTTACATAACGATGACTTGTTGTTACAAGTCATGGTCCCAAAAACTAGTCTAACTTTTTAGGATTTGGATGCATGTCCGTATACACTAAAACGCCAACACAGTCAGGGATAAAGACTTTCATCTTAAATTCTATTCTGGATTAGTATTTCCTTTGGACCTCTAATTTGTGATAGTTGCAGTCTGCCTTTTTAATCCCATGCCTGTAATTTGTCTAGTAAAAATTCTAGGACAAATCACCTACCATATTTCAGGAACACAGAGGCCCTGATAATATTAATCCAGTCCAAATCAACATCTCGTGGATGGTGAAGTTATTGACTTTCTTTCACTTGTGTTGCATCATTTGAAGTTTCATTTGCAATCTGAGAGGCGACAGCGAATTTCTTCCCTCCAAATGTGATTTCTAACTAATTACTGTAACTCCTTGGTTCTTAAATCCCTCAATCATTTGTCTCTGGAAAGTTTCACAGTAAATTGTCAGGCTTCAGTCTGGATTATTCCATCAGTGTGAACATAAAAAGGAAACCCATTACTTTGTGATTACTTTGTGATTTACTTGCTATTATTGGGTCCTAAATTTCTGGGACGACATCTTCGTGATCCAGATTTGTGTAAGGTAAAAAGTCAAGCTTTGTCAGGTCTGTTCTCCAGAGGAGAAGAAAGCAACTTTTATGCCGGTTGAATGGAGGACAGGTTGGTCCTTTATGATGCATTGTAGGAAGCTGGGAAATCTTAGCACTGGTTGGCTTTTGAGAAACTGCATCAAGCAGATTTGTTTCCAATACTTTTATATAAGATGCACAATAAACTAGTATTGGATTATTCCCAATGGGAGGCAGGGTGTCACACTCAGTATCTGACATTTCTCTCACCTTGATAGCTGGGTGAGTCTTTGTGGTGTCATTGCTCTTCTCTCCAGGGATGCTGCCTGCTGAACGTCCCTCACACTTGTACCTGAACCTCATCCCCCTCTGCTTGGGCTGCTCGATGATCTCTATGTAGGCATTCCTTGTTTGGACTACAACAATAACACAACTCAAATGCACTTTTTTCCTCTTTGAAACATATAAAAACAAATTTGTGGAATCCTGCCCAAGTGTAAAGACAGAAACAGTCAATATCTGCACTGTTTTCTCATTTAAAAGCTTCTTACCTGGGTTGAGTGGGGGGAGACCCCATCCATACACACCTGTGGTAGACAGAAGACAAAAAAGGATACTTGTCAGCAGAGGTCTTAGAGCAATTAGTGGTTTACATCTACAGTATATGACACAGATGACAGAAACCAAACCCTGCTCTCAGCACATATTTGTGGTTTAGTAAGAGTTTGTCATTTGCGGCGTTGTTGGGATGGAAAACTACAAGACAGCGCCACATCCAAAAAAAGGTCAAAGGTCGCTGAGACACAAGGGCTTCCCAGCTAAATATAATCACTCTTCATAAACTGGCCTTCCCAGCTGGAGGAGAAGAAGACGATGTGTTGAGAAGAGCAAACAATAACAGGCAGGGTGTAATATTGGTGTCAGATTACCCGCCTCAAAGAGCAGGGGGCGGCTCTGGTTTCAGGCTCTCTGTTAATGAATTGTTGAGATTTATAGAAAGAATCAGGTGGGACACAATACAAGGTAGTCAAAGCTCCACACAGCAGCTGGACTTGTTTCATGAAGAAAACATGGGATGTTTTCCAAGTTGGAACATGTCTGCTCCTCAGACTCAGATCAAATTTACAAGAGGGGAAAACAATTTTAAACTTTTGCCAAGATTAAGAGTTTAAAATTTCTCAAAGTGATTTTGTTTTATCATGAAGTAGGCCATTTGCATTTCTGTCTACATATATAAGCATGATATGAAAGTGAAAGTACATGTCCAAATAGATTCTGTAATGTACCACCAGTAATATCAATACACAGTTGATGCATGTGAGGCACTTTCACTCTTATTTGTCTACCAAAACAATGACTTCACTGCTCAGTCATGTTTTTGACAACTCTCATATATGTTGTTGACTTCCAGTAACATGCGTAAACTTAACATTCCTTTCTCGTGCTCTTAGTCAAACAATCGCTGCCATTTTCTGAAATCTTGTATGAAAAAGACTGGACCAAACTCAATTGTCAATTTAAATTAAATAGCGTTGTTTGGCTTGCAGGCAAAGACAAGGGTAATGTGAAAAGTAAATGTGAGCTGATCTTATATCGTTAGGGGATGTTTTTCACATCGGCATGTATTAGTCTCACGACACACTCTGCATCTAACCGAAACTCGTGCGACATCATGGGGCGATATTTCCATCTCTCGTCCAGGAACTGAATAAAGGTGGGCGGTTTGGGGTAGCGTACAATTGGGGTATAACGAATTCTCAGTGACACCTAGTTGGTTACAGGGTATCCGACAACAAGAGTAACTATCCACAATTACATTGGATTAATGGAAGTTATTTTTGACATGGCCTTGAATCATAAAAAGCAGATAAGCAAAAATTGGCGCACTTTTGAATAAGGTTTGGTTTAAAGGTGGCTGTAAGGAAATCCATGAGGTGGACTTACTCGACAGGCCTTTTGGCAGCTCGACAGTGTTGAGTTCACCCAATACCGGGTGAGGGAGACACACAGATAGGAATAAAAAGTTCGGATGTAACATTATAATTCACTTGAATTAAGTTTTAGAATTTCAAAGTTAAAGCTAGCTTACGCTCCGATACCGTCAGACTCCTCCTGTTAGCACGGAGCCCAATGGTAGCGGGGCTTTCCCCTGTGCGCACAACAGTTCCTTTTACAGTTTCACCTCCTGACTCTAAGCTGTGTAAACAGGCCGAGTAACTAAATGCAGCTCCACTTACTGTCCATGGCTGTGTCCGAGACCGACTCCTGCTCCTCTGTGAACACCTCTATTTGTCTGTAACTTTGTTTTTTCCGGTATTAAAACACTGAAAACACGACTGCAGGGACTCCAGAAACTTCTTGACAGGGCTGTTCTGTCGCCTTCTTCGCTCCACCTACATCTGTGCACAGGACTGAGCAGATGGTAAAGCTGGTGGAAAAGCACAACACCACGTTTCCTGTAAGAAAAAAAAGCGCCCAATATCATTGAGTAACTATTTGTAATGCACTGCTTTCCAAGGTAAACATGATGACTGTACTGTTTTCTCAAACAAGAACAAGATGTCTCACACTCGGGAGGCTATTTTATTCTCTTACATTAATTTGAATCAAGTTTTTGATGAAGATAGCCTTAGTTCAGTGTTGCAACTGCCAAGAGTGTTCCATCATACTCACAATTTCAGAATCAGATGTACAAATGAATACATTTCAAGAAAACAAAGACAAAATATCCCTCAAAAGCAAGCTGATGGAATAGCATAACCTTTTAACAACAAGTAAATGGCTCATGTTTAAAATAATGTGTCCTTAATTTTTTATAATCATAAGAGATGACTAAAAATGAGATAAAAAAAATGACCACAACAACAAACACTGTTCTGTAATTTGTTAATAATCATGAACATTAACTTAGACATACTTCAAAATGTTTAACTTTTACAAGTCATAATTGTGACACAGAAATTTATAGACCTGTAAAAGTCCATAAAGTAATACATTTTATATCATGCACACACCATATAGACTTGTGCACACAAGGTCATAGCTTATATTGAGCATTCAAGTAAATATATTGGATGTTCAATGTTCAATTTTTGGACTTAAGGGCCTGGTAGTCCAATATGTGTGAGATAATTCTCTATTCCATGAGTAAACAACTCACAAGTAATTATCTTGCCAGTATATTTATCTTTTGTACCTAAATTGTGTGGACAAGTTATTATTCAAGACACTTTTCAAAAAACACGAGCAGGAGAGAGAGAGAGAGAGAGAGAGAGAGAGAGAGAGAGAGAGAGAGGAGAGAGGACAGGGAGAGAGAAAGAGAACAAGATAGAGGGAAGGGAGAGAGTAAAGGAAAGGGAGAAGGAAGGGAAAGAGAGTAGAGAACGAGGGTGAGAGAGAGAGAGAGAGAGAGAGAGAGAGAGAGAGAGAGAGAGACAGGTGACAGCAGCAACATTAAAACAACAGCAACAACAACAACAGCACATGCAATGATGAAACAATATGAATTCAGGTTACAGGATTAGGATATAAGTAAATATAGACTATGTTAAATTAATTTAATTTGATTAAAGTCAGTAAGCATAGTAGTTAACTCTAGCTTTATGTTATTAATGCCGGTGAGGCTGATGATCTTATTTCATCCTTTTGTCGCACATCCCCCACTGATTTAATGTCCTGTTCTTAAATTCTCAAGTTAGCATTCTTTAGATGGCTTTGAATAAAACTCACCTTGCTATTGTTTTGATAGGAAATGTGATTGACTTCCGGTTCTTGTAATACGGTGAACTTGACGCACCCGTACTTCGTCGCCTTTCCTCTGCAGTGCAATTTGCCTCCACCCACACAAAACAGCGCGGAAATACCCAGATGACGCACTTGAAAGCAGCAGAAAAATAAGTTGTGAGTGGGAGAAGCAAAAACATGACTCCAGACTTTAGTCATGACCGGAAAGAAAGTCCAAGACTCCATCCACCTTTATCTGATTTCAACGAAAGTTTGTATTCCTCCGTGTACACCACACTGCTGGGGCTGTTCCCTTCGCAGTTGATGGCTACCAATTAACAGAATATCACACTCTCACCTTCTTTGAGATTAACATCTTAGTGGTGGTTTAAGAAAAATAAATATGTGTATCAATGGAAAAAAACAAACATCTGAGACTTTAAAAATGTTAATAGGAGATTTTTTTTTTCAATTTCTTATTTTTGACATAAGTTAGTACAGTTTCTTCTTTAAAGAGTAAGATATTTACTCTAAAAAATAAGTCACACTCACAGATTTAATCTTATTACAAATTTCAGCCAGAAGAAGGCGCTCTGTGTGAAGAAATCAGGATCTGCTGGCCTTAAAAAGCTCAACACTTTTCCCAAGTTAAATTTACTGCTCAGCTTCAAAAATGTTGAATGAATAAATGAGACACAGAGTAAAATGTTAATAGAAATGGATATACCGTTAGGTACTTAAACTCTTCAACTTCAATATTTGACATGATTTCCTTGCATCTTTGCATCTGAGTAAATGATTTGCAACCAAATATGGTTTTAATTGCAGTTTACACAGCATCCCATCATATATCTATATAAATATATAAACACATCCAATAAAAATCTACTTGGAAGAAGACAGCTATAACCCTCTGTTATGGGAAAAGTAATCATGTAAAAATAGTTTTTCAAACATTTTCTTTCTTATTCTTTTGGTCTGTCTTTTTTTTATTGCGGGACAACAATTTTTCTTTACACATCTGCAGGGATACAGAGCCACATTTTAGGATTGGCAACCTGAACACTTTAACTGCGTTATGGCAGCTTTCTTCACAGCATTCTTTGTGTCTAACTGAATTATTTCATCCAGAAAGGACCATCTGTAACTTGTGTCACACAGCAGCAGCTTTAATTTAATTTAATTTCCCATTGTTCAACAGTTCTTGCAGTCCAACTGTTTGTAAGGTAGAATATATTAAAAACGATCCATGTTTAAACTGTTAAAATGAACCACAATAAGGAAAATTATTGTTGATTTGATATACTTATTATTATTATTATTATTATTATTATTATTATTATTATTATTATTATTATTATTATTATTATTATTATTATTATTTAGTTTATGTTTTTTTAGTTTGGGTAAACGCAGAGTTGTAAGGGAAGGGAAGTTTACGAGTGTTATTGAACGCATCATAATAGTCGTAAATGGGAGGCCCCAGAGTGGGAGGTGGTTGGCGGTGCGTTTCTGTGCAGTGAGGCGGTGCCTGCCCTGCCAGCTCCAGACTGCGGCGGGCAGAGCTGTACGTTACAGAAATGGCGGAGGGGGAGTTGGACGTTGACTCGCTGATTTCCAGGCTTTTAGAGGGTGAGTTTGTGACCTTACTGCCTTGATATGATCACAAATGCTTGCTGTTGTAGTCCTTCTTGGTTTGAAGGCGTCGTTTTGACAGGAGTTACAGGGGGAAAGGCCCGCCTGAACGTTACTTGCTAGCTGATCCCGGTATACCAAAAGAGTGGACTGGACCAGTCCCGTCTGTCGACAATATAAAAGTCACAGACACACCTTAATTGAAGTTATTGTGTTAATCAATATGCTACGAGCTTCTATTTGTTAAATTTTGTGTGTTAAAGTTTGCATTTAAGGTTGAACTGTAACAAAGTTTGTAGTTGGCTGACTGTTGTTTTGCTCCGACCCGGTCAAGTAAGAGGCGAACTAACTATAAATATGTAATTTATGCCTGAACAGTGTCGCAACACTTGTATTACATCAGTACTCATGTCATCATTTTGGCACGCAGTCGTTTGAATCTCTTACCGGCCAAGCCTATACTTCAGAAAAAATCTTGATCACAAAACGACCCTGCCTGTATTTCCACAATCTTTTTTGACATCAAAATACAGCTCTGTGGGTAGTAGCTCGCTGTACATACCTGCTCCACAAGTTGACTTTTCTTTAAAAAACAAGGTGAAACTTGGTGTGCAAAGTATGCTGAATACTACAGGACAGTCCTCTGATTTATAATTGAAGTTGAAATTATGGTCTTAGCAAGCACAAAAAGTGGTATCCTGCAGTTTAAGTAAAAATATAAAGATTCTACATGTGATTTGGCGTTTAGAGCTGGATAGACAAGGCATGCCACAGAGCTGTGGTGTTTATGTGGGGAGCTCTGCTGAATGGTAATGTTTACACAACCCACAGGACTTGATTTTCTCCCAGTTTGAGTGTGTAACTGTTGGCATTTAAAACTAAAGTTACTTTTTTAACTTTGACGTGTATGTGTGAACCCTTTAAATAAGCGGAACCGACCCAGAAAATCAGGACAGATGCTGGTTGCAATGTTCAAACATCAGTTAAGTTGTGGTTCTGACTTGTTTTTTAATCAGCTGTTTTACACCATTTTGTTTTAGGTGACTTTAATCCCATCTGAGCTACACTGCAAGCGTTAGTGAACATTGCATGCCTTCACAATCATCAAGAAAGTGCATATTCAATCATGCAAATTTACAGAATAGCCTTTAACTTGACCTTCTTAGATGTAAGAGTTCATTATTTTGAAATGGTAAATTATCCAGAAGCCTCTTCAGCAGTTTAACTGCCACAAACTTAGTCGGAAGCAATTTCCAGTACTTTTACAGCCTGACAGAAACCCTCTATAATGTAAAAACTATAGGGGGTATATAATATATGGAGGTCTTTATTCCAACCTAAGCCATCAGCCATTTGTTTATTTCACTAACAGACTGGGATATTAAGCCAAAAATGCCAAAAAGACAGCTTAGAAACAGCCTCACTGGAACTGTACAACAAAGTCTTCAACAACAAATGGGGTGGTTTAAAACATGGTGTGACTGCTGCTGGTTTTACTGCAGATTTGGAGCTCTGACGTTTGTCCCATGTCACTGCTGAGCTTCACTGCACGCTGAATTGATCCCTGCACATTCATGAGTTGAAGCGTGCAGTTTTGCATGTACACCAGTTTGATGGACGCCATAGCAAAGCATGTAAAAAAAACTAAAAGGTTTGCATTTCTATAATGTAGGCAAAGATGAAGACTGAGTATTGGCAGATACTAAAATCTGATTTGGAAGGGGGGCAAATAAATTGATGGTAACAAAATGTTTAAATTGTATTAGGGATATTATATATTCACTGATTTAAAAACTTAACTTATGTATAAACTCACACAGACAATTTTTCATTGTTTGCCTTAAGTGTAATAAATGTTTTCTCTTCCTTAGCTGATATATACTTTGCTCTTATGTTGCATTTGTGTACTTTTCAGTGAAAGCCCAACTTCCCTGCTGCACCATTAATTGAAACAGACAAGTTCATATTTTCATCCCCACCAACTCAATTTTTTATAAGGAACTTTTCTTTGTCAAAACAACAACAAAGTAATATCAGCATTACATATCGGCCAGTCTGCTTTCTGAATATCTGTATCGGTTGCTGAAAAACTTCTATCAGTCAACCATTGATGCTTAGCTGTTACATCTGTGCACCTAATTTCAACCCAGCAGTAGATTTGTGCTGTTATCCTTCCCATTTATACATCTTTAATACAACACAAATTAGTCTTTAGATCATTGAGACACTCATATAAACAAATTCATATTAGATTTCTGTCTTCTCAGGGAGCTGAAGTTGGATAAAATGTGTGTTTTGTGAGTCTTAATCTGAGAATTCAGCACAAAAGCATCCAGAGTACTTTCTAAGAAAGCGTTGTTGTCGCTCCGTCCTCATTGTTATGTGTTGGGTCGTGGAGGCTGATTGTATTAGCAGTGCTAAATAAGGGATCCTGACATTAGGTGTGCTGATCTGTCTGTCTCCTGGCTTTCATTGAGACACTGTCCCTCTGTGTCTTCAGTAAACACGTGGACAGCCGAGGCTTCACTGAGCAAACACTCATGATCGATTGTCTGTCACTTACACACACACAGATTCAGTGTGCTGAAAATCACACACTCAGAAAGGTACACAGTTTGGGAGCTTATGCTAATGAAAGAGTTCACTGTGGGTAAACATGTCTGTATAACCCAATCACCTGGATTGATTGAAACCTCTTATGTAATTGTGCTTGTTTGCTCTTTGTGAGGCTGTGTGTGTGTGTTAGCCTGTTTTGAGGCTATACTGTAGCTGGTTTTCTTGCATTATATTCAGCTGCTTTTTAATGCACAAACCAGAAAACCCCAGGAGAGGAAATTGGAGGGATGGCGGCCTAAAAGCTTCCAGATGTGAGCTGTGAATATGTATATGTAATCATCCATTTTCTTTCAGCCACTTTCTCCTTCCATCTACAGTTTTATTTTGTTTTTGTAACCAAGTGACTCCTTTTTTGGAGCAAACACTTCTAGTTTTAACTCCCATATTCTGGGCTGTGGAGGGATTTGATGAACCACAGTGCTGCCAACCTTAAAGTGTAAGGCTACCAGCTGAAATTGAAGATCACCCACTGAATGAATCCTTCTTAACTAGTCTGCACTTGTCCAGCTGTTTCTTGTGTTTTGCACTCTTTATGTTTGGTCACGCTCGTACACTCAAAATGATTGAAAGGCAGCAGTCCCACACATATAAGTTGCATTTTGAGCCCAGATTATGCCGACAGTAGGCCTGTGTATCCAGCACAGACGTGGATGTTAACCTGCAAAGAGGACAGAAAGCATGTAGTGCTCACTCTGCTGTTGTTCGCCATACACAGCAAAACAATTCAACACTGTTTACACACAGACTCAGAAATCCAGAGTTAAACCATGTTGGGTAAACTTCTCATTTCTGACTGTTTGCTGGATGTTTTCTCACCTTTGGAGCAGCTGGTTAGTTAGAACATGAGTCACTTTAGAAGATCCACAGACATTTGACTGGATTTGTTTTGAAAAAGATGATTAATGATTAAATTAGCAAAATCTTCAACTAATCTGACCAGACCGTTTACTGCACCTTGATAACGATAAATGGACAATAACTACTCCACAAGTGGCTCACCCCCTCCCACATTAACCTCGTCTACTTAAGCCGCTGCTCCAACTTTTGAACCGTCCTCCATCTCCTCACCTGTCTACCTCTTTGTTATAGACTGGATGGGGTGGAGTCACGTCTCTGACGTAGGACAGCGTCTTAAAGGGACATGAGACCATAGTCTACCTACACACATCCAAAACCAACTTTTATTTATTTATTTATTTATTTGGCACCGAATATATTGACAAGGGCAAAATGGCGCTGGTTATTGTCTTAAATTTAGGTGTTGGTAGATTTTCAGTTTATTGCCCAGCCCTAGGTGTAAAGATATGAAAGTTTTATGCCTGGTACTATTTGACAAAGTAGATCTGCCCACTAAAGCTAAGATTATATTTGACTAAATTTCATCTGAAGTTTATAAAACATGCATTAATTCCCACATTTTTTTTAATTTAATGATCTTATCTTCTGTCTATCTTGTTTTAAGTTGCATATAGTTCACACACATCCTAGGAAACGTTATCAAACTGACCTGATTTAACATATGAATAAGCTGTCAAGCATGTGACTGATCGCTGCTGCAAAAAACTGCTTTTTCAAAATAAAGGCAGAAATGCACATTTTCACTCAAAAATAATCAGACTGGATAGTTAAAGGGGTGTTGCAGTGTCTTTTTTACAGAATATAAGCATGAAGAGAAGTAAGAGTTATGAATGCCTGTGAGAAATACGTGAAAAGTGGATTATATGCACAATACTTTGAGAAACAAGTAAAAAATATACACTGTAAAATACAAGTGTGCATTCATTATTGCACAGAGTATTGCAGCGTAAGATATGTGAAATATAAAAAGTGCTGTTCAGTTGGATTGTTGCACATTTATGTTCCAGTTTAGATCCAGAGCTGCAGAGTTAAAAGATAAATAATAAGGGGTTTATAGCTGCTGACAGTGTGTTTCAGTCTGTCCTCACCGGTGCTTCATTTTATTTTAAGACTTGACCTTAAACAACACAAAGACCTCTCTGATGAACCCTTGATATCTCTCATCTCAGTTTACTGAACAAGATTACATTTTCAGACTGTTTTCATTTGAATGCCTGTCTGTCAGTGTTTGTGTTTTTGTTGGTGTTCAGCTAAAAAAGCTTGTTTTTCCAGGCTGAGAGGTCACAGTTTCTTTTTATGAATAAAAGGACGTTCTTCTAGTGTAGGACAGGATTTCCTGAAAGACTTCAATAGGAGGTAAATGTCTCACTTTTTCAATGAGCTGTGCTGACAGCCTGGAACCTACACACACACAGACACACCGGGCGCACATATGGAGAGCTCTCTGATCTCCTACTAAATGTCAACAGGCACAGCTGTTCCTGCTGGAAATTAACCTACCCTTTTGGTGACACGCACGTACACACACACACACACACACAAACACACAGGAGGGGGTGGGGGGTTGAGCTACAGTAATACAGTAGGCTTTTAGCCCAGTTGTTTATTTTTACTCACCAGTGTCTTTTACTTGGAATCTGAAATCTGATTTATTCAACCATAACCAGCTGATCAGCAATAACCCTCATGAGAATTATCATAATAATGCACAACTTGTTTAACATAACCAAACACAAGAACTTGGAGTTGCTGTCAAATTGGTTTTCCCAGCATGGCTAACATTAGCAGAGCTAGCTCCATCAGCCTTTCGTATGTGGTCATTGTGGCGTCACTTCTGGCTTAGATTCACTCACTGCAAAACCACACAGCCCAACTTTGTGCTTGTTTGCATCCATGTAGTAGAGCATTATAACATTATTGCTGCAGCTGTTAACCGGCTCATAGCAGGTCAATGTGCTGTACAGCTTAGATGGAGCGTATAACCGGCACTTTAGGTCAGTGACCTCAGCGTGTAATCCTTGAGCTGATTAAACGCACACATCTCTATTGGGGGTGTGATGTCCCATCCTTATACACAGTAAATGGACTAGAGAGTTAGAGTTTAATTTAGTGCTTAGCTTCCTTTAAACTCTGAATGGGTAAAGTGGTTTAGGTAGAATAATTGTCTACTATAGCAGCGTCAGAATACAGATCTCCTCATTTGTCCTTGAATTCAAAGAAGTTCATTTTTCACCAACCAGCCAAACCATTATAAACACTTCGGCAATCAAATGCAATCCAGTTTTTATTGACATATTTGTATTATTGAAGACCATTAGATTGCTAAGGTTATGGCTGGTTGGTGTATAAGTTAGCACTGCGTAGCTGTATTTATATTGTGTCAGTGTTCTGTCATGAAAATCTGTGAAAAGTCTTTCTGCAGTTGAAGCTGTTTGAGCAATGAAGTAATAAGGTACCAATATCTCAGGAATGCAAAAGGTGGTATCAAAGATAGTCCTTTAAAACGGTTTTATTGGTCACAGTCTATTTCAAGTCTTAAATTTCAGGGTCTGTGCTATAGATTCACCCAAAAGGGTCCTGTCAAAACCTTGCAAAAAGATGGTTAAAAACTGTTGATTTAATTCAACTAGACAGTGAAGTGTTCGGACATTCAAAGACACACCTACATTTCCTCGTGTCCTTCAGCTGTTGTTTGGTAGTGGGGTTGACAGGCGTTGTCTAGCCGACAGGCTAAACCTGATCGACTGACAACATGGTTTACAATCACTGAAGCCTCCTCTCTATTTTCATTTGTCACTCTGAATACAATGACTTGTCACTTGCTGTCTTGTGAGTCAGAGTTTAAAGGTGAGTAACACAATGGTGTGTAGATGAACTTATTGAAGCCATTTGTGCGTGTAATTCAAAATGGCATGTGTGTGTCTGTCTGGATGAGTGCTTGTTGAGGACACACTCACTTGTTGTTGGTTACACTTGTTCGGTTCTGTCACTGCTTCACATTTGGACTAGATCTCTCACATAGTTTGTCCCTATGGCTCACACATAGCTGGGAGAGTAGCAGCATATCTCTAATACCAAAGTTATATGATGCCTGCCCTGGGATTAAGTTCAAAAGTGTCCTCATCTAGTTCCATATGGATAGGTCAAACTTCACAGAGCTCATCCTGGATCAAGACATGGCTCACCTTTTAGGAAAATGTAAACCAACTCTGTTTCTGCAGCGAGCTCGTAATGCTTCGTCTGACCCCAACATTATAGCAGGCAGCAGCAATAGGCCTTAAAAATGACATAGTCTTCTTCCTGATGGTCTAGTTTGCTTTGTAGGTCACTTTCTATTATCCAGCCATTATATAGATATGAAAGTTTGAGCGTTTGCATATTTGGATAAATTTACTGACTTGACTGGCAGGTTGGCTGATTGTAGGTGTTGATCTGCCGGAGGCTTAAAGGCTCCAGCTCCACCTCTTAGCGTGTATCAAACATTAGTATTTAGGGCTGAAATGATTCCTCGAGTACCTTAATTACAAAAATGATAGAGTACTCACTGTTTCGCACAGATTATTTTCAGAGTTTTAATAATTACTCGATTAATTGATGGAATATTGTAGAATACTCGATTTCCAAAATATTCAATAGCTACAGCCCTATTAGCGTTTCCAAAATGGTGACCTCCATTGTTGGTGCTTCAGAACGCCTCTGCAGACACCACATAATGGGCATGCTGTCACTACTGGTCTGGTGTCAGATAGCCAGGGTATTTTCCTGTCACTCTTTGAGAACAAATTGATACTATCATTGCTGTATCACAGTGTTACAGGACACTGCGGGGTATAAATTAGTCGTCTTGTTTTAGTAAAACTCCCAGCAGCTAGTTTCAGATTTCACAGCAGGATCAATACGGTTGCTTGCGGTAGTTGTGAGCTGACATTTTTCACAGCACAGCTCCAAACAGCAGCCCTGCAGACTTCTCTCCCTGCATGTTTGTGCTCTCTCTTCTGAACCAGCCGTCTGTTTTCCTGCCCTCTATTTCAGACCCTCCTTCTGCCGCTCATTACCGTCAGTGCTGTACTTCTATGTGCTGCAGTGAGGTAACTATTAAAGGCCCCCAGCTTTCCCAGCAGGCCCATGCTGAGCCCACACTGGTCTGAGCTCCCGCCACAACAGGCCCTCTGTCTGCTCTGCCAGCACAGGTGGCCTATAGGCTTTATGTGGTACTCAGGGCTCAACAGCAGAGCTCCAAACATCAGCAGGAGAGAGGAGGCGGGATGGAAAGTTGCATTTAGGAGCCATTTTGGTTTATGGGCAAAGTGTGTGCAATTACTGGTACAGAAAATCCTCATTAGAGCAGTTTGTTAGGCTGGATATTTTCAACAGCTTCATCTGCTTGCTTTATTGCAGGTGGACAGTTTGCCGTCTGTTAGTAATAATGGAAGCATGACAAGTGGAAGGTACAATAAACTGTGAGGCTTGTGTGTTGTGTGATGTTCTGTATTATATTTATTTCCTATTTTGAAATTTTAAATGATTTATTCTCTGTAGTTTTTTATGAAGCATTCAGAAACCTCTAGTTTTCTCACATGAACTCTCCCTGTTTTTGTCTGCTCTGTTGACAGTCTTTATCAGCTGTTATTTCTGAAAGGTTGACCACAAGGCTCCACTGTTTTTAGATTTATTCACCCATGATTCCTTTTATGAAGCAGCAGATAAGTCACACTGAGCCATCTTGGAAATGTAAACAACATGGTTGTATTACTTAACCAGCTGTATTTACACTCTTACAGCATAAAAAGTCCTACATTTCTAACACTTTTGGAGGCCTGTTAATGAACAGAAAATAAGATTGCAGTTTCAATATGCAGAAAGGTTACCAAACTGAGGTATTTTCAACTCAAAGCTGCCATGAGACGAAGGGTAAGAGGGACACGATCACCAATCAAGAAAAAATTAAGGAGAGCGAGTGGTTCCCATGAGAGGCAAGGTCTGCTCTACAAACTTTAGCAGACAGTTTTTCTTGAAATGCTCCTGGACTTGGGGAGTTTCAGGGCATGGCAGTGTTATGTTTATAGTTGTTCCGATTCCCATACCAGTATTGGAAATTGCTCCGACGCTTCCAAAAATGCTGGCATCGGTATAAGCAAGTACTGGAGTCCAGGCACTGATCCAATACCATGTAATTTATCAAACTGGTAATTTATTTACTGGTTAGCTCTGTTAACTCTGTTCTGTTTAAATTTCCTTTTTATGTAAAAATATTGTGGCTGCACTTTAATTTTTTAAAAATAACTATTCCTAGATTTGTTTCATTAAATTGCATTTGCTGTTTTTAAAACTGTTCTATGTAAAAATAAATAGCTTGAATTTGCTGTATTTGTTTGTGTTTTACAAAGAGTTTAATCTGAGCCAGACGGTACCACAATGATAATCATATCACAGTTAGAGATGCACCAATCCATTTTTTTCCGATCCAATCCGATACCGATACCTGGGCTGAGTGATAGCCGATACCGATCCAATACTACTGTTGAATGAATGATCTGTATACCTTGCCCTGTGAGTGAAGGCATCAGGCTTAATATTAGCCTTGTTAAAAAAAAAAGGTAACAAATTAACACAGATATAAATTTACTTAATATTATTAATGAACAAATACTAAATTGCACATTAGCACACAGCAAAAAGAATGTAAGACTTCCATGTAATAAAAGACAAATGAATTAACAGGAAAAAAAAGACTTAATCGGAACGACTGATTGGCGTCAGTTATTAGATATCTGATCCAGTTAATTTGTCAATATCGGAGCCAATATCCGATCCAAATATCGGATACCTGATCCAAATACCTGGTATGATATTTTTTACTGGTATCGGATTAGTGCTAGGTATCGGGAGGGAAAAATCAGTTTTGGAACATCTCTAGTTATGTTGCCATGCTTTGTTTGTCTTTTGCACCTCAGTCACTGTTGTGCATGTGCTTAACTCAGCAGAAATAGACAGGGCGTGCAGTGTCAGGCATCAGAAAAGTTCTGTCCAGAAACATGCAACAACTAGTTGACTACAGTTGTAATGATTGCCATGAGTAGAAGAATATCCCAGAGTTAAGCCTTTAACTTTAAAGGTATTTGGTCACTAATAATTTAACTTGCTAAATTCTCAGGTTGAAGTAACACAGACCAAGTAATCCCGTTTCAGTACACCCAGAGTTGGTTAAACTGAGCTTTCTTAACTTCTGAATTCAGCTTTTCATTTCCAGATGTTGTGGTTGTGTTCCTTTCAGAAGTTACAGCTTGTGCAGTAATGTGTCCCAAAGTTAAATAAGTGTTGGATTTACCTGGATTTGAGGGGATTTCTCAGTTTTCCTGGCCTGTGATGAAACCTCAGCTGCTTTTTTTTTGCCATGCTCACAGTAAGATGTCAGAGACAGGAGTGAAACAGTTAAAAACGTTCTTTTTAATATGGATGGAAAGATTGTTAGGCTTTGTTGTGCTCTTGACGTTGGTGTCACCCTCCTTGTTTTTCGTCTGCGTGGAGGTCTTCGGCTGTGTTGCGTGGCGCTCGGGCTGCTGGCGTGGCAATCTGTTATGGAAACAACAATCGTGGAGCCTGTGTGGCGGGGAGCGTTCACCCCCTGGCACCAAACATGGCACAGATCTCACCCTGGCTTTTCAGCTGCGTGCCTATGCTTTCCAACCAATCCCTCCCTCCCTTCTCCTTCTATTCACTCCCTCGCTTTCACCCCCCACACACACACATACACACAAACTTTCCTACATTTCTCTGGTTTTCTGCTCTCTTTCTCTCCCACTTTCTGTGCCTGTTTCCATGCCTCCTGTTTACTTCTCCCCCCAGTCTCTCCTCTCAGTTTCATCCTTTCTTTCGCTCCACAAAGACGCTCATTCACCCCCGGTCACTTGGATGCGAACAAAACGTCCTCTGAAAATGCAAAGCCCGCACTGAAAATGCCACTGCAGCCGGGATTTCTGCCTTAACATTCGCTCCTCGCCGGAGTTACTTTGTGTTCCTCGTTCACTGAGGGGGTCACTGTTTTCCACTGGCCCTGTGTGGGAGAGGGTGAGACGGGGGAGTGGAGGGGAGCGGCTGGCCTCCTGCCCAGTTGGAAAGAAAGGAGAACGGAGGTGGAGAGCTAAAAAAGGTCTGACGGGGCATCTTTATTGGTGCTGTGAGGTGCAGCAGAGACTGAAACATGCACAGTCATACCTGCTTGAGATTCATGGCTCAGCTCGATCCATTAGAAGTTTCTCTGAATGTTTGTTTGGTTAATGGAGAGAAGAAAACACTGGATTTTTGCTGAAAGTTACTTGGAGAGAGAAGTGTTTTGAACTCCTAAATCAATACTGTGTTAGACTTTCTGGTCAGGACCCTCATCGGCAAAAGACTGATTAAGGTAGCTACTAGCTGGTTAACATTGTGGTTTTCTGACCTCTTGTACTTTCATTCTGACCCTCCTCAGCCTGGCTTGGTTGACATTAAGCAAGACTATTGGATAGTATTTGATGTTTGTGGTGCCACATGTTGCAAAGAAATACTGATGACTTGTTTTGTTTTTCATGCTGAGTAAATTTGGCCCGTCCTCTGTGAAGAGTTGCTCATGAAAATCCCCTAGTAGATCTTTAAATATCTGCAGTAAGGGATGTTATTTGCCTTTGCTTGAATCTCTGTAAATCTGAAAAGCAGTCCAAAGTAAGTCGACTCAATCTCAGCTGAAGTACAGTTTGCCTTGTGGAGCTTTTGTGTTGAAACAAACTTTGTCAAACAAATGCAGGAATGTGGGTCAGTCCTGTGTCTCTGACATCACAGTGTCTTCTTGTCAGTATGAATGGTCTTACTCAGCTCTCTGCCGGCTCGGCTGACAGACACCTCATTGTCATGGACCTCCACTCCGCTCTCTGACGGAGCTCTGGCCTCTGACTCGCTCCCTCCGAGCGCTCCCTCTTTGTCCCGGCTGTCAAGCACCACTTCCTCCTTCCTCTGTACAGTAACGCCCATATTTGGTAATGGCTTCAAGGAGCATCGTGTGTGTACTTCACTTATCTTTCCCTCAGTCTCTTTGGCTTCAGCACACTCACTGCTCAGTGAACTCTGCTCCTTTTAAATACATGGAAAAACAGCTGACCTGCTTGACCCTTGGAGAGAAGTTTCAGCCAGTGAAGCAGAAAAGATGATGACTGAAGGGCTCCTGTTAGATAACTGCTCCCTCATGTTTTTAGATCTGTCATTTAAGTCCAACGGTTATACACTTCATAAACATTCTCCCTAGATTTTAAAGAAAGTTGTTTACGTTGGTCTTTGAATATTAAACATCTCCTTATGTAGGGTCCTCTGAAAGTTTGAGCCTTGTTCCACCACCACTAGTTTTAGCTTCTGATGTAAGAAAAGAAATGAGTTCCCTGTTGCAACGTCTTTGGTGTGGTTCATCACAATAGTGGGTTGGGCAGTACCCAAAATCCCTCAACATATTTAGTGTATTAGTTTGCCAGTCATCAGGCAGCTGGAGTTTAATTCCTGCCAGAACTGGCTTAATAATAATAACAAAGTTAAAGAGCTGTAACAAAGGTTACTGAGAAGGAAACTGCTGCTAAGAAGTAACACTGTATTTGCTCTGTAGTTTAAGGTGATTATATAAGCTAACTGAAAATATTTTCACCAACAATGTTATGAGTTAAGAACGGTAATAATCACAGATGATTGAAAGGAAGAAAACAAGATGACTAAAAACAGCCAAACAAACAAAGACAAACAAAACTGTTGATAGTAATGGATAGGGGTGGGAATCACTGGTGGCCCCATGATACAATATCATCACGATACTTGGGCCAGGATATGATGTTATCATGATAATTGGGCCACGATACAATATTATCACGATACTTGGGCCACGATACGATATTATTGTGACTTTTAACATTTTGCAATACAGTAAGTATTGCGATTCAATACATTATGAATTATATAATTTTTCCTTTATGTTTGTCTTATTTACGCTGTATTTTATTTTCCTGAAGCACATCTTGCAAACCATTTTTTTTTTTTGTTGCACTTTCTCCTGCACTATGATGTTACCTCTGCCAACCTCACTGGACAAACAGTTGATTTTATTTTTCCATCATCATAGATTTGACTTCATATTAGCAATTAATTTGAAAAATCCATACTTGGTAAATGAGACGATACAATATATCACTAGACAAAATATTGTGATACTATCCTGTATTGATTTTTTTCTCCCACCCCTAGTAATAGATCAGCTTATTTTCTGAACTTACTAGTTAAAAGAGTTAGTTAAAAGAGAAAAAAAAGGCAGACACTCTCAGTGTTTTCAGGCATATCAGGGCAGATTTACGACTTGAATATTCAACCAAATGAAGAATTTAGTTAGTAAATGAGCTAAAGTTACCACCAGCAACAGAAGGCTAGTGACATGTGTAATCCTGTGACATGTGACTGCTTTATGATTCATGTTCATTCAGTTATAGATTTCTGCTTGTATAAGTGGTTTAGCTTTGCAGAAAATAGAGCTCTCTCAAGACTTTTTTAGGATTCAACGTGCTGCTGTTGTTGACTAAACAGTTGCACATCATCACCCCTCACTCGTCAATGCCAGAGTTTTATTGCAACATTGAACACCTTAAACGCCTGTTTTCCTCAGTGGACTATGAGTGTGTGATCAGAAACAGAACACACTTCACTCCCTAAACCACAACAGGAAAATAGATGTAGAAAGTGATCCAAATTTCCCAGAAGCTTCAGTGTGGCTGTTGTTTGTTCACTTAATGTGTCATGCATAAAAAAGCAGGTGCTTTATTAGTGTAGCTTTATCTGGGATAGTGCTGTGGTTTCTCTCCACATGTTTTCCTACTGAGGTTTTATGTTAGTCACAGTTTCACAGACCTAGCTTCATCCTTGACCCCGTCTTTAAAAACCTTGGAACATTTACTTGTTTTCAAAAGTCTCGGATTTTGATGCATAAAGCAGAAACCATCGTCAGTCAGAGCTGTTTAGGTCTGGAGGGTCTGAGAGCTGTCTGGAATGTAAACCCGCTCTGAGAGGGGGAACTGGACGGATCTGTCCTCTGACGTCAGCACAGTTCACTGACAAGGCGGAGAAGGGCGATGACCCCCGGGGGTTCGGGCTCAGCTAAGAATTTGACTGAAGGATAAAAAGATAAAGAGGAAAGTAGAGGAGGGAGGAGGTCTGGGAAAGAGAGGAGTTTGGATAGAGAGAACAGCTGTTTAAAGAGCAGGGATCTCCAGGAGAAAAGACTCTGTGTTCAGTCTGTGGAGAGCAGACTGTGACCAAACCTGAACTTAAAGGCTAAGACGCGCGGACACAAGAACCTGCCCAAATTAGGTGAGCTGAGCTGGAGCATTTTTGAAGGGAGAGAGAGTTTTACTAATCTGGTGTAAAGCTGCAGGGAAAGGCTGGGCATCATTTTCCATCAGTTTAAACCACAAACAGCTCCTGTCACACTGGTGTTATGGTGTTTCATTTAAAAGGGCATCTGTGGCAGTGTTTTTAGTAAAGTTAGAATAGAGTTGTAGATGTCACTCAGCAAGTATTTTTAGTCGAAAATAGGGCTGGGCGATAAAACTATAATGTATATTGAAACTTAATTTCCCTCAATATCAATAAAAAACATGCTCAATATGCTTTTCGATAGTCAGCATTCTACCATGTTTTGGTGGACTATACAAATAGCCCAAGACAATCAGTTTTGTGTGCTGTGAGGTCGGCTCATCTTATGCTCATAACTCACTGTGATCTGTGTAATATTGACTTTTACACCCAAACCCATGATTGTATTTTAAAAGTACTCCAAGAACATTTTCTCCCCGGCTAGTTAGTTTCATTGTTGATGCACTTTCAGTATTTGCTGCACGTCACTGTGTTTAAATGTGTGTGTGTGCGTGCGCAGGCCTCTGATGTCACATTCACTACATGTTAGTATGCAGAGCGTGGGTTGCAGGAGATGCCACTTTATCAGCAAATCACTCCCTCCCTCCCTCCCTCCCTACACTAGTTACATCGACACCAGCAGCTCCCCGAACACCGACACCTTGCAGGATGGAAATTGGTCTTGCTGGGTTGCTATGGTGACGGGCTATGGGTACCACCTCCTGTTCTCTCCCTCCTGGTATCTCTCACTCTTTCTCTTCAGAGGGGAAGCTGCAGTGCGGTGGTGACAGAGAGTAAAGGATGCTGGGATACCTCCCTGCGAGCCCCAAGTGGTACGATCTGAAGTCAAGGTCACTCCGAGTTTGTGTGCGTGTGTGTACGTGTGTGTGTGTGTGCACTCCCAGCTTCTTCTTAACTTAACTATAAAACGAAAGAGGATCCCCCAAGCAAGTGAGGACTAGTGCCTCAGGTTATGATGTGTATTCCTGTGTGTGTGTGTGTGTGTGTGTGTGTGTGTGTGTGTGTGTCCTATATCAGGCCTTCCTCCCTGTCAGCTGAGCCAGCACAGACCTGCAAACGCGTCATCGGCGGCCAGAAAGGGAGGGGTGTTAAATCACTCTGCACACACACACATTTTAGTGGACACTCCTTGCTTGTGTTCTGAGCTTTACAGGCCGACGGTACAAGGTGTACATGTTTCTGAACCACACCAGGACGTAATGGCCTTGAGTTCAGCTGTGTGGTTTTGGCTCGTGATATATTCTCTTGTTTATTTGAACCTCACCTTTGCACCGTCTGAAAATAGCAGCAGGTGTGATCACAGGTTGTGTGTTTGGCTGCAGAGGACAAGACAGGAGCAACTGTTTATCAGCACAGGTCTCTGGGCAGAAACAGCAGGCTCGCGTTGCACACATACTCACTCACACACACACACACACACACACACACACTCTGTTGTCCTCCAGAGTGTCAGGCAGGAGTCACCTGAAGCTCAAACTCCTCCGCCTTTGTAGCTGCAGGATTCCACCTTCCGCCCTCGCCTCGTCTGATTTGCTTATTAAGTGGCGTTTGACGCCTGCTAGGGTTTCCATCAAGTTGCTCTGTGGTGTCATCTGACTGCAGCAGTCTGAGTCAGCGCTGTCCCACTTCTGTGACGCTGCCGTTCATCTGAGCACACGGGGGGAGAATGTAGGGCAGTGGCAGAGCATGGAAATACTGCAGGGAAAGTTAAAAACACAAATCCCTGAAGCAGATTTATAGGGTAGTTGTCACTGCTGGTTTGCATGTATCAGCTCTAAAGGAGGCCTGACAGTCGCTGTACTTAAGTGCAGAAATGCCCCACAAGCAGGAATGAAGTTCATAAATACTGCAAAGTTTTTAACTCTGCAATGTGACCACTCTGCAAAATATTTTCAACTCTGATGCGAGAAAAAAAAATGCCAGTGCAGAATTTGCGAAAAAATTGTACAATGTCGTTGCTTCAAGTTATTTTTATACCTGTGTGATGGTGTAAAGTATCCTTAGGCAGCTCTCTAAAAACTTTTCTGCACAAGAGCTTGAGGAAAACCTGTCTTCATCAGGGGGTTTCAAGTTCCTCTATATTTAGGGCTGTACTTGAAACTATATTTTAGATTACATTGTTTGTTTGTTGTTTAATTTAATTTAAAGCTCCTGTAAGAAACTTTTAGTTTGTGTCAATTTTGGCGCCTCTTGTCGACAAAGCAGTCTCTTCTTATTTGGTCTTCAACATGCTGAAGTGGTGTCTTCAAGCAAAAGTTCTCATCTTGGTGGCGTTTGAATGTCAAATTTATCATTTAGTGTGAATATTTTGGGTGAATGTTGTAAAAACAGGGCTACACCTACCCTCCCATACTGCTCCTGACATTAAAATGAAGTTAAACAAATTGTCAGTCTGGTTGTTGATGGTCTGGTTTGCTTTTGGCTTACATGAAAAGGTGTTTGTATGAGTTTCAGTCTATCCTTTCAACTTTAAAAACCCCTCACAAGTGCTTTATGACAGTGTTTTGCAGGATACAAACTGATGATGTAATTAACTTAATTGTCACTACGTCAAATTATTAACTGTTATGAAACAGTGTCTCTATTTACACAGCAAATTTGCAGTGAGTCATTTTGATAGTTAATTTAACCACCTTAATAATCCCCATGTATAAAAAATACCAACCCTTTCACTTTGATCTACAGCCCTTCACCATGTGACCATGGTGGACCCCCCTCCTCCCCCTTTTCCTCTGTTACACAACAGGAAGTGCTTTTAAAAAAAACCCAATCCCAACAACATCAACCAAACACAGTTTTTCCATCCTGTTTGTAGACAAAAACCAACCTCCTGTATCGTGCTAAATTTTACTTTATTTTACACAATCAACCCAATCTTTAAAAGAATCAGTTAATAACATTAAAGTAACTCCTAGAGAATGGTGTTGACATGATATGCACGGTACAATGAAAAGTCCCTGCCTCCCATTTTAAACCTAAAGCTACCTTTGAAATGTTCTAGTCCTGTAGGTGTTGTGTGAAGTTATGAGACTCAGACAGAGAGAAGAATCAGGGACCCTTACTTGTGCAGTTTGTGTTGTAGTCTGTTAATCTTTGACGGTGTTCTACGTACGTACTTAGGCTAAATCCATACTCTGCAGCTAAACCCTGTCTGATTTATCAGGGCCTGTGTCCACTTACTGCATTTTTAATTTCTTAAATTTTTGCTCTGCTCAAAACTTTAATTGCAGAGTGCTTTGTGTTGGTGCTCAATGATGCTGTCTTAATCATTGTAGTATGTAGATAAAACTGAAAGGGCCTGTGTCCATTTACCCCGACAAAATCATGTGTGTTTAGTGCCTCCTTTGTACATCATTGTTTACAAAGCTGTTGCCAGAAATTCCACCTCTTCTCGATTTCGGTTGGTCAGTTATGGAGAGCTTAAATCAATGAGCATGATGTTTGAGCTACTTTTGATTTCTAGCACTATGAGTGTGGCGCCAAAATCAGCTGAAAGCATTTTTGTTCAGGATGCTGATGCTGAAAACAATAGCTTCTAGTGGACACATGCCCTTATAAATGAATTGAGTTAAAAATTTGTAATATTGAAATAAAATAAATTGTTTTGGAGCATCGCAGAGAAGCAAAACTGAAAAAAACTGTGATTAGCTGTGATTTTGCAAAGAAATAAAGCCCCTGTCAGCACACATAAGTAATGTGTCTAGTTGACACATGCCCTTATTTGTAAAGGCAGTTTAAATTTTTTTTTCATCAGCATACCCTGTCCCCCGTATTTCCTATGAGTTTGCTTTAGTCATGTGGCAGAGGTTGTGTAAGGTCATGGGATGAACTTGATGAGGACAATTTACACTCTGCTTCATCTAGACTATGATTATTTCTCTTCTTTGCCACTTCTCTTTTGATTGAATTTTTCAAAGTCACTCAGTGGGAGAAGATATGTCGGGTTACGAGTCATATCTGATGACACTTTTTTCTTCCTCCCTCAGTGCGAGGATGTCGTCCAGGGAAGATCGTCCAGATGACGGAGGCAGAGGTTCGCGGCCTCTGCATCAAATCCCGGGAGATCTTCCTCAGTCAGCCCATCCTCCTGGAGCTGGAGGCTCCACTCAAAATCTGTGGTCAGTCACCTCCCATTTTCACTCCCTTTATCCTCTAAACCTAATCTTTTCACAGCTTGAGAAAATGATTCCTACGGTCTTTGTCGATTCCAGGTGATATCCACGGACAGTACACAGACCTGCTGAGGCTCTTTGAGTACGGCGGCTTCCCACCAGAGGCCAACTACCTGTTCCTGGGCGACTACGTGGACAGAGGGAAGCAGTCTCTGGAGACCATCTGCCTGCTGTTGGCCTACAAGATCAAATACCCCGAGAACTTCTTCCTGCTCAGGGGCAACCACGAGTGTGCCTCCATTAACCGCATCTACGGCTTCTATGACGAGTGTGAGTCTCTCTGCTCTCATGATGAAACACAGGAGGACAGGGGGTCCTATTTTCAGCTCTCATTATGGTGGCTCTTGTTCCAGTATTTACGGATCAGCACACAAAAAGATGTCCTCGAAAACTTCTAAGGAGTGTTAAATTTTATGATTTTATGATATACTTCTAATGTAAAATTAATAAAATGTACAAAGAGGAAGCCTGAACTGAGTGGAGTTAAACTGCACCCTCAATCTAAATATGCCTGTGTCAACATTTGAGCTTGTAAAGTCGTTTCAGCCACCTTATATGGAGCTGAACTTGCTGTCTTGTTGATTCTGCAGGTAAACGCAGATTCAACATCAAACTGTGGAAGACGTTCACGGACTGCTTTAACTGCCTGCCCATCGCTGCCATCGTGGACGAGAAGATCTTCTGCTGTCATGGAGGTATTTATATCCGCTAAATCAGGAGAGGTTTGAAAATTTGGGCTTATTTTTAATGCAAGTGTAGTGGAGGTGTGGAAAGATAACGCTGTGACCTTACAGCATTTTCTGTTTCTCCTAATCTGATGTAAAAGAAAATAGGTCAGAGTGAGTGCACAGCTCTGTGGGTGAAGGTTAATGCCTGCACTGACACAGGAGGGAGATCTATAAAGAGATTTACGTGGCGATGTGTCACTGTGTCGTCTGCAGGTCTCTCACCTGACCTGCAGTCCATGGAGCAGATCAGACGCATCATGAGACCCACAGACGTGCCTGACACAGGTAGGTTAAACACACACATGCACTCATGCACACTGGGGACTGTTGTTTCATTGTTGTTCAAATTTTTATTTCTAATTATGGAAGCACAAGATGAGTGTGGAGGGTTTTAGAGTTGACTTTTAATTCACTTTAAAACACCAAGAAGTAACTTTTTACTTTAGATGTTAGTCATATATAAAAAATTTAAAACGCAGGGATCATTATTACCTTATTTTCCGTACTATAAGTCACTTTGGCGTATAAGTCGCACCATCCAAAAAATGCATAATGAAGTAGAAAAAACGTACCGGTATAAGTCACGTTTGGGGGGAAATTTATCTTACAAAATCCAAGACCAAAAACAGACATTTCATCTTGAAAGGCTTATTATAATAATAATAGAATAGAGAACAACAGGCTGATTAGGTGTACGGTATGCAAATGTAACACATTGATGGTTATACAGCTACATGAAGCATAAACAATGAACTCAATAGGTGTCTGGTATGTTAACATAACATAAAAACAGTTATTCAGATAACTATAGTATAAAACACATAAGTTTATCTGCGTGACTGTTGTTAGACTATACGTAAAATTATATATTTTGATATATATAAGTCGCACCTGAGTAAAAGTCGCAAACCCAGCCAAACTATGGAGAAAAGTGCGACTCATAGTCCGGAAAATACATGTTTGTAACATCTAGTGTGCAATGAGGGCCTATGTTCACTGACAGCATTTTCTGCCCAGGCGGTGCAGTTTTCTCTGTTCGACACCAATGCCTGTCAGTGTTTTCATCACTCACTGTCATGGACCCAAACCCACCCACAGCCCCACGTCTCTGGGGGCTGACTTTGTTTTGATTGCCCGGTCAGTTGATGATTAATCGCCGCAGCTCTTGTAAACACCGCCAACAGGAACGAGAACACTTCTGCCATCAGCAGTCACGTCCCTCGCCTGCACTCATACTCAGATATCTGTTTGCATGGATTACATCAATACTGACCCCAGCAGCACTGAAAACAAGCTAACCGCAGATGACAGGAGTTTCAGTCCGCGCTGCGATGGCGTGAGTCACTGGGCCGGGGTGGAGAGGCGTTCTGGGAGAGAAAAATCGTGCTCGGGAACTTGAGCTAAACTTTATTCATGCTTCAGCTGAGGAGAAGTTCAAGTCCCTCTGCTGGAGAAAAAACCCACTCTGCCACTGAATAGGTCACGACGCTGCCCAGATACCTCCAGGAAAATAAGACCACAGTGGAAGAAACCTCCAGATTATTCCCACATCCCTATTTTCCTGCAGGTTTCATCTTCCCCCGCTGATTGATTGGACAGTTTTGTACCCTCGTCCTGACAGGTTACACAAGTGAACAGTGTGGGGGTCAAAACAAATCCAGGCCCATATTTATCAAACTTCTCAGGGCAGGAAATCGACTGTAAGGGGCCAAAAGTTCTTAGAGTGACGCAGGTTTGCTTCTACTTTTAGCCCTACAAGTAAACTCAACTTTCTTAACTTAGAAATGACTCGTCCACCTCCTCCACCTCCTGCCTAAACACCATCTTCTGCTCCTCTAAATATCAACAGAGACTTGCGCGCACACTCTGAGGGAGGGCAGATGTGTTTACACGACAGTGAGGTTGGTAAAAGATGCAACAAACCCTGGATTTCAGCTCTGTCTTTATCATATTCATATAAAAGGTGTATTTTTTTGTCTCTTAAGGAAATGTACAGTAAAAATGAAAGTGTAGATATGGAAGTTTTTGCCCTTTTCCTCTGGACCTGCTGGTTCTTGTCCTTATAAGGCAGTCAGTGTTCAGACAGAGGCAGCAGCTGTCTCTCAGATCCTCTTATGGTCTTTCATGGAGACTCAGAGTGTCTGGATGTGAAGAGAGTGTGTGTATATACATGGACAGTGGTGTGTGTTTTAAAACATGACATTATTTCAATGGGAAACAGAGTGACTCTGACAAAGAGGCAGAAAACTTGATTCCACTCTGTGGCTCAGATCTGGGTCAAAGATGGAGATGAATCAGGTCTGAACTTCCTCTCTTAACGGCATGAAGTGGTGAGGAACATGTTTCCAATCATGCGTTTGTCCCTCCAGGCCTCCTGTGTGATCTGCTGTGGTCAGACCCGGACAAAGACGTGCAGGGCTGGGGGGAAAACGACCGCGGCGTCTCCTTCACATTCGGGGCTGATGTGGTCAGCAAGTTCCTCAACCGTCACGACCTGGACCTGATCTGCAGGGCCCACCAGGTACTAAAAACCCACACAGTCACGCAGCCCTCCTTTACTCAGCAAGTTAAAGAAAAACTCTGTTACTCACAAAAAAAACTGTTTTAATATTTAGTTTTGTTTTCCTTTAAACAGCGAGGGAGTTTCTTCTTCTTTTGTTTTAGTTGTAAAGACAAAACTCAAAGTGGTTTTGAGTTCCTGTTTTTGCCTTAGATAACAATTTCCAAACACCTGACAGTAAAACAGAAAGGATTTCTTGAAAAATGATCTTTTTTCAATTGGTAAAGATCCTTGTTTTGAAAAAAGAAACCATTTTTATCATGAGTTTTGCATGATTTTTCACGTTCAGGGGAGGCAGGGAGTTGCAGGGGGCTTAAAGCTCACCTTAGCTCCATCTCTTTGCCTGTGGTTCGATCCATCCAAGTTCAGTTAATTCAGGGTGCTGATGGCTGAGCAGTCTAAGTGCTCCATGTATAGAGGCTACAGTCTTCATCACAGCAGATTCACGGCCGCGACCCTTTGCTACATGTCCGTAAAAAAAGGCCATAATACGCCAACATACTGAGCTTAGACAAACAAAGTGTTAAAAAGTGTAGTGTTTGTTAACAGTTCCTCTCCAGACATTTAGAGAAACTTGATTTAATAGCAGTAGATAAAAAGGTAGTGTTTCTGCAGAGAGATTTTTCACCTTCAGGCCTTCTGAAAACACCCATGCACCCAAAAGCTGCTGTGTGTGTTTCTAACTGTGTGTGTCTGGCGCCCCCAGGTGGTAGAAGACGGCTATGAGTTCTTTGCCAAGCGGCAGCTGGTGACTCTGTTCTCAGCTCCCAACTACTGCGGAGAGTTTGATAACGCCGGAGGCATGATGAGTGTGGATGAAACCCTGATGTGCTCCTTCCAGGTACGGAATCATCACAGTTCGTAAATCTGCGAACTTGAGGGTTAAATGGTGACGTAGAAGTATTAATTTGAGCTAAAGTTCTTCCTAAGATGTCTGTTTTTGTGCTTGTTTTTAGATCCTGAAGCCATCTGAGAAGAAAGCAAAATACCAGTACGGAGGGATGAACACTGGTCGGCCTGTCACCCCACCTCGCACAGCCCAAACTCCAAAGAAGCGATGAAGACTGACAGAAGGAGGAGGAGGCGCAGAGATCCACAGAGAGAGAGAGAGAGAGAGAGAGAGGGAGTGAGATTTGAAGGGATGATTGTCAGAGGTTGTTGGCTTTTCACTACACAAAATAAGTCTGAGCAACACTTGTCAGAGGAGGAAACAAACACACCTGAACCCGTCAGTTTTCATTTCTTTCTGATCTCCTTCTGAGCGGCTGTCACACTTCTTCCTCCAGGTTTCTTTCTCTGCATCTGTGTAACATTTTTAAAAACAAGTGTTGAAAAAGAAAAATGAAACAGAGGCGTCATTCTGTAGCATATCAGAGTGTTGTTGTTTTTTTTTTTTTGTCTGTCTTTTTTGCCCTTAATTTTCTTGACAACAGAATGACAGCTAGTTTAGTTTACCACATCTCCTTACTCCCCCCCTGCCTGCCTGAACGGGCACAACAGGTATTACTGACGACTGCTGGGTTTTCAATAAATAATACAAGAAATAAATTCTCCTTGGGCTCTGGTCTGTTTGTTTTAGAAACTAAAGAAACAGCTAAACGTCACAGGAGAGTAAGATGTAACCTCTGCTGTAAGTAAAGGATCTATCAGCCAATCTAATCTTCTGGCCTTGTCCGCACGTAGCTGTGTATTTACTAAAACAAATATATGTTTTTATGTTTTGCCCTGCCATCTACACGAAACCGCAGGATTATGTTATTTGAAACGGTGCTTAATTTAAAACTCCGGCCAAAGTGAAGATTTTGGAAAACTCCGGTTTTGTGTTTGCAAGTGGACCATAGACTGTATATACTGTGGACAACTTGGTTCCGACCTCTGCCAGTGTATGGAATTGAAGCCGAAAAGCTCTTTGTATATCTGTGACTTTTCTTCATTTCCTGAAACCGAAATTGCGCGGTAGGGTTGTACGCACTTAACCATTGCACGGTAGGATTGTAAGCATTCGTGGGGAGGGTCGCTGTGATGACGCTCAGCTAAAACAGTGAATCCCACAGGTGAGCTACGCAATCTTCGTACGCCCATAGGCTGTATCAAGTGTCAATCATAGAAAACATGAACCCTCTAATAACTTTGAAAAACGGTGAGCACAAATGACGTGAGCACAAACCAGTCTTACAGTTACTACATATCAACATCGCAACCAGGGGGGAGACAAATTAATATTCTGTGTAATAAATTTCTGAAGTTTGTCCACAGCTCCATAGAGATGGCACCAGGGTGTGCTGTTCTCGGAGTGGCGTCACACAGCGAGAAGGCAGACGGCATCTTTCTATATACAGTCTATGGGACGGCACAGATATACACAGTATCAATGTTTTTGTGAGGAACAAAGGAGAGGGAGTGTTTTGCAGTTGGTTCTTCTACACCAAATAACCCTTCCGCCATCTTTCTTGTGTCTTGTTGACTTTATACTCCAAAATGATGCTTAAAAGCAATTGCACCTCATTGTCGGTCCACGCGGATAAACTACACGGAACTATGTTTCGCGTTTGGAGAAGTGACGACGAGAAAGGGAAGCTTGCTCTAAGTGGAGAGAATGGGTCTAACTTTCTGGCAAATACAACCAACTCCTGGTCTGGTATGCTCATAACCACGGTCAGTAACACATTTATGCGGTGTTCTGTGGATGGGATTTTATTTGAAAACGATGTGTGAGGGTGACTTTTTTTTTTCTTTTCTTTCTTTTAAACTGAGGGGGTTGGATATTTGTTTATGAAAAAAAAAGGCTGTGTGTACAAGACCAAAGTCTTTCAACCCATTGATCTATTCAGGTGTGAGGATATACAAGAATAGGAAATGGTAAGGAGAACAAGCCAAACTGAATCACCTCCTCTGACTTGATTGTGATACAACTAAGGTGTGTGGCAATCAGACGGAGGAGGGCGCAGAGACCAGGCACCTGGCTCAGGCAACATGTGCAGGTGTTCAGAGTTAATGAGCTGATTGGAGCTCTTCTTAGGACAAAGAACTGACAAGAATCTGGACTTTTACTTCATATTCTGATGGTCTGAGACAGTGGATTTTGGTGAGTTGTTTAAGATTCCAACAAGAAAGTCCTGAAACATTTCACCTAGTGTGTGATGACCCTAGAGCAGTGGTTCTCAAATCCAGTCCTCAAGGCCCACTGTCCTGCATGTTTTGGATGTTTCCCTGCTCCAACACACATGATTCAAATGATCAGCTCGTTATCAAGCCATTACAGAGCTTGATAAAGAGCTGATCATTTGAATCAGGTGTGTTGGAGCAGGGAAACATCCAAAACATGCAGGACAGTGGGCCTCGAGGACTGGACCTGAGAACCCTTGCCCTAGAAGGTATTAAATGCTGATTAACAAAAATCTCAAGACACAAACACAAGTAGGACAATGGAAAAACGACCCCAGACATTGCCCATTACAACTATGCATTTATTGACAGGTCTACAAAGATACATTGTTCACATGCACAGGCATAAATTCCCTTTACTGAAGCTCAGACATGGTCCTGTGGTCTCTACTCAACTGATGATTGATTCCTCTGTGTTTGTCTGTAATGTTGGAGGATCTCCTGCGAAGACAATCAGCAACACGAGCGTAGACTAATCATTACAGGTGATTAAACTGTCAATTCCTGCGCTTATCACCTGAAGACAGCCTGTAAAATACTCCTGTTATCTTTAATGTTTAGAAGCAGAGAGTTGATGTTAGGAAATAATGTCCGGTTTGGAGTCTTCCTCAAGCGTTAAATCACTGTGAAATAACTTTAAATCCTGCAGGAAATATAAAGCTGAGTGTAAAAGCACCACATTTCCCACTTAGAGGGTATTTTATGTTAATGCAGTGTGTATTACACAGAATGTATTGTTCCCACCAGACTGGTTTTCTAGCTTTACAGACAGGAACCCCACTGATGATTTTTTTTTTTCTGAAGATTAGGACCCCAGAAACATCTTAAAGCCACGTTCCTTGAATCCACCAAACTCCATTGATAAAAACAGCCATTTTAATGAGCAGAATAGTGGAGTTTCAGGCTTACTGCTGCGCGACTTAGTTCACATTCTGGTTGAAACTGTGCAGCACAGATATTTGGTGTAAGCTGAATCAGCTGTTTTAAACCCAGTTATTTAAAGATGCAAACCAACCCATCATAGCATCTGTAATTTAATCACTATCATGGCCTTAGAGTTAAAATCACTGTTTTGTCAATGGGATCTGGTGGATTCGGAGACATAAATGCTGCAGCTGTTTCCAGGTAAGTTAACGGAAATCAGAGCTCTCTCTGTACTGACACTTACTCCCACACATGCAGTGTTGAGATTAGACTGAAAATAAAAATCTCACTGCAGGTAAATGCAGCAGCCACACCTTGAAAGTAACTACAAACAAACTCAACTCATGTCACTCCCTCCATCAGGATCAGCCCTTATTTGATTTGAAACAGCAGCAATCACAAAAACGACTAATTTCATGACAAACTCTCAGATGGCACAAATTAAAGGCCTGAAGAGCATGTGAGCAAAGAAAATAAAAACATGTGTCAGTCAAGAGATTCTTATCACTGGGCTAAAACTCCTACATCAACCTAAAGCGGGAAGTTAATTCCTACACATATTATTTATGCATAACTTTGAAAACAACTCAAAGAAACTTTAATATTTGCACTCCACTGAAGCATGGCACAAAAAATACAGAAGATCTCCTTCTCCTCTCCATGCAATACGTAACATAACTCTTTGTCAGCATTTTATCAATATCAATACCATAATAACTCAAATATCCTTATCTGACCTGCAGGGGGCACCTTACAAAGGGTACCGTAATCTTGCTGGAATGAAACTCATGCCCGTCGTCAATTATAATAATAAAAAAAAACATGGAAGTGAGGCAACAAAAATGGAGGAACAGCTTCTTGATCAGTCGAGTGTTTGTAAATTATTCTTTAAATGGTTAAATGGGTCTTTGTCATCATGAGTGCAGTCTCTAATATTTCCTACATCTGTTCTGAGTTTAAATCTCTTACCACGAGGTAATGTCAGGTTATATTTGTGACACTCCCCTGATCTTGGTCATGTTTGAGGTTTCTCCTGCAACAGTACAGCCATTTGACCAGCAGAGGGCAGCAGCAGCCTTCATGTTGGGAAAACAGGACTCAAGTTGTGGTGGTGTTAAGACAAAATGCCCTATGTAGACCCTCTGGAAACATAAATATTGGGACCTACAGACAAAAACCTCTAAATGTGTCTCTTTTAACTTGTCTGGCATCTCTTTGTCATCATTTTGCATCAGTTTCTGGTCCTTATGAGTGTTTTCTCTGCTCTCTCTACACTTGGCCTGCTGCTGGCTCTAATTTAGCCCGTTCATTAATCCATCCATGCCTCCATCCATGCCCTTTACACTCATTAATTTGTCATTTACTGCCGTAAAAGTACAAAGAAGTTTCTGTTTGTTCTACTTATGTAACACAGAGCTTTTCTGTTAGAAAATACAGAATAAAGACTAACAAAAAACTAAGAGTAGATCCACTGGAATTATTCAAGTCATCAAATAAAAAACTCAAAAACCAAACAAAGGTTACAAACACAACCTTCTACCTTAAACTTTTTTATATATTTATATATAATTGCAGTATATGAAAATGAAATATTTCAGTCTATTCCAGGTTTCCCTTTTCCTATACAGCAAGAAGAAGAAATCTGGTCTATAAATTTAACATAAATAATCCTAAAAATACCAAAATAAAAGGTCCAAAAAAACAAACAAAACAATCCTATATGAGGGGGACTCTTCTTCATCTGTTTCTCCAGGTCAGCAGCAGGTCACATGACCATCTCGGGTTATATACAATATCCTGTCAGTCCATTATGACTAGCAACCGTCACTGGTTGTTGCCGCTGTTTCACACAACACCTGATTGATGAATGGAGAAAACGAGGAGAGGTTTCACCCATCATGTTTCCTCCCTCAGGCGAGTGTGTGACGACTCTACAGTGTCTACGCAGGGATGGGCGAGTGTGTGAGGGACTAAACCAGAGCTCTGAGAGGGAAGGACACTGCAGCTCCGATAGACAGACCCAGAGCTAAGAAGAAAGTCATCAAGGCTCCTGCAGTCTCTGCGTCTTTGGGATGCACCAACCTGGTGAAGGAGGACAAAGTCAGACGTGTCGGGAGAGGATCAAGAGCTGGACTGGCACTTTTTAAAAATTGCAAGGGAATAATTTTAGAGTGTAAAACATCTAAAAATAAAGCTCAAGTCTAAAAATAGATATACTCAGTTTTTTGGTGTCTTTCAGTGTGAAAAAATTTATTCTGGAAGGACATGATACTTCCACTTGATGGTAAAATCAGAAGTGAATGAAGACATGCTGCACTGTTGCGTAAATTATGATTTATCCATCACTTTATGCAACACTCTCACAGTGCTGATCTGAGGTAAAGGCTGTGATGGCACGACATCAGTCTACTGGCACACAGCAGAACTCCACAACACTAAGTCTTCCTGAGTGGGTCAGCATTTTACTGTTCTTGATCTGATACGTGAAAATGTACCAACAAGTTACCTAACAATAATTAAAGTAATTGCCAGGACTCAAATTCACAAAAATTGCTGATTCATTACGTTGTCGCTGAGCCGTGTTGTGTTTGTGATCGAGCTGGAACAAGGTGCGACTCTGGACACACCTCAGGCCACTCAAGGCTTACGTTATGCAATCTTCATTCTTTAAAATCACTGTTAATATGTAGTTAGAGGGATTCAAATCCCTTTAGTTTAATTGAGATTGGCTTCAGGTTGTGCTGATAAGGCTTTCAAGGACTTATGAGCTCCATTCAGGTGAGACTCATACCAGTAATCTATGCTGTGGTGCTGTTTTTGAGTTTAAATATAGCGGCTAAAGTTTGAGTAGATTTTCTTTGTCTAAGCAGTAACACCGTACACTTCAACTAACTTGTACCGGTTTCCATTAATCTGCCAAAACCTTCAAACTGCTTCTTTTGTCCAACTAGGAGTCCAAAACCGGAATTTCAAATTAGGTTTTCATTCATAAATAACAATAAGAAGAAAGAAATCCTCTTTTAATCAGCTAATCTTGGAAAATGATTCAAACGGAGAAAATCTGTGTAAAAATATGTCATTAAATCCTGGTTTTTGTCCATAGTTTTCACAGTCTTGACCTCTTTTATACTCACTGTGGAGCGTAGGACATGGAGAGGCAGACAAAGTAGCCGCTGGACAGGGAGAAGAGACACATGAGGATGGTGAACGCGACATCGTGGGGGAAGTAGATGGGCAGGTATTTGCGTTTCTGGACGTTACAGAGCATGAGCAGAGGGATGAACACCACCCGGGCGATGACAAACGCCGGGAACAGACGGGAGTCTTTCTTAGGCTGCAAAAAAAGAGAAGGGAAGATGTATTAAAAAACCGCAGCATTGTCATATTGTGGATTAGTGCAGCAGGCTTAAATCAGTATTTTCACATAAACATTGTTTTATTTTTAACCAAAGCAAATACGCTCAGTGTTTGAAGGTTAGGCTTGGGCTTCAAATCGACCTTAAAAAAAAAAAAAGATCTGATCTGTATGAAATTGTCGCCTCGGTTGAAGTCCAGTAGTTCTGTCAAAACCATAACTACTGATCTGAATCAAATTTAAAGGCTTGATTAAAAACGTACCCAGTGTATCCATGTGGTGACGGTCCGACCCAGCCAGTCGTTGATGTTGAAAATCAAGAAGCAGCACGTGGAGATGAAGAAACGCTCTGAGGAGGAAACAATCAGATTCGATTCATCAGCTATATTAAAGTTTTATTGAAGAGACCCTGTTGACCTTTAAGTGTTTTTCAGTGTTTGTGTGTGTGTGTGCGTGCGTGTTGAAGGTCGGTCATACCCCATCTGGTGTTTGGGAAATATGTTTTGACATCTGCAGTGATAGCCGGGAAGACGGACAGAGTGACAGTGAACACAAACGTCACGCAGAACGCCATCACCCAGATCTGCAAATCAGAGAGGAATAAAACAAACATAATTTTCCAACATTTAACTTGAATTTATTTATAATATTTATGAAAAAACAGAGCTGTGGCCTCACCTTTTTGAAGACCTCCTTGACCGAAGCTTTGGCTTGTCCCTTGTCGTCCTGCTCCACAGGCAGGATGGTTTGTTTGGTGACGTCTGACTCTGACTCGACCTCGTCTACACTGCAGGCAGCGGCGCCGTTAGCATGGCCGTTCAGCTTTCCGTTCTCTGTCGTGCCGCCTTCTGCAGATAAATATATGACTTATATTTAAAAAGGAGAGTTAAAATGATGCTAAACTCTTACCCTTAAATCTGTGATGGTTTGACTTGCAGAAATGGGCAGAATTAAAAATGCTTTCGCACAATCCAACAATAGATGTGAAGCTGTGTGATCATCATAGCTCTGGCTGTAAAAGCTGCAACTTCAGGAAATTTAGGAGAAGTTAGCGTCTAAATTTTCTCCACCTGTCACCCTGAACTTTACTTGTACCTTGTGTGTTATTCTGGTTGAGATACAAGACTTCTTTCTCATAAAAATTACAACAAATTATAACCAAGTGTTTACCAGCTGGAAAAAAAAAAACGGATAAATAATTCATGTTTAATGCACTCAGCTGTGCAATAAGCAGCATGTCGCTTAAAGAGCAGCATCAGCATGCATGAATGTGAAAATTGTAACCGAGGCAGAACAGACACATGCTTGTGCACATGGAGGGATCTGAGTGGGAGGTTTTGGGTCAGTAGGGGGGAGACGTGGGAGCTTTGAATGTATTTAAATCTGATTATTTTGTTTTTAAATGTGAATTACTGTTCTTTATTTATTATTTCATATTCTTTTCTTTTTATTCCTTAAATGTTTCTTACCTTGGTTATATCTTACTACGGTTTCAGTTCCTGGAAAATTAAGTAAAAAAAAAAAAAAAAATTAACAAAAAATAAATGAAACAGATGCAGACAGACATAGTTTAGAGTCTTCTTCAGCTTTGGTTTAAATAAATACTTATTTTCAAACTTCTCAAGTCAGTTAGATTTGATGCATGATTTCGAGCAATAGAGCGAAATGTGTGATTTGACGGTCTTTGTAGCATTCAGAGAGTTGTGTGTGTCTGTGTGGGTCTCTGTGAGAGTAACAGACTATGTCTTTGTCCCGGCCCTGTCAGGACTCTAATGGGATAAATGGAAGGGTCAACTCACTTAACAAGATAATGTTCCACTGAATTGATTTAATTGAAGCAGATTTGGGGGGGGTGGGGGGTGGACAAACAGAGACAAACCAAATAAATTCACTTGCAGTGGAGTCAAAGATTCATGATTTAAACTCGGATTATTATTAAAGGGACGTTGTAAATCAAAAGGGCGTCTGCACATCTACTACTGTAAACAATGTATCTGCACAATAACATCCACCTCCCTGTGAAGTATGTTTTAAAATAGACTGAGCTCTGCATTTACACTTTTTATCTTAAGGACATGTTTAACTGACAGTAAAATTTATTTTTAAAACTGCCACATTTGAGTTTACTTTAATGTTTTGGTTTTACAAGGTCTAATATTCGTTATAAACTTTTGAGTTCAAAGGTTTTACATTTATTATTTAAATTTTCCTAAAATGTTTTACTACGAGAGACAATCTGACTTCATTATTTTAATTTTCTAAAGCATTTTGAGGTATGACAGCTATTTGGGCTTAACTGCAGATTTTTTAATTTTAAGCTAGCTCACATTATAGATAAGACTTCTATATTTCAACTTCTCTCATGTATAATTATATTATTACTTACTTAAGCATTTTAAAATTGCACAAGGAATTTTAGCTCTAAGTTTTAGAGTTATTCAAGTTCTTTTAATACATATAGTTTTGATATACCAAGACATTTAATTCATGATATTGAGTTTCTTTTTTTAAGTATGTTACATTTCAGTTATATTTAAGCTCTACATTTAAGGTTAAACTTTGATACAGATCAGCTTTGTAATGTTAACTTTTGATTTATTTCACTTTTTATTTCAAACTCTGTTAAGTACTTTTTATAGTTTTTATATTCATATTTTATATTTTCATGAAGGTTTACTGTAACAATACACCATTTTTAAAACTTTTTCAGTACTGTTAAATTGAACTTCTAGGTTGAAATAATTTCATGTTTTACTGATGAGAGTTTATTCACTGAGTGTTTACTTCTTCGGTATATTGTTTGATCTGATGATCTGCGTCTATAACACCAGCTGAGGATCAATTAAAACCACACATTTCTCTATCTGCCTGTTGCTCTGTGTATTAATATCACTAAAAATACAAAGAGGACTCTTGAATCAGTTCAGTTTGTCAGAGTGGAAAAGTCTCACCTTTCAACAGCCCGTCTGTGGTTTCGGCCTCATACTTGCTGCTTTTGTTCAAATAATACCGAGCAAATTCCTGCGAAAAAGCAGACAAAACTCGTTAGAAAAAAACAAGCTGAGTCAACTCAGAGCAGGAATAAAATCCTCTCGCATGGTATGAAAAGCAAAGTCACGCTGACACTCATGATAAAATCAGGTTGTTCAGCATTCTCAGAGAGCTTTTTTGTTAAGGCTGATGCAAGTTCATTAAACAACCAGCAGCTAATTAGGCAGGTAGTGAGCATGGGGGAACTAAAGGGGTAGAAAGAGAGCTGGTGGTGGTATAAAGCTGTGGGAAGAGTTTTGGTGATGCTATTGAAGGGATATTCCGGCGTGAAATTAATCCAGGGTCAAACACACCGTAAAACTGAGTTAGACACCCCCTCGAGGATGAATGCTGTTGACTGCTTGCTTCTCTAGTTATACCAACTTTAGTAATGACCGCATGATAGCAATACACAGCGGTCTACGTCTCCATGCACATACCTTAACCAAAAAGCCACTTTATAGCCACAAATAATGCTCAGAACAACACCTAACTTCATTAACAGAACTTATAGGGTCCTAGCCATAGTACTAGCCGGCAAACATCTTTTTAGCTTTGCCTGATTTCTTTAACAAAGAGACTAAACACAGCTCAACCACTCTCTTCCAGCAGCCACTTGTTTGTAGCGAGACCTCGGGCCAGTCCATTACGGCCTACAGCGGGGTAACGCAGCTCAAGGAAGAACATTTATGACCATTTCTTTATCATTTTCTTTAAGTAATAATCACCATATTGATCATTTTGCACTGCAGACGCGGTAGTTTTTCTTTTTAGCGTCATTCATTCATTCATTTCCATGAAGAAATGATCATAAATGTTCTTCCTTGAGCTGTGTCACCCCGCAGCAGTCCGTAATGGACTAGCCCGAGGTCTCGCTACAAACAAGCGGCTGCTGGAAGAGAGTGGGTGAGTTGTGTTTAATGTGTTTAACTTTTTTAAACTTTACACTTTACTTCGGTTCCTTTTTTCCCTCTTCTTTTTAAACACATTTTAATAAATTTGCCATGTAGCTGCTTATAAAATAAAGTTTCTTCTTCTTCTTATGAAGTAGTCTGTTTAGCCATGCTGCAGGTGCTTACATCACTACAGGCTTATGAATATAAACTCACCTGGCTGTAGGTATCGCACACTAATCCCATGCTGTCTCCTCCGCTGCCACAATAATAAACTTCTCAACAGTTGTCTCAATACGTTCTAAAATTACCTATTACTTAGACTAGTACATGCTTGACCACCAATCTGCTTTCGTGAAAAGTTGGATCTCGACTGTCTGAGTTTCATGACATCAAACTGGAGTCATGTGCAAACTAAAGTTGGTAACCATCATGCTTGCGGCTAAAGCTAACTCAGTTAACATCATGACAGATCACCACAGTAAAAAACCAACTGCTGCACAGACAACGTTAGGTGTGGAAAAGGCTGAGTCAATGTTTGCACCACAGGCATCTAATTCTCTATACTGGTCCAGCAAGGTAACAAGTCAAAATCTTTGACTGTTGAGGTCTGAGGTCGGCGCTTTTTATGGTGCACTGGAGGCAAAAATGGATACTGACCAGGCGGGGGAGCAGCATGTAGCTGAAGAGTGTCAACAGCGTCCCAACACATGGAGTGATGAAGTAACCCAACGCTGCTGTCTCAGAGTCGGCTTCACCTGAGTGGCAGAAACACGAATGGGGGGTCAATACTACATGCTTTAAAAGGTTTACAACATTACTTATATTTTCTTTAAAAAGGACCAGGATCTTTTTCAACCAGAAGCTTCCAGGTGCAAATAAAAAGAAGAGAGCATGTAGAGATAAGATAAAGCAAAAGAGCGCTTGTGAAGTAAGAAAAGCCCACAAACTGTAAGATTCAAAGTTGTTTTTGCTTGTCTCAAATCAGGTGCACTCTCAGGATCTTGTAATTCAGCTCACACCTCCACACAAAACTAGCAGGACGATGAAGGATTTGCTAACAAGCTGAAGTTGCACTGCTTCTTCCTGCTTGCTGTGTGTCTCTCTCTGCTCTGCCCACTATCACAGCCATCACTGCTTAGTAGTGTTAGGCGGTATGAACAAAATCTTACATCACAGCATAAGTAATTTCATATCACAGTAACTGTATATATCACAGTATGTTATTTTCCCCTGTAAATTCAATTAATGGCTTAAAAATAACCATACTGTCGCATTGGTTCATTTTCCTCTTTTATTTTGAAACTCTGATTTGTAAACAAACGCAAACAAAATGCCAGACCATTCTGACGACTTTTTTTATCATATGGCGTACCTTTGGCGAATGACTCTGCCAAGCCCTTTTGTATGAAAGGAGCTGCTGCAACTTTAGTTTTGGTGCAGCGGGTGCACCACGCATCTTTTGGCTCTCATAATAGAGCTTGGCGCGTTTCACCTTTAGGTGGTGGAAGAGGTTGCAACGACAGCCACGCAACACTTTTATCCCGTCACACAGTATATACTATCATACCGCCCAACATTAGTTGCAGACAGCCAGAGAGGAGAGAGACAACAACATCACCTGGTCCAGTCACTCTTTCTGTCCCATCTCTGTGTGCAGGTTGGAAACCAAATAACTGATGAAACTTTTTTTTTGCACCCAGAAGTTCAGGTATCGATGTGTACTGATATTTTCTCTTTCCAAACGCTCGTATCATGTCAACCCTGCAGAACACACCGTTCACACGGACACAATGTGAGCTGTGTGTGCTTGAAAAGAGCAGAGAGAAATGTGTGGTGGGCGGTGTCACGCCGATTTGACTAGCTTTGCTCAACATTCAATTTGAATGTCCTCTGTTACTAGGCAACAAGGGATTAGGCCTCCAGCGGTGATGTGTGCAAGAATGTGTGTGTGTGTGTGTGTGTGTGTGTGTGTGTCGGTCTTACTGCCTAAGGCTATCAGCATGGCAATGGCGGCAAAGGTCCCAGCAAGGCCCTGTCCGCTCATGAAGATGGCGCTGTACTTCTGGGGCAGCAGACCCACCAGGCCGAACAGACTGCCCTGCAGCACCGCGCCGAACGCTGCGGCGAAAACAAGACGTTATAACACAGCTGTCAGCCTCTTTTTTCCTTTTGGGTTACACTCAAACACAAAGAGACTTACAGTTGATGAACCAGATTGTAGCCATGGTGACGGAGAAGAAGCTGTCTTCCTCCATGGGCACTTTGACGAGAACCGCTGTGAAGATGAAGAGCAGCAGGATACAAACCAGACTTCCTCCGATACGAATGGCCTCTGATATCCTGCGAAAAAACACACACATCATCCTATCACATCAACTCTCTTTTTAACTGTAAAATAAATCAGAGAGGATGTAAGAGGCAGACAGAGCTCCCATCTTCACAACCCTGATTCACGTCTTGAATGTGAAACTTAAAATTTGCACATTCAGAACAGAAATACAGGTAGTCATGTTGAGGGCCTGCTCGTAGTATTATGACCTTCTCTCTAGGCAGTACCAGGAGTTACACTTTCACTAACAACGACCACAGAGATTCACAGCGCTGTCACTCAGCATGTGATCAGTTTATTTATTATTCAAGTTGAAAAAGTCTTTCGAATGGTTTGAATGTTTGTGTTTTTTAGAGGGAATATTCAAACTTCCTTCCAGGAGGCGCATCAAGACTGCCCAACCTCCCTCTGGCACTTGTTTTTGAGTTCTTTGAATGACGATGACGTCTTCAACAGGTTTCAATTATGTGTCAACATTACGGTAACACATCCCACCTACATTCCACACCTCCAGTGTTGCACAGACCCGCCCTGCTCTGCCTGGACAGTGACAGTGGTTCTGTTGGAACTCCACTGCATCAACAACAAATCTCAACATGACCTATTATTTTTAATCTTAGCTTCCCTGCAGAGAGCTGGAATACTCTGAGGCTCTGCATTTATCAAACGTCTTCTCCAGTGCCACTGTTTCATCATGACATGGTGAATTTTCACTTTAATTTCACTTCCACAGAGCAAACACCTGAGGTCGAATCAGAATCTCTGACGGGAACAATGTGGAGAAACAGGAAGCAATATTTTATCTTGATTGTTTGAGAGCGGTTATGCTCAAAATAACAAAGAGAGTCACATTTCCTGGAGTTCTGTGGTAAGCAGGTCAAGAAAAATTCACATTTTGGATAACTGGCTGGAATAATTCAACTTTTATTCCTCATCAAAAATGACTGCTACATCACCCGCTGTCCAAACGGCATCCCTCGACCTTTAACCCGAACTCTTTATCTGATTGGCTGCTGACCTTTGGTAGAGGAAGGAGTTGAGCAGTGTGAAGAGCAGCAGGGGCAGCTGGGACAGCAGGGTCATCCAGTTGTTGAAGTAGTAGTCCTTTGAGACCACCACTGTGCCGTTGCTCCATTCTGTCGTGTTCAGGCGGCCTTGGAAATACTGCGAAGCAAAATAGCGTCTTTGAACACATCAGGAATTAAATGAGCTGAATACATGTGGAGACCAGCCTCTCTGAAATCTAACCCTTCCACAAACAATCTTCTTTTCATTTCTGTGGAATAATTTGAAAAATGTCGCTTTTGCTTGGAAATGATTGCAAAAAAAAATGTTAATCTTGCAGCTGTGTAAAAATGAACTCTGTACCTGCATGTGATCTAACAGTCTGAGACGAATGAAAAACATATTTCACAATACTACATTAATGCGGATCATATTTGGTTTGCTGCTCTGGCACCAACACTTCCTTTCATGGTTCACGGCTCAAAATAACCAACTGAGGCGCTGAGGCAAAGCGCTCATGAGGCGCTGCAGATGCAGGTAACATGCATGAGGAAAAATTCACCTCTGACACGTGGACATATTGTTTATCCGCACAGGGATTCACATGGTTATCCAAAGTCATATGACGGACCGTGTGGATTTAAAAGTCTGCCTTGGGGTCATGATCTTTAAAACTCCGACTACATACCATGGGTTTTTCCACAAATATGTGCTTGGAGGTCATAAACAGCTTACTATCTTTAAGACTTATATTATCCAGCCAGCATGTGACCCTATAAGAAGTGTAAGTAGTGAACTGCTGGAATAAGAAACACCTCTGACCAGGACTGAAAGGAAAGCACTACTACTACTACTACTACTACTACTACTACTGCTAAGGCAGCTTTTAGAGTATGTGGGCCCCCTGTTTCAGGAGAAGTTATACTTTTAGGGCTCACTTTCTACTCCTGAGCCTGTCCATCTGATCCTGGTGAGTCTCAGTTTCACAGTAAAAAATTAAGTTTACCCTTACTTACTTCAGCTCTATGACCCACTCAAAAATGCACTCATTTGCTTGACTAAGCTATCAGCATCCATAATTTGATCTCAGGTTTAAAGACCCAACCTGATGAAAATCATGTTTTTCTTGTTGTCTACATGTTCATATGATATTTTTCTGATGCGACAGAACATACCGTGAGAAAAGTCAAATTGCATTTCTGACTATTTGTGAATCTCTGACAGACCCAAACAGCAGGTTCAGACACAGTGAGATTTCGTATGTCACAAATCCAAGCTCCGCCCCCTATGTTACCTGCTACTCTTACACCATGTTAGGCTGCAAAGCTAGTGTTAAGAGGAGTGTGCAAAGCAGTGCTGTCTCCACCCACAACTCAGAGGAGAATTGCTAATGAGCTACTGGAGCTCTGCAGAAAAGCCCTTGAAAATGACACAGGTAACGTGATTTTGGCTAAAACCTTCATAATTACAATTTTAAGACCACTGAGAACACTTTAAGTAGTAAAAAAATGTTTTAAAAAAACGATCGGAGTGTGACTTTAAATCAATTGCAAAGCTTAATTTGCTCTTCAAGAGATATCCAATAATTCTAGGCTTATTTTCCTGCAGGAGCGCCCATTTGTCTCATTCTGGTGAGTCTCAGTTTCACCGTAAACAGTAAGTTATACAGTACATTTACATGCACAGTTAAGTCAAGTTATGGTTAATTGAGTTTAGCTAACTGGACTACCCTCCTCGTCCACAAACACCATAAAATTTACTGACAAAGTCTATCTGCCTCTGCTGTACCAGAATGCTTCTGCCAGTTTTGGGCGGATAAGGACACATCAACAGTCAGATCTGCTGCTCTTAAAGGGGTTAAATAACAACAATGAGCTTACCAATGATGCCGTCATGAAGAAGTTCCATGGTAGCAGAGTTCCCAGGCCCAGAATGAAGAAACTGACCCCCACCATGCAGCCCCTATGGATGGTAAATAAAGGGTGTTATTTGAAATGGGATTTACTTAATCAAACAGACTCTGCCAAGCTGTATTAAACCATACTTTTCCTTAATACCACTAGCATTAGGTGTCTGCAACTCTGCATGGACCGATTATGGATTACTACTTTAACAGAACAACGTCAAGGGATTTTTAAACTTTACTTTTTAAATTAAAAACTTTTCAGCAGCTCTTCAACAATCATCCAAGATGACAAAGAGCCTGATCTGCTTTATCTTTGCTAATAGAAACTCAAAAACCACACAGGACATGTGGTCGAGAGCTGCATAATCGGAGGATGTTTGGTCGAGAGCAAACGGAGAGAAGTGAAAGTTTCATTCTAGCTCCTGATTTGGTACTCACCGATCCAGCGGAGCATCTCTTCGTTCCTTCATCCTGTCGGGGGAAGATCTGTTGAAACTGGAAATGCAGCAGGAGAGAAGAAAGGTCAGCCTCTAACATGACATGAGAGTGTCGTCTCTGCACTGATGAGATGTAGACTCATGATTAATTTTGAACAACAGGCCCTGAGAAGCTGGATGAAGTCAGCCCACAGGCATGTTACAATAAAGACAGAGAGTCTCATGAGTCTGGGACTCCAGGAAGTCAGATAAGTTCTCTGATCCCGGACGTGAGGTTACTTTGATTTAAGGAAAATCTCTAAAAGCTTGAAGTTAATGAAATTTGCCAGCTGCAAACCTTTGTGTATCTTTTAACTAAAGAGTTCAAACGAGGGTGCAAGAAAATCAACATTCACAAGACTGTGGAGGAGAAAACTTTTAAGAGTTAAGTCAAGCTGTCCTTGAGATAAAACAACATTTTATACGGGTCAAATCCAAGATGTCAAAAAATTAAGTCTTTTCTCAAAATAAACAGCGTTAGTTCCTTGGCTGCTGATTTATAACTTTTTTTGTTTTTATCTGATTTTAAAAAATAGCAGAAGGGTCCATTCTTTGTTTTATTAAGCTGAGGTGGACTATGATAAATCCAGTCCAAAATGGATATGCTGTGTGTAAACATCACTCAAGGCAGCTTTTTTAACCTGGCGGTCAATCTTTTGACTTGACAATGACCAAAACTGAAGTGAAATCAACAAACTGAAAACATTAGCTTCATAGAAAAGAAGTGAAAGGAAGCACAATTAGAAGTTAGAAAACAGTAAAAAGTGATTCACTTAATTATATGTATATTTTCTCTGCTTTCATTGGCCTGAACCACTGACAGCAGAGGGCGGGAAAAAGCCAAGGCAGGAAGTGAAACCAGTGATAGCTGCAGGTACACAGGGCATGAATTTTAACCACAGGGCCAACCAACGACATCGTTCGCTTGTCTCAGTCACGAAACTCTGTGGCACAGTGTGTTTATACATTGATGGCGGGTTTTTTTTTTGTTTGTTTTTTTTCACTGTTTTGGAGAAGTTTCAGATTGGCATGAAGCAAAACGTCACGGCCGGGAGTCGAACCAGTGAGTGCTGTTTTTGCCTCTGGGACTACAGCCCTCTAAAATGGGGTGCAGGCTGAAACCTCTGCACCAACAGTCCCTTATTTTCTGTTCAAACTATGTTCAAAATATTTCTTGCTGAGTTTGTAATCATGGTTAAAAAGCAGCTAAAGAGGCTTTTGAAGAATAAAATATGAAAGTAGGTGAAATTAACAACTTTAGAGAACAAAAAAATCTGCAACACCAATCAGTAAAGAAAAAAAACGTGAGTGTCAGAGTCTGCTGGAGAGTAACTTTATGGTGTGGACACTACCTAACTATCACTACCCTCTGGCTTTTCTTCCTCCCCCTGTTTATTATTCCAACATAAGACCCTGATGCATATTTGTTTGGCTCAGCACCCCTGCTGCTGGGAAACCAAATCTGGTCCTCTATAATGTGTACTTTAGTCAGGAATCTGAGTCCACTCCCTATGTACACACAAACACTGAAAAACACGTTGAAAGGAGAGAAACCTAAAACCACCACCGCAGAGAAAGCACTGACCCGCCTGCCTCAGAGCAGAGCTACTGACTGTAAACAGAGCTGCTGCTTGTTTTGACTTGTTTTGGGGGGCGGGGGGTCAGGTTAGACACACACAGACTGGCTTACATTTAACCTACATTCAGGTGTCTGCACCAGCCTCTAAAATGTCTGTGTCTGCTTGGTGAAAAGATGTGGCTTTTTCTGACTCACTCTTTTTCCATTCATGCCTCATATGCCCTCATCTGTTCGTCAGTGTTTGCACCACTTCCCTAAACTTACAAACCGACACCTCCCTGTTGCTACAGCAAAAACAAAAAACTGCGTCATTACAGCACCAGGCTTAAGGACAGTCTCATCAGTTTAAAATGAAAGCCTGTTTTCACTCTGGTGAGACGGCTGGTTGAACTTTCACTGGCACATCATGCTCCTTCTGCCGTCGGACATGCCTTTCAAAGTAAATCAGCGTAGTCAAAAGTCATTTACAGCCTGACCGGAAAACATGTTTAAAGCAGCAGAGCAGGACTAATGAGATTTAGCTAGTAAATCATGCACAAAGGGAAAGTAATGTGGACATACAGGTCATAAAAATCATTACACACATTATTAAAAAAAACAAACAAAAAAGAACAACACAGAGAGACTAGGAAAGGGAACAGACCTGAATGGTCACTGTGCTTGGCAACAAATCAATCCTAAAAGGCCGCCTGGTGCTTCAAAGCTCTCCTGATATGACTGATCCTCTGATCAGAATGAGAGGAAAACAGCCGGGGGTAATGTGAGGGAGTTAATATCACACTGTCTGGTGTCTGTGCCATCTGTGTGAGGACAAAACACGCTAACAGAGCTCCAATAGTGATGACCGATAGGTGGCCACTCACAGGAAACAATCAGCTTATTCGGACTAAGTTCATAATTTGTTTTTTTTCCCCGCCGAATCAGACTTCTCTCCTTGTTCACGTATACATGCAGCCGAGAGTATCAAATTATTGACACAAACGTGTCCTCCTTTCCAAAACTGGGGGGCAATTTGTGTCTTTTTAGCGGCACTGTTTCCGGACCCTTTTTTAAAGATGTCTCCGTTCCTCGTTTTGCAACCATCCATATACTTTAAAATGTCCATTTCTTTCAGGAGGGAAAGCATAACGGCACTCTCCTCATCATTTCAAAAGTGGACATTCTTTCGTGCTTCAGCCATGTTGCAGATGCCACACACCTGATTCAAATGATTGGCTCGTTATTAAGCCATTATAGAGCTTGATAACGAGCTGATTATTTGAATCAGGTGTGTTGGAGCAGGGAAACATCCAAAACATGCAGGACAGTGGGCCTCGAGGACTGGACTTGAGAACCACTGTTCTAAGTCTAAAGTTCTTTAAATGATAGTGCCACTTCTTCTCTGGTGTTTTTGCTCCAGGGTTACGGAGACATGGTGCACACGCACATGCATTGTCCAATCATACTCCGAACAATGCTAAACTCCTATTGGAAATTATAGATGGACTACACTTCAGTTGCCCAGTCTTATTTGGAGTAAGGCAATAATTCGTTTTTATTGAGTGTCTTGTAAACGTACTGACTGATGTCAACATAGCAACCAGGTGTCAGCAGAGGTCAGGCCTCAAAACAGGCCTGGTCAGCTATGTACTCTCACAGAAACGACTCTGCCTGAGGTAATGGATATTCAAGCTGTTTGTAAGGGTGTAGTCTAAGATCAACTCAGCTCATAAAAGGTGATGTAAAGGTTTAAGTTGAGTTTAACTTTACTACTGAAAGACTTACCCAGAAACGGCAAACTGTGGACTCTGCTTTGATTTAATTTTAACTGACACTGAGAGAAAAGCTTGGCAAAACTAACACTGACTGTAAAGTAAGAACAGAGGAACTGCGCCTGTTTCTGCGCAGGAATGCAGAACAGCTTCCTTTGTGCGTGCATTGTTCTGTACAGTTAAATAAAGTAACAACATACGAAAACCCATGTTGTGTGTGTGGGTATTTGTTCTTCTTTCGGCCCCTTCTTTGAAGTGAAAAATGCACAGGTCAGACAGGATAAGTGGCCTCATTGTTTCGTTAAAGAAATCTCCTCAGGCATAGAGACACAAGGTGAGCAAAATGTCTGCATTTAGAGTCCAGACTGAGCACAGAGAGGACATTTTCAGCATAGTCAAAGTCAAAAAAACTCCCACAGCAACCTCCGCATGGAAACAATCTCCCTAACAGGTAATCAAGAGTTTTAGCCTGTGAAGTATTTGCGAGAGCACCACCTTTTTGGAGATAAAACAGACACCAAAACACATCTGACAATGTTCTACACTGGTCCCAGTAAGAGCAAGTCTCTCCTCTCTAAACAGCTAAAGTCCAATCCTGCTCAATCCACACTTTCCTGTATTCACTTTATTTATGGATTATTGGATTTTTAATGGAAGTATTGGAGTGTAAGACTTACTGAAGTTATTACACACTCATGGATTTTGTTTCTCAGTAACAGAAATTAATCTTCTTAATCTATTTTAATCTGATGAAAGAGCTTTAAATCAGCTTTTTTTCTTGGCATTAAATCTGAGTAAAACTTGTCAGCCCATATATTTGCAGGAAAACACATAAAGCATGAAAAATTATTATTTTATTTACACTCCACAGACTTATCCGAAATTTAACTCAATCTTCTTAGGCGGCTTTGATTTATTGAAGTTAACTGTGAATGGACCCGCACCAAAAATGTCATTACAAAGCTCTGGATTTCAGTAAATGGCTTTCATTTCTTCTAATTACAAATCCCAAGACGTTTTGACACCGCATCAAATAGGCTTGGATGGTGTTCAAATCATTTAGACGTTTTCTGGGGATCAGATAGTGAAGTGTCATCCTACTTTTGCTGCATAAAGGATTTCAGCTGCTCAACAGTTCAGGATCTCCTTCATCCACAAAATATTTTCAATGGGTGACCAGTAACCACCACAAATACGCCAGTTTGGTCTTTCCTGAAAAAGGCACTGTCAAGATGGTAGCAGATGTTGATCCAAAACCTGTAGATATTGTTCAACATTAATGCAGCCTCTTCATACAAGTAATTAAATGCTGTCATAGTCTATATAACAGACACTGGCTTTAGTACTGAGCTGATGACAAGCTAAGCGGTCCTTCTCATCTATATGGTGGAGGACGCTGGGGGTGGGAATCACTAGGGGCCCCACGATACGATATTATCACGATACTTGAGCCACGATACGATATTTTTGCAATTATTAACATACTTTCACCATAACTTTCTTCTGCTCTATGATGTCACCTAACTGGACAATCAGTTGATTTTATTTTACAGTTATCACAGATTTGACTTCATATTAGCAATTAATTTGAAAAAAATCGATACTTGGTAAATGAGATGATATGATATATCACCAGACAAAATATCACGATACTCTGCTCTATCGATTTTTTTCTCCCACCCTTAGAGGACACAGTGTTCATGGTTCCAAAACCACCCATCATATTGTGATTTGACAACAGGAGAGGTTTTTATTTTGAGCCCATGCAGTGACTTCTACTGCAGAGTCAAGTCTGCTTTTTATGCAGTGCTACTTGGAGACCTGAAGTTCAGGACCATCCAGTCTTGGTTTTGGTCCTCATATAAAAAAGTCTCCAGGATCTCTGAAACTTTTAATGATCATTTGTGCTGAAGACAATGAAATCCACTAAGTCTTTGCAACTTTTAGGCAGAGGAACATTATTTCGAAACAGATGAAGTTTGCTTACTCAGAAGTGAACTTCTACCTAGTCGTACTCTATCATGTTGCTAACCCTGTTGTATATTAACCCCCTTAGTTGGCAGGTGTTTTGAAACTTTATACAACTTTCTCAGTTTTTTCTTTTTTTTGTTAATGTCTCAGTCAACTTCAAATCAGGACATATTTCTCAGTTTCACCATCCACCTGATGTGTTGTCTTGCACCATATGAAAAAGTACATCCTATAAATAAACTGCTGTTCTTTCAACATTTTTACACAGCCTCTCAACCTTTTTGGAATTGGGGTTGTATTTATTGCTAATTGCTTCATGTGCTCTTCGGAGTAGCATTTCCACACCTTTCCTGTTAACACACAAAAGGGTGTTAGATGAACCCTAGAGGACTTCTGACTCACCCTGGCACAGAGGAAGTCAGTCATCCTTACAATAAAGCACACAGACCATGTGCACATGAGAAGCCTGAGGCCACGTAGCTGGTAAAACCAGGAAACAAATACACCTGCAAAAGGACCTGAGGGCTTCCTTTTGTATATCTAACTGCCAGACAGGTTAAGAGGGTGCTGTTGAAACTGATTCTGAAATATCATCCAGCTGACAACATGCAGAAACTTTCTATGTCTAAATAAAGAACAGATAGACAGTCTTTTGTTATTATGGTCATACCAAGATAGACATCTGCATATTAATCAGTTATCAGACATTCTAAGACTTGTATTAGTTACAAGACAATTTGGTGGTCGGTTCTACACAACATCCTAGAAAAGAGGACTACTTTATTCAGCTTCAGTCCAAAACCATATTTCTAGAAATGATACATCTAAATTTAAACAAACATGAAGCAAGTGAGAGAAATAGGAGTTAAATTAAGAGGGTTAAATGAAGAGGTAAACAATGCAACTATTAGTAGAAACACTAAGACTGGTAGTCTCAAGTCTGTATGTGTGTGTGTGTGTGTGTGTGTGTGTGTGTGTGTGTGTGTGTGTGTGTGTGTGTGGTGGGGGGCTCCCAGATAAAGTTAAACTCTACAGATAGACTTATTATCCATTATTCATGCCAGTTATCTGCATTTTCACATTATCAGGATCAGCCCAGTATCACTATTATCTGTTCTCACATTATCAGTATCAGCATCAGCCATTGAAAAACTGATACTGGATGACCACACGCCAAACAAACACCCAATAATGACCAATGACAACAACATTATCACAACACAGCAATTCTGCCAAAAACATGACACTGCTAAACAACCATCTCTGAGTACAAAATAAGGAAAAAAGAAAAAAAACGTGGGTCCTGTCAGAGTATTAAATTGTAACTTGGAGCATCACCCACACAGCAAAACATGAAACAGGCTGACCATACGCATTTAACAAGTGGCAAAAACCCCTATAATAAAGGAGAATTCCGTTAAATAAAGTTGTAACAATTAAGCCAAGGACAATATGTCCCTTTTGGGGTTTTGTCAGACTTGTTCTGTTTTGTAAGTTAGCACAAAACTAATATGAATCCGTGTATTTGAGTCATATTTGGGGGCCTTATTTCATTATAATATGAACTGCATTTGAACCACGTTTTTGACGAAGCCAACAGTAAAGTCTAACGATGACGAGTTGAGAGGCAAAAGAGAGTAAAGAATGTGGAGCTTTTTTTCTAACATCGTTACTTAGTCAATAGAGAAATAAACATGACTTTTTCAAAATGAAAAAAAAAAAAAAAATAAACACGATGTCACCCATGTGGAGCATCTCTGCCATCACTGAACATCACCTCAGTACAAGCTAGCACGACACAAGCACTCACCGTGGAGAAGAATGGTCCTGTCACTGTGTTTTCATAATGTTCCCTCCGTTGATTCGGCCAGTTGGCAGGTTAAAAAATTGGCTGGGCGAATACATGAGATTCCTGGTACAAATACGAAATATATCCGTCCTCCATACACGTGGATGTAATGAACAAATGGCCACGGTAGATAATAAACCGATAGTTGAGCTTAAACGCGAGGAGAAGCAGCTTCCGGTCCCGCCTCGTCTCTATTTCTTCTTCGCGGGTTTTTTTTTGGCGCACAGACAGGTAGCCAAAACAATCACAACACCCCTCCTCTTATTACGTCCATACGCGCCGTAATTTAACGTTTTTAAACAGGTTTTGTATATCAGGATTTTCTGATGGACATTCAGACTTGGTAAGACATATTTTGGTTGAGTAGCGCCTGATTTAATGCAGAACAAGGGGAGATGCTGTACTATCAGCTGTTAAAACACTATCTGTTTACATGAATAATGCAATCAAATAAATTCAGAAGAAAATATCAGACATAGCTTACTCTGAAATCTACAGCAAGCCCCCGTGTAATAGCTTTAATAAATAAATAAATAATCAATTGAAAACACGTTACAAGCCAATCACGTCGAGCTCTAATGACTTGCACGGGATAAAAGAATTTTGTGATTATTTGTTTTTGTTGTTTCCTATTTTAATCTTTACAAAAGGATTGACAAAAATCTGGAGGTCCCTCGTGGTCATATTTAACTGAGTCAGATATTCTGCTGTCTACATTTGCGCAATAAAATGTTCATTTAAATGTGGCATTTTTTTCTGTTATCATTATTTATTGTATTTTTGAGGATGCAATTCGGAATTTCATACCGATCACTCTCTAAGTGTCAATATCATCGCTGTAACTCCCACTGGTTGTAAAAATTGTCAGAACTGATTTGCCATCTTGTAAGATGAGCCATTATCAATACGAGAAGTGAAAGCTTCTTAAAACCCCCATACAAACAGCAAGAGTAGGCTAGTAGGCGAATGACTGAGAGCAGATAATGATCAACCAGTGGAACAGAAAACTGACAGCTGTAATATTATAAATAGGCCTAGCAGTAATATTTTCTCACCACCAGAACTCAGTAAGGGAATCAGAGGGAATTAACTTTAGTGCCTTAATGGATGTGTTTGTCCTTAAAGCATGATAAAAGGCCCTCTCAGTGGAAATCACATGAAAAAATGCTTTAGCACATGACCTTTCAGTGTATAAAATCTAAAGTGCCCTTTAAAACTAAAACAAAGGGCCTTCTGGATGGCCTCTAAGTGTTGAAAACATTGAAAAGTGCTCTTTGGAAGTCCCTTTAAAGCATAAAAGGCAAGTAAGTGCCCAGTTAATAACTTTGGCCTGTACAAACCCCAAATGAAGTTCAGACAATAAACTCCACTGGATCAGACTCTTTGACCTGGCTCAATTTTGAACAACGCCTCAGTCGTGCAAATCTAAATATTTAAAAGTTTGTGTTTTTGGATGAATAACTGGTTCATTTGGCCTTAATATTTTAATCAGCTCCATTAAGCGACAAATAACCCCTCGATCTCCCCTTAAGGTTTGCCAAAGGTCTGAGAGAAAAACTTTAATATGTGGAAATGCATTATGATCCATACTTAGTCAGAATGTGTATAAATAACATTTCACATAGTTTTGGCAATCAGTTTGTTACTAACGAAATCCAAGTCATTATATTAGGTTATTTGTCAAACATGAAGTATTAATGTCCCCAGTAAAGGTAGGCTTAAAGTGTTTCTCTTTGATAAAGCTTGTAGTTACACCTGGTTCAGGTCTGGACCAGCTCTCAGTTGTGCTGCTGTAGGTGTAGACTGCTGTGGACGAGGACATTACGCACCTCTCCCTCCTTCTCCATCCTCTTAACTTTGAATCATCATGTCCTATTAGAGTCACTAATACAGCCTTTTCTGAAAGTCCCTGAGCTTCATCATGCTTTAGGTTCCTCTGGATTACTGCTGCAGATGTTTAGCGGCCGTGGAACTGCCTGCTTTCCAGCTGCTTCAACTACATGCATCTCTCTCTCTCTCTCTGTTTGCCCTATCTAAACCCAGCTCAGTCTTAGCAGATGACTGTCCAACATGAGTCTGGTTCTGCTCAAGGTTTCTGCCTGTTGAAGGAAGTTCTTCCTCTCCACTGTAACTTGATAAATGCTGCAAAGTGTTTCATTTAAGATGGGATGGGAGTGGGTCTGATCTTAAGCAGCATAAGGCTCAATCGTAACCCATACACTAGCTCAGCACCCTTCCCAGATGGAACAATAAAATATCAGGCATGAATAAAAAACTCCACAAAAAGTACTGGTCAGGGCAGGGAAACCTTCCTCACAGAGCTTCTGCCACTGATTACTGGTACAGTGTGCCCTCTGGTGGCAGGGCCATGAACGGAACCCATCAATATCATACACTCATAACTAAATATCTTTTCCCTCTTTTTTTTTTTAAATCTTATGTATATTGCAACATAAAAATCTTACATGTTTTACGGTCTCAATCTTAATCTGTTTTTTTTTTTAAAGGCAGCCTATAGAAAATCAGCTAATGAAGGACTTCACCCCTTTAAAAATGAAAATAAAGTTACTTTGAAACAAGTATAGTTACGAAACATTAAATAAGTTTCAAAACGAACACGAAATACTAACTGGCAATTTAAAAAAAAAAAAATAGGCAAGCACATACTACATGAATAATTTTTTAACCTACGTGGATGTAATCTGCCTCAAAAACAGCCATACATTCACAGACAAGCCAACAGTGCGGATAACAGTTCATGAGGAAAAGCCATCTCCTGCAGGCAAAGTTTCTGTTTTATCAGTGGACTGTGGAGCCTGTGGGGGGTAAATGCAAAGCTGTATTCATCGTAAGAAAAGAAGCATCTTACCTTAACAGAAGGTCTCCTTCTTTGGGGATCGTCTCTGGGATGTTTTCAGACATTTCAGATAACAATCTCCCCCTCTCAATGGAAAATATGAGCATTTTTGGTACTTTTAACAGCTTCATTTGCCCGCGAGGATTACTTTGCTAGCGTTTACACTCTCAGAGCTCTGCTGATGTAATCCACTGGAGAAACTCCCAAGCGTTTTTTTCTCTATTAATCTGCTCAAAAGCATGTTCGAAACAACAAAAGAACAGGTTTAAAAATACCACAAAAAGAATTTCATAGTTTTACACTTATCCACTTCACACAATTAAGTTCACACATTTAAAGACCAAAAATCAAAAATAAAGAAAAAGCTGCAGGTCGTTATTGACTGTTCTGTACAATGTGTGGTAGTATATTATTAATACAAATAATAATAATTATAATCATCTTGATGACAGAGATGATGATGAGAAAAATATAAATGATGACAATGATGATGACAAGCACAACCATAAAGGCAATAATAATAATAATAATAATAATAATAATAATAATAATAATAATAATAATAATAATAATAATAATAAATTTTAAATCCTAAATATTAGTTATTAATTTTCAGTCATTTATGTTGTTGTAATTATTGACTATTAAAATTTTAAGGCTTTTTAAAAAATTTTGTAGAAAAACAGCTCAATACTAAGATCATTCACAGCTTAACTCCAGAAATTTACACCACACATCTGTACTTTACAATGATCCTTGCTTTACCTGACGCACTTTCAAGTTATACATTCCCTTTAGTTTTTCGTGTTCCTTCTTCCTGCTGTTGGTATCGGTTGGGATGGCCACATCTACCTCAACGGTTTTACTCTGCTGTTAGTCTATGATTACAATGTCCGGTTGGTTGGCCATTACCATTTTGTCAGTCTGTGGAAGTCCCACAGGATCTTGGCTTGGTCATTCTCCATCACCTTGGGAGGTGCTTCCCATTTTGACCTCGGGGTTTCCAGTCCATATTTTCCTGTTGCTGTACACTATACCGGCTACTTGGTTATGGCTTTCCATGTATGCTTATCCTGCCAGCATCTTACATCCTGCTGCTAGGTGTTAGACTATCTCAGGGTCCTCTTTGCACAGCCTGCACCTGGGATCTTGCCTGGTATCGCATCTGGGCGCTCAAGGCCTGTTCTTGTGCCGCCATGATGAGTGCCTCTGTGCTGTCCTTTAGTCCGGCCCTGTTGGTGGCACATCTCATGCAGGGCTTTTTCCTCCCATGATGGTTCCTCCGGACCTGTCAGTTTCCATTGTCTGTTCCTCCACACCTGTATTCTGCTCTCTGGGATTGTAGTGCCCTCTGTACAGACTACCTTCCCTCTTTTCATCACCATTCGAACACACTTTAACAGAAAATTATGAGTGAAATGTGTATCAAGGAAATTTAAGCAGTTGTTAAATAGGGTCTTAACAATGTGAGGGCAAAAGCAGTGTGATTTTTGGATTATGAGAGCTCAAAAGATTAAGGAAATTCAGTCAAAGTTAATCATTCATCAATAAGAATATAATATTATTAGGATTTAATGGAAGGTGTAAAATATAACTTATTAATTGTAAACCACAACAATAAGATAAGAAACAGTTGATCAGAATCCAATCCTGAGTATTCTGAAAAATTGAGATTATATCCTACAGTATGGGTGCAAAGAGTGGCAAAATCCTTTTAAGTATCCGTTTACTCATGAAATGTCTAAACTACACATCCAAGAATAACCTCATTTATCTAAAGCTGGTAAGTCTAAACTGCTGTTGACTTAGGTGAGCTATATATTAGATGAATATCAGCTGGATTGTTGTAACACAAATAACAAGAAAAGTATAAGACATTTCTCTCATTTGAAATGAAGAAGGAAATTTTTGGATTTAAGGCATGGAGGAAACTTCAGTAACATGCAGAGGAACCAGACTTATATTGGACCACAGTTGCACAACTGAAGGGTAATGTAAAAAAACCAAACAAACAAATGAAAAAACAGACACAGTCCTGCAGAAACTGTCGGCATGTAAACCTTAAAATCAGTAGCTGATGAACACCACAGGCTGCAAAAATCCATGTAAGTTAGGGGTGTGAGGACTGAAGTTTAAGCAGTTTGTAATTGAGGTACCTGGTGTTTTTCTCCCTCACCACATGAGCAGTCCTAAGAGGCTTGCATAACCACTTAAAGCAGTGAGCGGGATTGTTGTTCTTTTTTTAATGTCTGATAAGAAAATGTCACTGACAACTTATCAGCTAAGGCAACTCTATAGCAACTATCATTGGGCTGTTTTTTTTTTTTGTTTTTTTTTTTTTTTTTATAGTTGTGTTTAAATACTTGATCCTGATTGGTGTAAACCCCCAGTGACAACAGATATTATCTTTGCATAGCAACAAGACAAGCAGATCACGCAAAAGCTTAATCAGATATGCTTATCCTCAAATCAGTAGTGACAGGAAAGTTCTGGTGTTGTTGTTTTTCTCTGAAAATCCAAAAAAAAGAAGCTGATACTTGCACAATCATTCTGCATGTTTGCAGTCAGAGGCTCTGCATTGAAAAGATGCATACCAGTGGATGTGATATGATGAAGCTCCAACTGGGCATTCTGATGCTCTCCTGTCGTTGTCTCTGGAGTGAGTAAAAAAACTTCACCTGAAATGATATTCTCATTTTTCATTTTTTTAAATTTATTGCTGTATTGTTTACTTGATTAGTGTTAAAGAGATCAAAAATAATGAGAAAGCAAATACAGAGTTGATTGTTGGTTAAAATACATGCCGCATACTTGTTTTGGTCATACTGAAGTAATTATTATAGGGCAAAAAAGTTACATTTTTTTTGTTTGCTTGAGCAGGTCATGTGATGCTGCAATAAATATGTCTAAATAAGGGTTATAGCCTCAGTGGATGCTGGCTGCAGGCAGGGCTGACAGGGGTCAATTAATCAAACCTGTACGAGTCATCGGTATATTGTGAATTTTGATATTTTTGCATCTCAGCCTTTTGTTTTGATTTTAAGAAATCAGAATCAGCGGGGTACTTGTATGCACATTTTGAAGATATTTTTTTGAACTGCTCTTAGAGTTCAGGTAGAAAGCAGGGAACCTAGACACAGCTTACATCAATATTTTACTTTTATTTACATGTCTAAATTTATAAGAATAATCAAAGTAGGGCTTTCAATGTGATTTGATTTTCCTTTCTTGTACTCAAATCACGGCTGCGTCATCCTGCCTTGGCTGCTGCTGTACAACAAATACCAACACTAAACTTTTAAATGACACATTTTGCTTAAAAGTGTAACTTCCAGTAGCTCAGTTAAAAAAAAACAAAGTACAGCAAAAAACAAAAAACACCACGGCACTCCAAGTTTGATGTAAGCATTCAAAGAAAATGTGCGTTCTTGCACATTTCTTAATGTGTATCAGTGTTATCTTTAAAATATATTGATAACATAAGCCTTGTATTACACAGCCTTTATTAGAACTCTAAAAATATAGATGATGAAGTTCAATTGAATCCTAAATGAAGACACTGATAAGAATTGCTTTATATTGTTAATATGGATTTAAAAAAAAACAAAAAAAAACTATTTTTATTCTGTAGTGAAACACCACAAACCCACAACTATCATACTGGACAAAGTTGACAAAATAACTCAAACTAACCTGGATTAAAGCAAAATAATTGAGAGGCATGAGTACTTGTGTATATTTAATCCAAATTTACAACTTTTTTAAACTTGACAATTTATGTGTATACACATCGTAGAGAAATAAGATAAAAAGAGAAGAAATTCAATAATATTTAATATATATAGCGATTATATATTTATATATAACACTCCCATCAACACCAGCACCTGTGCAGCTGAAACTACAAGTTTAGTCCCGAGTCAGCAGTTGGTCCCAAGTTACACACTTGAACTTTGAGCTTTTCTTGGGGGTAACATGAATTCAACTGTGGACGGCGGTCGATACAGAAATTTTAGTTTTGTCACTTTTACATGAACTCCACTTTGTAACATGGAGATTGCTGTTTGAGAAGAAGCCTCAAGGGGGCAGCAGAGGCTGATAAAGTCAAACACATGAAGGTTTTTCTTTGTGTCTCTTCATAGGTGCACCATCAGAGACGCTTGGTGTAGTCCAGCCTCCTCATGTCTCTGGCATAGAGGGGCAGACGTTGCACATCCCCTGCTGCTGGAAGGGGGAATTTGGAGAAGGGAGAATATTGTGGTGGAAAGATCTCTCCACATTACTAGAACGCATAATGTTTCCTGTACTAAAGAACATAACTGTCTGCGACACCTTGAGCGTCGAGAATATCTCAGAATTGGATTCAGGGGTGTACATCTGTGAGCTGGAAATAGGACAAGAAGGGTTTCGAGGAAATGGTACAGAGGTCATGGTGACAAAAAGAGAAAACACATATGACAACAAAACTGACAACTCAGCTGAGGGTAGGTGATTAGTGTAGGAGATTTGCAAAACAAACTTGAAAGAGGCTAAGCAACTATACCTATATGTATGAGTAAAAACAGTTCATAAAGTTTCAGCCTCAGACACGCCTCCTGATCATTAAATTGAATTCCATTGCCAGTCCCACTTCCCTTGACTCAACACACAAAGTGTATGTCTGTTTGTGTCTCATTGTTGATGTGTCTTCAGGCATATTTGTCGTGACCCAGAGTCCTGATGTCTCCATCGTGGAAGGTGAGACAATGAACATCACCTGCTGCTGGAAAGGGGAGATTGACAGAGCCAAAGTTCACTGGGTGAACAATACAACAAGAGCAATGGGGCATTTAATCTTTCGATCTCACATTTTTGAAAAACATCTGCCAAAGATGACATCTGCTTGCTTGACATGGACCTCCCCAAACACCAGCAAAGCTGATTCAGGGAGATACATCTGCAGGGTGGAAGTAGAGCTACCAGCACTCACTGTGGCTGAAGGATATGGTACTGTGGTCACAGTGATGACCAACGAAAACAGTGAAAACATCGTTGACAACCCTACAACTGAATGCACAGATCTCACCGAAGCAGATGCAGGGAACACATCTGTCCAATATGACCCCATGGATAAAGGTAGGATATCAGTCACCAGTGATATTACACACACACACACACACACACACACACACACACACACACACACACACACACACACACACACACACACACTAATTTTGAAGTTGTAACCATTTTAAACTCTTTATATATACAGGGATTCCGCCTTTTTTCGCCTGGAGTCCTGATGAAAATACACTGAAAGACGACGACAGAGGCAGGCTAATATCATCAAACACTTTAAAACAACTCAAAGTCAATGCAACTCAATGCAACTCCAAAGGCTTTTTTGTGTCTCTTTGTAGGTGCACCATCAAGCAAGCCTGTTGTGTCCCAGACTCCTAAAGTCTCTGCCAGGTTTGGGGACACATTGAAGATCACCTGCTGCTGGACAGGAGAGTTTGAAACAGGAAGAGTCATATGGCTAAAAAACACACCATCAAACATGGAGATTTTCACCTCTCAGAACCACTCTCTAGGGTCCCTGCAGAAGGAGATTAATAACTGTTCCCTCTTGACCTTTACGAAAATCAGAATGAAGGATTCAGGAAAATACATCTGCAAGCTGGCTGTGGAGAAACCAGAATTGACTGAGGTTGTAGGAAGTGGGACTGTGATCAACGTTTGTGGTTTCCTTGACTGGACAGGTTTCCACATGGCTGAGGGTAGGTTACTGATCAAAAGTGATAAACACTTAGCACAGCATCTTCATAACAATCAGAAAGTAAATGTTTGAATTCAATACAGGTTTTCAATTAAAAGGGCAGAGAAAGAAAGGGATGAAGAGGGTTGAGTTAGCTGAACCCAGAGGAGACTCTGAGTGGGGGTACATCTGGACAAGCTTCTTCAATGGTACCTGTGTTAAGAAGACTGGAGAAGAGGACAGAGTATAGAGAAGAGACAGGGGGTCTGGGAGGGAGGGTCTTTCCAACTGAGACAATGGGTAAGGGAGGTTTATATAGACATCACAGGTGGTTGCACAGGTGGTCAAATGAGTGACCTGGGTGTGGTCATGTTCCTGAAAAAGAAAGCGTATTCAAAAATGCCTACCCACTGGGATGCTACTGTATACTGTTCAGCATCAATGGACTTCCTGGTCTGCCTGACTGTGCTTTGGTCTGAATACGTCACCAGATAATGTTGACATATACAGTATGTAGGATCCTCATTGTATGGTTTGGTTTTGAGCCTTGTTTTTGCAAAAAGATGTCCACAGATTTTCTGAATCTTTTAAATATATTTTGTACTGTAGATAATGGAATTCATAAATTCTTTACAGTACTCAGAAATTGTGAAACTGCTACCCCATGCGGTCTCTCACAGAGTAGTGAACCTCTTCCTATCTCACTTCCAGGTGTAATTTCTTTTATTACATATGTTTTTCTGTATTTTATCATCTGTAATCCAAATTTTTAAAAACATGTTGCTTGCATCGAATTTACTTTGTAGGAATTGAGGTTGTAAATTTAGGGGGAATTAGTTTGGTTGACTACCATTCTTATAAACTAACACGTTTCTTTTGTTTGTGTCTCTTTATGGGTGTATCAGTGGGCGAACATACCCAGACTCCTGATGTCTCAGTCATGGAGGGGGAGACTTTGAGCATCAGCTGCTGCTGGACAAGCGATTTCACTGTATGGAGAGTTCACTGGATTAGAAATCTGACAAATGTCAAGATTGAAGGTTTCATCACAACAGACACGGTCCATGTTTCATCTGGCTGCTCATCTTTGACCTTTTCAAACATCACTAAAAAGGACTCAGGACAATACATCTGTGGTATTCTGACTCATGAATCACGTTACTCAAGAAGATGGTTTACAGGAAATGGTACTGTGATCACAGTCAGAGACCGAGAAGGGGCACATTTCGGTACGTTATCATCACCCAACTCACTTTTTTAAATATAAGGAAACAACGAAATTACAAAGAGGGGCTTGTTACAGCTTTGTGTTTAGTCTCCTTCTGCCTCTGCCTCCTCACTCACTCTTTGCTGTTTTCTGTGTGGTTAAATTCCAGAATCCTACAGTGAGATTGGGTGGTTTGAAGTCTTGAGGTGTCTGCCCCTCCTGGCTCTCATCTTGACTGTTTTCTGCATCAATAAGTGGGGGACCAAAGCTCAAAGACACACACCAGGTACAATACATCTCATAGTTTTCTTGAAAATGTTGATGTTGCTGTACTGATAATACTCTGCCAAATAAATTTGGTTTTTACTTACAGTTGCTCCTGGAGGAACAGTCTCTGCAGCCCAAGGAATAGAGGAAGTGGAAATAGAGGACCAAGAAATATCCCTTCAGAACATAGAGTAGAAAATAAGAGCAAAATTGATTATGGAAGTGTATTAAAGAAAATGTATTAAAGCCAGTGTTTGAATAAGAATGCATTTTCAGAAACTTGCATATTGTCTTGAATGCTTATAGTGCTTTCTGGATAAGCTATTGTTAATCCTTTTTTTTTAAACGTGAGTGATTTTTTGGGGGGAATTTACTGTCAGGCTCTAATCTGACTTTTATTAACCTTTTTTGAATGAGCTGATATCTTGTTTAAAAGTTAACTACATTAACTCTGCCTTTTAAATGTAGATGTAATGTTGATTCGTAACAAATCAGGATTTATGCTTGGAGGAGAGAGGACAGAAGTTATACTCTTAGCTTTGCTTCTTGTGATTCTTATGGCCTCTTTTATCCCTTTTGCTATTAGAATGTTCAAGAATGGACAAGAAAAGGTTGCTGCAATTTAACCATAGGACTAAATTTGAGAAGACAAGATTTTTGAATACAGACTGTTTATTCTATTAGGACTTGCTGTCGCTGTAACTGTATAAAGCTCCAACTAAAGAAAACATTTAGAATGAAATCCAAAAATGCTGCTTGAGGCTTGTTGCAACAGAACCTAAAACTGGATGACACGATAAAAAGATGAATGACATGTCTCCATTTCTTCAAGGTGTGCAAGAAGTGAAGCTAAATCACCTGCAGGACAGGTAAATTTTCTGGTTTGACCAATCAATCCATCTCTTTCTAAGGAGGAAGAAATAGTACTTATGTATTCTCAACTTTAACTATACTATTGTAATATAGTTTACCATATGTTACTATACTATACAATAGCAAAACAGTACAATACTGTTTGACTCTGTTTTCCTCACGTTTTCTATGTTTTATTCTTTAGATCAATTTTCAGTGTTTCCTGTTTTATTTTGTTGTTTTTTGATTCCTTGTGTTTCTAGTCTAGTTTTACTTCCTCAGTTTTCCCTCCTTTGTTAATCAGCCATGAGTTTTACCTTTTTTTTTATTTTTTTTTTTAGTTCTGCATGTGAGCATCCTCCCTTTTTGCTTTGTGTTTCCAACATGACATTTACACTATACTATACTATGTTTTACTAACATTTAATATAATTTATTCATCATGTTATGACCAGGGGTCATATGTTTCCTGTTGTTTTTTCATCAGCACATTTTTTTGCGGTTAACCCTCCCTACCTGTGGTAGGTGCTGTTGTCTTTCATTTTCCAGGAGAGGACTGTGGCCTGATTGGAGAGCAGCTGAAGAGAGGAGCTTTGAAAAGGGTGACTGCTGGAGAAGCTCTCTCTCTCTCATTCCTTTGTCTCGACTCCCAGCCAGACCTGTGTTTTTGGATGCTTGATTGATGAGAAGTAGTTAGTGTGATTGGTGTCAGCTAGGTCTACATTCAGTTATAAAATATTGAAAACTTTGTGAATTTTGATTTGTCTTTTATGACAAAAACTTTAGTTACCTTAAGAGGGGTGGGTAGGGGTGGGTAGCTATTTTATTTTACAAAACTTTTCTCTTGTTTAGGGAGGCAGCTAAGACCCCCTGCATTTTATTTGATACTACTTCTTTTTTTGTCAGGAAAGATAGCTTTAATAAAAAGAGGTTTTATTTCTTATTCTGGCCTGTGTCCACCCTGAAGTCAACTACCATTTATGTTGAAAAATAAACCTGTGTAGACTGCATTTTCTGGTGGTTGTAGGTTTTTTTGGGGAGTTGGGACAAAGGAAGAAGCACTTTATGTTTCATCCAGCATACCCCTAAGCTGGGTCGTAACAATCAGTATATCAGACTTTACTTCAGCCAAGTGTACTATGCTATAATAAACTATACAATACCATTCTGTGTTCAACAAAACAATTAATTTATGTAGAATGCTAAATTTTAATATGCTATACTTGACTAAACTATACCAAACTCTTCTTTATTATACTGATCCATTCTATACTAAACTTCACCATACTATACTATATGTATTCTAACTTATACTATATTATGTCATATAACATCATCCTAAACTATTCTAACTAACTAACTAACTATACTATACTATACTATACTATACTAAAGGTCTATCATATCATCACTCAGGCTGGCTGTTATCTGGTTTGTGTTTTGACATTTTAATGGCATAAGCTCATGAGCCTAGAGTTGGTTTATAGCATCTTCTTAGCTAGAACTTTTGTTAGTTAGGAAGTGGGTGTTGTAAATATAGCTGGATTAACACAACCATAGAATAAATGACTCTGTAACCTATTTACTTGTAAATTATTGATTATCATAAAGATGATCAGGTTGATCAGAGTTCAACACTTGGATTCTGAAATACACATATTGTGCCTATACAGCTGCAACGTTACGCTCAATGTGGGAACAAGTGAACTGCAAGATCATTTAAACTTTATGTTACTTTTTCAACATCTAACGGATAATACAACTTACAAATGACGAGGTTCAAAGAAAATTTCATTCGCACAATACTGTTGATTTTTTTCTTAGAAAATTTAAATGGATGTCAATAACAATGTTGATTAAGTAATACACCCTACATCAAGTTAATGTTATTGTTATTATTACAGAGATCACAGTAAACAGAGGGTGATGGTGTGAATTAGGAGTTTATGATTCGAGTGTTATATTAGTTTTGTTTTTTTGTGTGTAACATGAGTATCCTCTACTGGACAGAGCTGAGAGGTGCACCCCATGACGAGATCAGACTATTTATTTTTTTATTATTTACCATTGCTGCTGTAACCCTCTGTAAATAATACAACAAAGAGTTTGATCTATACTAGCTCTTTGAGTGTCTTTGGATAACATTTGTTGTGAATTGGTGCAATATAAGTTAGATTGATAAGTAAATGATGTGGTTATATGCAGTAATCTCAGTTTACAGCTCAGAGCACAGACTCCCACAATGATTCAACTCGTGCACATGGGACTTTAGGAGCTTTGCAGACTTTGAAAGAAAAATAATAGAGTACTACAAAGAACCCAAAACTCCCCAAGTCTGTTGGTGTGATTGCATTAAAATGAAGGTGGAAAACTCAGTAAAAAGTGCAAATGTACGTACTCCAATTCAAAAGCACATGAAAAGATCTTGATCTAATCTATGGTTGCTAGATTCAGCTAAAGCTCCATGAATTCATGACCCTGACTCCTGCAGGGCAAAATAAACCCAACATGAGAAGCAGCAAATCAGTGACACTTGCACTGCACTCATATTAATGAGAGCAGTCTCTTTTTTTTACCTCCTCCTTTCCCTCCCTCTTGTGTGTACTTTCCCCATCTGTAAATGCAATTTCGTTGTGCACAAGTTACAATGACAATAAAGACCATACCATACAATGAGAACCAACAGAAGCTCTGCATGTGTGAATCTAGAGCTGTTTGCTGAACGCTACATGACATGAACACAAGATCTCAGGCTGCAAAGGGCCACGTCAGTCAAGGGTGTGAAGACTTCAGGTTTGGCGGTTTGTGGTTGACGTACATCCTGTTTTTCTCTCTGATTATACTAAGAGTCCATCACAAAGCAAAGAGTGAGATCATCTTTCATTTTTGAGACGCTATGTTCAGCTACAGTTTTTACACCTTTTTTTTTTAAATAAGGAAAACATTTGCAGGGTATGGGAGCTTTTTGACAATTCTGACACAACAGATATGTTCCTCTAACATCCTACCGATTTATATCATTTGGTTGTTTGATTACATATATTTGACCTAACAGGACTCTCACATCCAGCAGCTTTGAGCTGTCCTTCAGACACTCCTACTGGGGCATCTTGCTGGGGTTCTGCTCACCTGTCAGGATTCTGATTCGCATTTATAACCTGCTTATAACCTTTACCTTTTAGGGATGGCAGCAGCTCAGCAGCTCCTCATGTAGCTCCTACATCTGTGACCAGTAAAGCCTGCTTTACTGTTTGGCTGTTTCCTGATTCATCACCAACCAAAACAATGAACAAACCGGACAACCTGAAAAAAGATGGGTCCCGGGTGGAAACGAGGACTGACACAACAGCAGACTGACTGTTTCTCAGTTCTGATTAGACACTAGTGTTGAGATGTCTGTCTGTCATGATAGCATGTACTGAGTCAGGGCCAGTACCAGATAAGCACATTAAACTATAATCCATAAATGTAAGGTAACAACCTAGACCTAATGGTGCTGTGACAGCAACGCTGTGATTGAGTTTGAGACCGTGAAAATACATATGGTATGTTGTATCTGAACAGGTTAGCTTACGAGCTAAAGTTACTTAGCACAGATGAAAGTTAAAACAAAGACGTTTAGCAAACTATTAAAGCACACAAACTATTGTCATATGAGAGATCCGACGCTATGACTCTCCATAAGTTGTCCTTCAGGTCGTTATCTTTGTAATGTTTGTGTCTTTTATCAAAAAGCACTCTGTTCTCCGACACGTAAACAATCAGCTGGTCGGCCATGTTGGATATATCGGTGTGTAAGGACCTTTACTCTGTTGGATTTCTGGGTCAAAGCCTGACATACAAACTGCAGAGCAGCAAGAAATGCTTTTGCCGGGTTAAGTCCAACTTGGTGCAATTGTTGCGCTAAAGTGCATGTGCATAATTCCATTTTAAACCAGTGATTTTGCCACAGTGTCAACAGGCAGAGGGGAAAAGTGCCAGACTTCTCTGTGCAGATGTGAGATGTTATCAGCTTGTCATTGGCATTGTTGTTGAGAATTAATCTCCATTGTTATGGAGCATTGACCAATCAGAGTCAAGTATTTAACTCAGCCAAGTTTTTAAAAGTTGCTTACTAAGAGCATACTCACAGTCTTTACACAGTTGGGAGTAAAACTTTCTCTGTTTTTTTAACTATTTGCTCAGCTTTGACCCTTTTGGCTCATCTCAGCAGGAAAGAACGGATGGTGGGTCTATATCTGATACGTCAGGTTTGCGTGTTTGAAGTGAGGGGCTGGGTATTAAAGAGATGAGCGCCTCTGTTCAGAGGTGTGGAACAATGGAGCTTCAACTCAGCAGTCTGGTACTTGTGTATCTGTGTGCCAGCTTATCTTCGAGTAAGTAGATATACACTTTATTTTGTATTTTATTATTATTTCGTCTAATTTGTAATATGAAAAGAATAACTTGGAAAGCTGATAGTTTTAGGGAGCCATGTATGAACAGGAAGAAGAGGTCAGATGATATAGAGGGAGGAAAGTAATTTGATTTTGCATGAAAACTTCAAACTGCGTAAAAGTCCCACAAGTATTTTCAGACTTAAGCGGCTTTTATTGTTTTATTTTGCTTTAATATGTGGCATTTGACTTTTGAATGTTTTCACAGCCTTTACCTCTTATCTATTATCTCTCCTTTGTCTTCGTTGGTCTTTCCACTCTCACTTCACGCTGCATGGGTGCTTCATCTCATTTCCTCTTTTATATATTCTTATTCGATGTTTAACTTTTATCATGTTTAGTTTTAAAGTTAGGATGCTTGGCAAATAGGAAAAAAAGCTTGTTTTGTGTGTTTGTGTTTGAGCAGATATAGTAGTGAAAGGTTGCAGCATTTTCATCCATATTCAACCAAAGAAATGTAGATTTCAAAAAGATAAGTGTGAACATGTTTTAACTTAATATTTATTCATAAAGCAAATGTTCACAACAAATGTTATATCAAAAGGTGCTTCACAAAAAAAATGCTATAAAACTTACTTTCAGTTATATTAATAAAGACCCAACATCATAAAAGGATAAGATTAAAAGTCTCAGCTGGTAAAATATTTAACTATAGAAAAAGAAACTTAAAGAAAAGGCTCAGAGTATTCTCTGTTAAAGAGTTAGAATGCCTCTACTTTAATGCCATGGTCACATCGACCTTAAAAACAAACCTCATAGAGTTTCAGCCTCAAACTCTCATCAGGAAGTTTGACTTCACTTTGAAAGTAAAAACATTTTTGCTGTTCAAAAGAGCGAGCTCTGGACCTTTTATTCTGGGGTTACATAAAGATTATATGACCATACATGTTGATGATATAATACTTATGTTTAAGTGTATCTAAATGCATGATTTAATGATATTTGTTGTGATTTTCATGATTTTTTTTCATGAGCCTGAAGCTCATAAAAATTTGCATCAGCGAGGCATAAAGGTGATGAGGGTGTAGCTCTGCTGAGGTGTTACTGAAGAGCAGCTTGCTTTGACGGCTTTCTGCTTTGTTTGGTCAGGGGTTCCTCTTGACAACTGTCCCACAGATGAATCCTTCAAAGGGTTAAGGACAATTCAGTTTGTTTGCCAGTCAAGCACAGTAACATCATGGCCTGCAATCCATTTGGTAGTTTTGGCATGACTGGCAGGTGCAGGTCCCACTAGAAAAAGAAATCTTTATCTCCTCTGTCAACCTTTCATTAAAATGCTTCGATACAGCACTCAATCATCTCTTGTAGCATACACTCCCTATGGAAGGTGCCCAATGATAGTCTTCTTAATAAGTGATTGTGGCTGCATGATCTGAAGCACACTAAGAGACATTTATTCTATTTAAACAGTGATTTACTCAAACTGAAAGACATATTTTTTTATTCTTTTTGCGCTATTGACCATAATTATCAGAATAAAATAATAAAATACTCGAAACATTTGAGTTTACATGAAATGAGTGTGAATTATGTGAAGGTAAGATTTCATGAATTTTCATTTAGTCTGCCCCAGATAAACTTAGCCAGAATTAAACTACAGTTCTAAAATCATGGTTTTATCTGTGTCTCTAAGGTGTTTTACCCAGGCTCCTTACTGTGATCCAGACTCCTCATGTCTCCGTCATCGAGGGTGACAGAGTGAACATCACCTGCTGCTGGACAGGGGAGTTTGAAAGAGGGTCGCTGAACTGGATGAAAAATGGGACCAAATTTAAGTGGGACATTATTTTGCCAGGGATTTCCTCCCGCTGCTCTTACTTGGTCTTTCCAAGTATCACAAAAGCCCACTCAGGAAGATACATCTGCATGTTGTCTGTGGACATACCAGATTATTACAAGACTGAAGGAAATGGGACTGTGATCAGTGTAACTCCCAATAAGAATAAATTAGACCACACAGAGGACGACACAGATCAGACTACAGCTGATGGTAGGTGACTGAGGACAAAAATCACTTCAGAGAGGCTGAGTCTCTTAGAAGTGAAGGTCAGAAGAGGTCCACCACTCTGTGAGAAAGGTTTGAGCAATGTTACAACAGCATGGCTCTGTCGTCGAAGTGCTGACTCAGTCTTTGCTGTTTTCTCTGTGATCAAGTTCCAGACTCTTCCAGTGAGATTGTGCAGAGTAATCTCCTGAGGTGTCTGCCCCTCTTGGCTCTCATCATATCCTTCGCCTGCCTCTACAGACTGGGAACCAAAGCCAAGCAGGAGGTATTTGGTACGAGAACCAGAGGTGGGTTTGTCCTAAACACACACTTTTTAACCCTGCTTGCACAACACTGACAGCCCTCCACTGACTATTGCACTGAAGACATATTCACCTGCTACTATACTGTTATTATTCTACCTGATAAGAAATGACTCCAGCATGTTAAAAGCTGCAAATATTACATTAAGTCAGTGGTTCTCAAGTCCAGTCCTCAAGGCCCACTGTCCTGCATGTTTTGGATGTTTCCCTGCTCTAACACACCTGATTCAAATGATCAGCTCGTTATCAAGCTCTGTCATGGCTTAATAACGAGCTAATCATTTAAATCAGGTGTGTCAGAGCAGGGAAACATCCAAAACATGCAGGACAGTGGGCCTCGAGGACTGGACTTGAGAACCACTGCATTAAGTAAACACCTGCAGTGGTATGTCCAGCAGCCCCCTCTGGTGGCCCACAGGCCCCTTGTGCCAAAACACCACCACTGTCAGTAATTTTGACTCGACTTTAAAATGAAAATATGATGACTAGGTGATGTTAAAGGTCACAAATAAATCAGTTGTTTCATGTTCCAGGTGCTCCTGAGGATACACCCTCTTCAGCCCCAAGACCAGAGGAAGAGGAGGGATGAGGAGAGAGAAAAAAACAAACAGATTGTGATGAGAAAGGAGAAAATACAAGCAAAATATAAACTAATAAGGGCGTATTATTAGGGATGTGATGATTTTTACTTATGAAGTGCTCATTTTAAAGATGCAAACTACAATAAAACCCTTTTTGAAGCTTGCTTTTTCTCTTTTTTCTTTTCTTTTCAAACTACTTTCCACTGGTGACCTTTCACCTTTAACAGGTGACTCATGCAAAAAGTTATTTTGGATTCAGATGGACATCCATCATGACCTTTTTTAAAACAAAAATAAGACAAAGTGATGCATGGATGGATCTTTCAGTCTAAATCTTGCTTGTTTACGATATATCGGATTATTTGACCTCTTTTTAAATTTGAAAGTGTTATTTTAATCATAGGAATGTGAATCAAAGCAAGAGAGAAACACACACAGGATGTTTGACTGATGCTGGATTTGGAAGGGAAAATCCACCTGGCATCCAAATCGAACTTTTTCTAAGACATAAGAAAAAATAGTGCCTCACTGGAAAGTTAGGGTAAGTTGAGTCCCAGTGACTCCTTCTTCAAATCCATTATCCTTTCTGTTGTGTTTGTAGGAAAATAAACAAATATTTTGCATGTAAGGTGTTCTCCTGAGTGGTTGTGTAGCACTAACTGTGCAATACAAATGTAGGTACTGTGGTGCAAACACAGGTCTGTGAGGACTCTTTTGTCTCTTTAGTCGACAAATCAAGGATTGTGAGAATTTATAGTGTGAATTTCTCCCCCACAAACTAAAGCTGCCTCCTATCTGAAGGAGGAAGGAACACATGATGCGGTTTCACGCTTTCTGCAGAAGTCAAAGAGGAACACTGAAATTAAGATGATGCCCAGGGTTCGTGCGTATGTTCAGTGAGTACGTGTGTGTGTGTTGTGGGAAGGGCTTTGAGTCGAGGTAAAGACGAGAGTCAGCAGTCGTCAGTGAATCAGAGAGAAAAGATGAAGTTCCTTCTCAGCAGTCTGCTGCTCGCCTCTTTCTGCACCCTCTCTTCATATAGTAAGTAAAGCTGTCTCAACTTGATATCAAATTTGTTTTATTATTCAGATTTATGATGTTATTGTTTAATTTAGCTGCTTCAGTCTTGGTCCAAAAACAGGAAAATATACGGAAGCTGAGAGGGGCCACACTAGTCAGTTATACTGATATCTAAAAAGCACTTTATCATGATGTGAGCTTTAAAGAGAGAGTGTAAACCTGGTGATAACACACCAACACAAACATTCCCAACATCTGATAGATTAAACCAAACTTTGTTATTTTGCTACGGACAAAAAAGCCATATCATTATATTTGCATGTGCGGTGGAATCAGTTGGAAATTGTACAGAGGCCAAAAATACTCGCAATTGTTTTACACCCTGTCACTTCAATTATTTTGACATTTAAGGGGAAACTCTGCTGTTAGGTTTGCAGTTTTTTAAATTACAGTTTTGGTTCAAATTCTGGATGATGTTTATTTTTGAGAAGGAAAAGTGGCTCGAACTGAAAATGTATGGAAGCTCTTAAGTGATATCCTGCGAGCGCCCAAAGTGCTGCCAAGTTTCTGTCCTTTTCTGTTGACATGTTTGCAAATATGTCACTTTATTGAACCTTAAATTACCATGGAAGTGTGCGATAACCCACTGGTTATATGCTCACGTCAATATTTGTACATTATCCTATACAATAAAACTAAATAAAGTCAATGTTTCAATCACTCTGTCCAATTATGCAGGCTTTTAGAAAATCAGAAACATGATGGAGAATTATGGTCACGTTCACGATTTGGGGGTTAAGTTCCTAACTTTCTGAGAGTAGCATCATAAGAGAAAAAAAATCATAGTTTTTAAGAAAGAACTTGTAGTGAACTTGTAAAGTTAAAATGAAAAATAAATGATTTAATACCTGACTATGTTTAACTGAGGGAGCAAACCCAGTTACGGATCCTCCTGATGAGACATTGGAGCGTTCTGAAAGGTTGATTACAGGTCATTACATGAACCAGAAATTTGTTATTGATTTAAATTAAAATGCCCTTGCAAAATTCTCCTTCAAAAAGGCACTCTGACAGATCATTTTTTAAGTAAACACAAACAAATTATTTCAATATCTTGAGTAAGTTATGAATTGATACTTTATTATCACAAATACAATCATGTGGTGAACACGCTGATGAGTAAAACCATTTAAAAAAGATTCTATCACTGGATAAATTACTCTGTTGTCTTAAAAGATTATCCTGTTTTTTTTAGAAATTTGATGAATTAACAATTATTTGATTTTCTCAGGAAATCAGCCCCAATTGAACATCAGTTTCTCCTCATATTTTACCCGGTGATTTGATTAAAAAGAGGCCTTTTAGACCCCCCTTGATGAAAACTCTCTTCAGAGATTTATTTACTTATTTTGGTTTACATATGCCGGTACTTTGTTCATCTCTTAGAGGAATTTGACTGACACGCACTAAAACGTGGACAAACAGGATCTCACCAACATGCACTGATGGAGGATGCTCTTAAACAGAATAATTTACCTTTGGGTTTTTCAAGGTAACACAGTTTAATGCAAATGCAACCAAGACATTTGTAAAATTGTTTGTCTATCATTCACCCCTGAATTCAATTTTTGTACGTGCCATTATGTAGTTCCCGTCAGATATACAGTACGTAGCACCAAAATGCCTCACTTTTGACACAACATACAATTCAAAGTCTGAAATAACTGAAAATACTCAACACAGGTTAATGGCTGCATCTGTCTTTCATAGGTGTTTCACCCGGGCTCCTTGCTGTGATCCAGACTCCTCATGTCTCCGTCATCGAGGGTGACAGAGTGAACATCACCTGCTGCTGGACAGGGGAGTTTGAAAGAGTGTCGGTGAACTGGCTGAAAAATAGGACCGATATTAAGAGGGACATCATCTACCAAGGGAATAACTCCCGCTGCTCTTACTTGGTCTTTCCAAACATCACAAAAGCCCACCTAGGAAGATACATCTGCCAGTTGTCTGTGGACATACCACATTATTACAAGACTGAAGGAAATGGGACTGTGATCACTGTTGAAGACAGAGAAAACACTGACGACAACTCAACAGAGGGTACGTGGAAAAACAATGGAGGGAAGGTTTGAATAATAACCTTGATTTTTAATTTTATATAATTTGTATCTAAATTTGTTTTCAGATACACAACCTGGAGACACGAACGGCAGTCCTCCACCATCAGCTGTGATCATTTCTCTTGGTGTGGTGGCCCCAGTGCTCCTCATCAGTCTCCTCTGTTTCTGCTTTCTAAAAAGGAAACAAGGTACACAAGAAAAAAAAAAATCTGAATACACACCCTGCAAGTTTGGCATTACTTTATCTGCTGCGCATAATCTAGAATCAGATCTCAGTTTTTGTCGCTGCAGCAAACCAGACTGCCAACAAGACAACAAAAAGCTTCAACAGACACCAGAGTCACTCTTGTGAGCTCAGTTAAAAAACAGTTTAACAAAATATTTACAGTAGGTGTACCAGGGGAGCAGTACAGCTGTGTGCGTTTGTGCAAGACGACAGTGAGTGCAAAAGTCTGATTGTATTGAACTTAGATGCAGTTTGCAAAGTCTCATCTGAACTTGGTGAGTGAACCTCTCCTGTCCTTATTTATAAGAGTGACAGAAATGTAGATAGAAACAGGCGATCAGGGTCAAAACAGTGACATTGCCCTGAGTTTCACTGCGTCACTTGTTGAGAGTACAGTGTTAATGATGCAAACTGGTTGATGCTGTTGCATGTGGTTATGACGCAAACTCAGTGTTACAAAATATTTCAACAAAACATGCCAAATAAAAGGACCAGTTCCTCGGCTTAACAAGAAAACTCTTCACTTTGCTGTTTGTTGTATTATGGGAGTTAACTCACCACAATGCCAATCTCCTTTCATGTACCCTCCTTGTACCCACTTTTTGTTTCATGTTTACACAGGAAACATGTCACCTAGTGTGACCACGTGTCCGCAAAGACATGAAAAAGTGTGAAAAATGTCATTTGTTAACCAAGAATGGAACCCTGTGACACATCTTTGGGGGGAGGGGATTCATAACCTGCCACATTAATTGTTATTAGAATAGAAAGAGCATTACCAAATCACCAAAACGTTTCATGGTATTAATGTAATATTTTTGGATTGAGGTTTTTACACTTCTATTATAACCGGACCAAACAAGAACTTTCGTGACATCTTTCAAACTCGATTTTGACAAAGAAACCACAGGTGAGGTTACGCAACAACAACAAAAAAAAACTATGTTCATGAGTCATCTGGACATTTTTATAGATTTACCTGTTGCCAAGAGGTTAACACTAAAAACACTTCAATACGAAGCTTATATTTCTGCTCACAGTTTCTTTAACAACCTTAATTTCTTTAACTGTTTGTATGTGTTTGGTCCATGTGTCCAGCCAAAGCTCTCAGAGTCATCTACGAGGTCCCCCACATCGACTCCGAGGTGGCAGAAATGGACAAACACAGCACCACTTCCTCCACCGGCTCGTCTCAGTGGGTGAGTCTATCTGAGTTTTATCAACCTTTTAAAAGTGAAGTGGCAAGAAATTAAATAAAGTTCAACTGACCATCAAAAACTTTCCACATTTTTTCCACCACAGCTTCTATATCAGAGGTTAACTCAGAATGTGTGGTGAAAGACATGGTGGGTGACCTGGTGTGACCTGCCACATTCATTTTTCTCAGAATAGAATGAGAATTACCAAATTACTCAAACATTTCAAGTTATTAATGTAATATTTTTGGATTGAGGTTTTTACACTTCTATAATAACCCGATCAAATGAGAACTTTTGTGACATCTTTCAAACTCAATGTTGACAAAGAAACCACAGGTGAGGTTACGCAACAACAAAAAATACCTTCTATGTTCATGAGTCAAGAGCCATTTTTCTTGTCAGTGTTTAGAAACAATGGCTATAGCTTAAAGAGCGTATCCACTTAACCAGTTTGAGGATGTTGTTTTCAATCTAATACACACACACACAAAAAAAAAAGAAAGCCAATGTCATGTCTTTTCCTTTTTACACCTGAAGTCTGAAATTTGTTATCATGCTGAAAAGCAGAATCGAAAAACTTGTGCTACAGAGTTATGTCTGTTTTCAATGCAGTGGAGTCTGGGGGCCATCTAGTACAAACTTACCTCATTATTCTGAAATCGTTGAACTATTTGCTCACGCAGTCTCTCACATAGTGCTGAATCTCCTCTAAATTTCACTTCTAGGAGACTCAGCCTCTCTGGACAGCCCTTTTTATACCCAGTCACGTTACTAACTTGCCGCAAACTACACTAATTAGTTGACGATTAATTTGCAAAACTCATTGTTCTGTGTTTGTTGTCCCTGTCCAATTTTTTTTAAAAACCTGTTGTTTGGGTTAGATCAAAAAATGAACTTTAAAAAAAATCTAACAATACACATTTAAAGTTTCTATATTAATATGATGTCTCTGCCACAGAAGGGGTCATGTGAAATGAGGAAGAAACACATTAAATCAAAATGTAGCAGACATATTCAGCCTTGCGTCTCTTACACAACATCCAGTTGATGAAATTCTTCCTTTGCCTAATGGGGAACTTTTTCATAAACTGTGTTAGATTAAAATGATCCAAAAAGTCATAATCAGAAACGTTTTAAAACAACAACATATAACTGTTTGTATTATTATATGCCATGTGATGCATATCTACAAACTGAGTTTTCAGAGTTCTGAATGAATTGTGTCAGAAACACTGAAAATATTAGTTTAATTTTGGAGGGATGAAATATCTGACTGTTGTACTGGATCAAACTTAGGCCTGCAGGTGTTCAGGTCTATTCTGGTTTAACAAGCTTAGACCTGAGGAGCTGTATTAAAAAGAAAACTTACCATATTGTGACATAATTGTGAAATAACTGACATCCTGTCTGACTAATTGTGCCTGCTGCTCACGCCTACTCAGTTTTATCTGCAGCACATTAGTAAAGGTCATCTTTGAGCACATATTTAAGATTAAGCCTTTAATCCAAGCATCTTGATTTAGGGCTTATGTGCATTTACTCTGTATTATGCTTGTAATGACGATGTTTATGTCTGTCTTTTTCAGTGCCAAGTGCCGGTGTATGAATCCTTCGACTACTTTGAGCGTGTGCAGAACAGAGACAAATGTTGAGGCTCAAGTATCTTGTCTTCCCTGCTTTAAACATGTATATAATGTAAAATAGATGATTTCCCTTCACATGAACCATGTAAAAATGTGTAAGACTGTGCATAGTTTATAGTTTATATATTAAAACTGAGTCAATTAAATCTGTGCTCCAAGTTCATGTCATTGAAAACATTTTGAGATTTTTCTACGTAGAAATAAAGGCTCTCTGATTTTCACTTTTTAGTACTACCGTCTATTTTGTGAGCAGTACTGATTCTGGCGCAGAGACGGAGGTTTCACAATGACTTCTGATCACAATAGGGGTGCTGAGTGGAAACTGTGGTGTTATAGGACTGTGGCGTTATAGGTCAAAGGCAGGAAGTGGAAAAAGCGCCTTTGACTGCTGCAGAGTGGGTCTCTGGTCTTGTTGTGTACATTTTTGTCTCTCAAATGAACACAGAGCTGATACAAAGATTCTGAAAGTGTAACCAGATCTTACTGGAAAAGCTTTCTGCTGAGACCAAGCCGTGAGATCATGAACTTTGTATTATTAATCTCTAAAAACACATGATCTGCATTTTAGGTAATGTGCATTCCCAATATCATCACAGCTAACATGATTAATATCATTTTAAGCCATGAGACTTTGCAGAGGCCAGTCATACAAAAAAAAACAAACTTCTTCACACCTCCACCAAAAAGCCACTCTATAGCCACAAATAATGCCCAGAACAGCACCTAACTTCATCAACAGTACATATAGGGTCCCAGCCACAGTACTACTAGCCATCAAACATCTTTTTAGCTTTACCTGATATCTTTAGCAAAGAGACCAAACACAACTCACCCACTCTCCTCCAGCAGCCGCTTTGTTTGTGGGGGGAACCCTGATGAATCAATTTCTGAGTGCAGTGGAGTTTTTCAGCTAAAGGAAGAACATTTATGATCATTTCTTCATGGAAAGACTCAGACTGAGAAACTAAGCCAGAAGAACTACCGTGTCCGCAGAGCAAAATGATTATTATGGTGATTATTACTTCGAGGAAATGGTCTGCTGCACTTAGTTATTGACTCATCAGGGCTCCCCCACAAACAAGTGGCTGCTGGCGGACAGTCATGTTTAGTCTCTTGGCTAAAAAAAGATGTTTGTTGGCTAGTGCTATGGCTGGGACCCGATCTGTCCTGTTGATGAAGTTAGGTGCTGTTCTGAGCATTATTTGTGGCTATAGCAGCTTTTTGGTCGAGGTTTGCGCATGGGGATGTAAACCACTGTGGACTGCTATCGTGTGGTCCTTACTTAGGTTGGTATAACTAGGGAAGAATTTTTGAATTTTGAGAATGGTTGCATTTTATTTATGAGACAGTACTAAGACTCCTTCAATTCAGGCAGCCAATAACGCAACAAGACAAACTCTGGTAGCACATCACTTTTACCTCCAGGTTTACCAGCAGGGGGTATTAAGTACCTTCTTAAATCTCTGCATGTGGAGTAAGAGTGGGTAAGACAGTCACATCCACACAGCTGCTGCTTCACACTACACTCAACTTATTTACAATACATCATCAAACTAACAAATAACTACTCAAGTTATAAAATACCCTCAAGCTTTAAATACACACTCTTAAGCTGGTGATTCAAAAGTGGCGATGAACATCTCCGTACCTCCTAATCAATAGAAACACACCATGAGGGACAGACACTGGCACATGAATGCCCATGCTTTACAGTGGAGGAGACAGCTGCACAATACAAGAACAATTTGCAAAACTTGTGATTTGAGGTCATAAAAACAGAACTGGAGCTTCCTGATAAAAGCTCGACATTGGCATAAAAACGACATCTGGGGAATACAGTTAGTAATCCTGAATAGACCAGAAGTGTCATCATACAGAAGTTACTGAGCAGCATCAAAAACACTGAGCAATTAAAATTTTCTTTTTGCTTTAGTGGGTCTGATAGTCTTGGCTGCAGGTTGACGTTTTTGCAAGTGTGCATACCTGTGAACCTTTGTCACATATATCAATGTGTGTCAATCATGGGCATCGCATAATCTATGTTTTCAGGTTTTCTGATTCTGGAGTGATGACCCATTCATCAAGTTAATGTTGTTCTAAGTGGCATCTGGTGAGTCAGCGAGTTGATAAAAAGGGCTTAAAGCTACAGGGACACTCCCAACACACTTGCTGTTAAACCCGCAGATACCCACCAATATGAATATCACAGGGTGTTAACCACCAGACAGTGGTTGCCTTGCACATTAATTTTAACCACGTGTGCGAGCTCGCTACGCCATGTTTTTCTTTTGTTGGGGGGTTTGAAATATCTGATTAGGATTTTTAAACATAATTAAACATTGAAATGCTGTGTTTTTATCGGCATTGGCACAACAGGTCAAAGGCCCAATTCTGTAGGCCTTGAATCCATGCTTAGGACGTCTCTTCAGACGACCAAATGCACAAAATCCAGTTTATACTAAGGTTTTAAGCTTGCTGACTTGTCCAGATATATGGAGCCTTCAGTTACCAGAATTCACCTGCAAATTGAGGAAAACTGCGGTAGGATGTTTACTATAACATCCTTGTAAGAAGCTGTTTGGTGTTGAAAAGTAGTTTTTTTACACCAGTGAGTAAATGGCGAGGCTGTGTGGACAATGAGGTAACAGGACTGGTCATTTTTTTAGCGTGAACCCTCCATCACTAACTGAAAAAAGAAATTTGATGCAAAAGAGAAAACATGAGGGTGAAGGAAAAGCCCACTGATGAAACTGTTTGCCCTGTGTTCAGAGGTTGAAGTTCCTGAGTGGATGGGCCAGGTTTTCTTTAGCACAATGTCATTTCCCATTCTCTCAGCTAATCATAAACAATCCTTATAAAGACCGACAACGGCAAGGATGGTCAGCAACCGTAACTGAGCTTTTATAAGTGAACATGCTCTTCATAGCCTTTTTGTCAAAGCTAATAAAGGACCTTCTGTTAAATCACCATACACTCCTTTTGGATTATAATGTTGACAAAGCATGTTGGGTGTGACAAAAATAAAGCTGTCTCAGTAAAAGCAGATACCTTGACACGGTTCTTCCCTTTGAGCTCAGAGGGTAAAAAACAAGTTTCTTTCCTCTTCTTTCACTCCTTCTCCAGCTCTGTTGACCTGTGCGAGCCTCCGTGTAACCTCTTTGCATTACCAGCTAAACTACAACCATGTCTGATGTGATGGAATGCATAAGTCTCCTGATACACACCTTTGAAAAATATGCTGGTGCTGATGGCAACAAGAACACCCTGAGCAGAGCCGAGTTCAAGACTGTGCTAGAGAATGAAATGCCTAAAATTAAACAGGTACAGTAGAGCCTGAGAGAAGATACTTGTAGGGGACACTGGGGTAAGATGAGCCATTTTTCTAATTTCGATCACTACATCAAGGCAACCATAGTTTTGTCTATAAAAAAACAGAAGTTACTGAGCAGCATAAAAAACACTGAACAATCAAAATTAACTTTTTGCTTTAGTGGATCTGATAGTCTTGGCTGCAGGTTGAAGTTTTTGCAAGTGTGCATACCTGTGAAACTTTGTCACATATATAAATGTGTGTCTATCATTGGGATCGCATAATCTATGTTTTCAGGTTTTCTGATTCTGGAGTGATGACTGATTCATCATTTTTATGTTATTCTAAGTGGCATCTGGTGAGTCAGCGAGTTGATAAAAAGGGCTTAAAGCTACAGGGACACTCCCAACACACTGGCTGTTAAACATGCAGATACCCACCAAGATGAATGTTACAGAGTGTTAACCACCAGACAGTTTGAGTCTACTGTAGCTTTCCTGCCATATTACAGTTGCTTTTGCCTTGCGCATAAATTTTAACCACATGTGCAAGCTCGCTACGCCATGTTTTTTTTTTATTGGGGGGGTTTGAAATATCTGATTAGGATTTTTAAACATAATTAAATATTGAAACGCTGTGTTTTTATTAGCATTGACACAACCGGTCAAAGGCCCAATTCTATAGGCCTTGAATCCATGCTTAGGGCGTCTCTTCAGACGACCAAATGCACAAAATCCAGTTTACACTAAGGTTTTAAGCTTGCTGACTTGTCCAGATAAATGGAGCCTTCAGTTACCAGAATTCACCTGCATATTAAGGAAAACTGCAGTAGGATGTTCACTATAACATCCTTGTAAGAAGCTGTTTGGCGTGGAAAAAGTAGTTTTTTTACACCAATGAGTAAATGGCGAGGCTGTGTGGACAATGAGGTAAGCAAACTGGTCATTTTCAGCATGCACCCTCCATCACAAACTGAAAAAAACCAATTTGATGCAAAAGAGAACACATGAGGGTGAAGGAAAAGCCCACTGATGAAACTGTGTGCCCCATGTTCAGAGGCCGAAGTTCCTGAGTGGATGGGCCAGGTGCCTTTTGCGTGATGTCATTTCCCATTCTCTCAGCTAAGCGTAAACAATCCTTATAAAGACAGACAACGGCAAGGATGGTCAGCAACCATAACTGAGCTTTTATAAGTGAACATGCTCTACATAGCCTTTTGTCAAAGTTAATAAAGGACCTTCTGTTAAATCAACATACACTCCTTTATGGATTATAATGTTCACAAAGCATGTTGGGTGTGACAAATGTAAAGCTGTCTCAGTAAAAGCCACCACCTTGACACGGTTCTTCCCTTTTAGCTCAGAGGGTATAAAACGAGTTTGTTCCCTCTTCTTTCACTCCTTCTTCAGCTCTGTTGACCTGTGCGAGCCTCCGTGTAACCTCTTTGCATTACCAGCTAAACTACAACCATGTCTTCTGTGGCAGTATGCATGGGACTCCTGATACAGACCTTCAAAAAATATGCTGGTGCTGAAGGCAACAAGAACACCCTGAGCAGAGCCGAGTTCAGGGCTCTGCTGGAGAATGAGATGCCTCAAATTAAACAGGTACAGTAGAGTCTGAGAGAGGATACATGTACAGACTGCACTTTTGATAGCTCTAATAACTTTTTTTGACATTTAAAGCAATACCTGAAAACCTTAACATATTGATGTGATTGCTTCACTTTAAGGGTCGTTAATTTTGAATGCTATTCCTAAACGTTTACTATGAAATCTATGTACCAAACGTTATATCTCAACATTCAATATTAAATATTAAATTTAAATATAAATGTCTGTTAAATATGAACATTACATCTAAAAAGTAAGCGTTAAATCTAAATGCTAAATGATACATTTGAATAATTTC